TCACTCAGAATAACAGAGCTCACCGTGGGACTGGCCTGGAGCAGCCACAGATTCCCACGACCCCTCCTCCACACACACACACACACACAGACACACACACACACACACACACACACACACACACACACACACACACACACAGGGGGCTGCACAGGCGCTCAGGCAGTGAGGAAACAGAGGCAGAGCAGCTTTGCACCACTTTTTCCAGAGACTGTTATTTGCTATAAAAGCTTCACTTCAGCAGGAGCCGCACCGAAAAGACGAGGAAGAGGAGAAGCGTCTTCATCGGAGGAGGAATGAGGTGAGAGAAGAAGTGTGGATGTAAGAATCAAAGTGCTGGAGAAGAAGAAGAAGAAGAAAAAGACGCACACGGTGGAGTGGGAGGAAAAACGCAACTCAGCCTGGTTTATCTCGATGATGCCGAGGATCCAGTTTCTGCTTCGGATTCACGTCCAGCACAAGGCAAGTACCCGATGTGATCGCTCACTGGCCGCGTTCAGATAACATGACACTGATCTGCAGTGAATCAAGCCATGAATTTAAAGAGGAGCCGCATTAAACATTCATGCGTAAAAGCGCATGTGAAATATGACTGTTGGATCAGCCGGGGTCTCAGAGGAGGGGATTAAACAGTGAGTGGAGTTGGGGCAGTGATTGTAGTAACGGGACTCCATTTATTTGTTCCCCTTTAAATGACTGCAGTGAGACAGTGAAGTGAAAGGACAGGGTCGTGAAAGCGGTCCTGTCGTGTTTGATTCCCATGATGGAGACATGAGAGGTTCAGGAACAGTTCAGAGGAGGAGATAACAGAGGAGGGGGCTGCAGAGGCAGAGGGGGCTGGCATCTCATTAACTCAGCCACATGTCTTATTAAAGCAGCTATTTCCTGTTGTGTGCAAAGCAGAGTCATCTCTGTAACACCCCCTGTACTCTTCTTCTTCTCTTCTTCAGAGTGAAGCCAGAGGATGACAGCAGCCAGTCCAGTCTGCAGCCCCGCCTCCTCCCACTCCTCACCTGCCTGCCTCCCAGCATGCCACAGGCACCTGATGACAGGCAAGGCCCTCCAGACCAAGCTGCCCCTGCGCTCCGCCCCCGGCGTGTGGCTTCTCCTGGGCGTAGTGGTGGTCCTGGTGGGCATGAGCGTGGCAGTGGCGGGCTACGTGTCTGCGGCACCGAAGCCCGTGGGAGGCCGCGGCAGCACCCACGCAGAGAGGATGAAACTGACAGGGCCTGTGGTCATGGGAGTGGGCCTGTTCATCTTCATCTGTGCTGCCACGCTGCTGTACGAGAACCGGGACCGGGAAATCCTCAAATACGAGACGTCTGACGACCTCGAGGACCTGAAGGGAGGGTACGGCTGGGAGGACTCGCAGGAGCAGCCCAGCTTCGGCTGCCCGGAGCAGTGGGAGTGTAAAGACGAAGAGCAGGGATCCTGGGCTGTTCCAGCCCACACACTCCCACTATCAAACCAGAGCTGGGGGCCTCCTCTTCCTCCTGCTCTGCCTCGCACGAACAGACACAACGTCAGCAGTTGCACGACATCTCCAGGTGCAGGAGGTGGAAGTAAAGACAAGATGGACAGACAGGCAGGGGAGGAGGAGGAGGGAGGGTCAACCCTGCTGGCCCGAGTCTTGCACCACCAGGAACCAGCTCCTCACCCATCGTCCCCCTGCCTGTCCGTGTCCCATTCCTCCGTCTGCTCGGACTCCTGCAACTCCAGTGAGATCCACTTCAACATACGGACAGACACTCCTCTGCCGCATCAACACTGAACCCCCCCCACCTCTGGTTCAGCTTCTACTGTCTCATGAAACATGCATGATGAGACACATTCTAAAGTTTTCATGTGCAGACGCAGAAAAGACAAGACTATGCATTCCTCAATGAACTCATCAAGCGTGTTCTTGTATGTTTTTGTCCCTTCGAGGGGCGCTGAGGCTCTGAGTCACTATCTGGGAAGGTTTTTCTTTTTTTTACCCCACATCATTCCCTGACTCACTCGCATTTAAAAGATTGGAGCTACGCTGTTTGATGTCAACTCGGCATCTTGTACGTCTTTGATTGCACCCGTGCCCAAAAATCCTGAAAGCCACTGCTTTTCTGACCATATTTGGACGCAAGGAGGTTTGCTGAAAAGTTATTTGGGTGCCACACTCAACTCTTGGCTTTCCCTCTTTCCCTCTCTCAAACACACGCACACACAAACATCCCTGCTGAGGTAAAGCATCTACATTTCTTTTCTTAAGAGGTTCACTGAAGAGGATGAGCCAGATTAGGCCTTAAAAGAGTCTTTATCTAATCTCACACATACTGTAATCTGCTCTTTATCTGAGGAAATTGGGTCTTGGTATAAACAAGAGAAGCACACACACACACACACACACACACACACACACACACACACACACAGAGGCCACACTCCTCTCACTCCACACCTACAGCCACTCTATAAATACCAGCTGATGCTTTGTACACATGCAAGTGCGGACTCCACTTCTTGTTTTTTGTTTTACTGTAATTCAACATTTTGTTGTAATTCTCACTGCTCAGCTGCTCAGTTTTCTCGAGTGTGGCGAAATCTTCAAGAGTTTGGAGAGAAAAGAAAAGAGCAAAATCTGGTGAGGCTGGGATGAGTTATTCCTGACGCGGCGCAACTGAGAAAAGCTGTCCTCTCTCCCACCATCCCGACCTTTCATCTCCTCTCTCTCTCTTCATCATCATCTCTTTCCTACGCTTTATTCAAATCCTCCTGCTGCAAAAATAGAGAAAATAGGGCACAAAAACAATGCAGAGAGATAAATGTTATCAGGGAAAATTAAGCCAAATGAGCGTGTTGAACAGTCGGAGGGGTACGCAGGGGTTAGGGTTTCAGGATTTTAATTATCACCAGCATTTTCTCCTGCAGCCTCTAATTACACCAGGGATCAGTGTGAAGGTTTTTATAGGTGCTTCAGGACTGCAGAGTATTTCCTTGTTGTTCGGGCCCATGCTGGGATCCTGCCATCCAGATGACGACCGAGACTGAAGTGTACAGTCATTTGCAGCCACACATTTTGCTCACTAAAAACATCCCCCCGCTCTCACACACACACACACACACACACTCAGTGGAGGGTTTTGTGTAGGTGCAGTGAACATGTATATTTCAGTGGCAGGAATGATTTGGAGAGACGTGTGTGAATCCTGCAACAAGCTGCAAGCAGAGTCCTTCGCTCTCATCGCTCGGGGGGGAGCAGCTCCCTCCTCACTCGCTTACACTCCAGTCCTCAGTGTGACATCATGAAGCAGTGGCGGATCTAGGATTTTTTCAAATTTAGGGGCCATAAAGGGGCCAATTATACGTGTTATGCGTCCGATATCCACACACATAAGTCCTGATTCATTAAGGTGCATACTGAAGTCATTCCTTGTTACTGTTCGCTCTGTAGCTTTGACAAAAAAGCACACATCGCTGAATATATTTGAAAATTGCTGTTGTTCAATTATGTAAATCATCACATTTATTGTTGGTAAGTGACAAGGTTATTAAAAAAAAAAAAGACTACTGACAGGACAGGGGTACTACAGGGGGCTAATCAGATTTCAGTCTGGGTCAGTGACCCCTGGTCCCACCCTTAGATCCGCCACTGATGACAAGAGATCCTGGATTGCAGATCAGTTCCTGGATAACTGTCCTTACTGTCACAGCCTACAGTCATGTTCTAATGTCCAGTTTGTTTTGAAACTGTTTTATCTCAATGACACTCTCATGTGTGAGGCTGCAGTTTGTGTTGACGGCTGATATGATAGAGGTCCACGGTGGTAGAAGCTGTGACCACTGTGGTGAAAGACCTCACCACCTCACCACATTTGATTATTTTATTCATTTTAGTGTGGATCGATGAAAAGTATGCAGCAAGTTTTGAAACTACATTCTCCAATATAACAGAAAAGAAATGGCACCCTAGCATCCTCCTTTGTTATGTTTCAACCCATCTGTTGGTTCGGTGGTTGTTGTTTGTTTCTAAGCAAGATAATGCAATTACCAGACGGATTACCATGAAACCTGGCGGAAGGAGGAGTAACTGTGGATCCGGATCAGGGGCGGATCCAAGAGTTACATTTCCCTTTCTTCAACGCTTGTGAAATAATCCATGGATCTTGACGATGCTCTGGGGAGTGATTTTCATGAGTGTGTGCAATTTGGTGCAGATCCAAATAAAAATCCTTTATTGCCATAATATCAACAAAGTTGAATGGAACTTGTCTTGATGAGCTGACCCGGACATGGAGAAGAAAATCCACATACACTAAAAATACATTGTAGACTGTGAGAAACATCAATAAAATCTGAGCCCTTGAAAAGAAGAGTCCTGCAGCCAAAGTTAAAATGAATAAAACCGATAAAAATAAACAGATTTATAAGTTATTAGAAATAACTGAGGCAATCAACTGTGTCTTAGTATCCATGCTTTAGTTACCAGTCATTAGATGATCAGATTACGTTTAGATGTGAAATCTCAGACCATGAATTTCAGTATCTTCACAAACCTGCACACATCACTGCAGCAGCAGAGTTCAAGAAATCTTTAAGGATCTTCTCCTGCACAGCAACGTTACATAATTCAGCAACACACGTCTTATGCAGCATTGAGAATATGACTGAATCGAATCCCCTCCTGTGAGAGAACAAGCTATGTGTGTGTGTGTGTGTGTGTGGTGTATGTGTGCATTGATACATATCTGAGCAGACGGACAGTAGGCTGTAAGCTGCTTAACCCTGCGCTGACTCAGAAAACATGCAATTTCTCTGTTGCTTAAGAGGCAGAGAAGCGATCATCAACATTTTCTTTGTATAAAAAGATAAGAGACTGAGGATCAACCAGCCTGAAAACGCTGCTTTGAAAAAAACAGCTTTTTTTGACCTGTTACAGCAGAAACAAGGATTGGGTTAAGACGTCCACATGACCAGATGGATGGATGGAGATATGCTTTCCACCACCACCTTTGTCCACATCTGACATTCAGTAGTTTTTAGAATGAGAGGGACTTTCTGTTATGAGCTTAAAAACCAAATGTCATTCTGTGACATTTAAAGAGACATCAAATCCTTCCTGCATCTCTTCTGTGCTGTGCTAAATTGCTTCTATTTCCCTGCTACTTTGCAGTTATTCACTTTGATCGTTAGCAGCCTCTCAGTAGTGTGATCGGCGCAGGGCGAATAGCAGGTGTATTCCTGACTAATCCAATTTCAGTCCATGCTTCCGGTCTCCTCCACAGTCCTCGTGGTGCATTCACTGGAGGAAGCATCATGCTCAAAATGAGAAATCGAATATTCTACGTACTTGCCATCATAGCGCTCGCTCCGACCCAAGGTAAGAGGACGTAGTATCAGGGCTATAGATTAAGTGAAGTGTAGATAGCACATGTAGATAGTATATCTAGTTATTATAAATATCATTTCTACAACAACAACTACTAAAACACTTTATTAACCTCTGCTTCATGAGTTCTTGTTGAGCAACAGTTTTTTGCTGGTTTCTCAAAATGATGAATTATGTACATTTAAGGATGTAAATTAAAATCAGAAACCCATGAAATCCTCCTTGTAGTTTTAGAACATGACAGCAAGAACACTACACATGGGCCATCATGCATAGATTTAATTAACAGTTAAATGATTAATTAGGGATAAAGTGTATCTGTAACTTCATACCAAATTAATACGCTGCTGGATTTGTGAAATATCAGCAGGGCCATCGTCATATTCTGTTACTTTTTAACATTTCTATATAAGATGAGTTGCTGAGGAGGTTATATCATTCACTTATTCTCGGTTGATTAGGTACTAAATAAATCCGCTGCAGTCTACTTACACTCCTGGAACAAGTTTGATCTGCAACTAATTTGAACGAATTCAGCGATTTATAGATAACTTTCTTAATTAATCGGAGTCATTATTGAAATTATCTGATCCAAGGTGTTGTCTTTTAATATCAAGTGCTGTTCAACAAAATGACCCAAACATATTCAAGTTAAAGTAAAATGAGAAAAAGCTGAAAAAAATCCTCACATTTGAGAAGCTGTGACCATCACATATTCAGCATTTTTTCCACTCAAATGAATAAATGAATCATTTGCGGCTCTATAAAAAACGTTCCCTTCATTAATGTTATAAAGTTTCTGTGGAAAGTGTTTTGAAAGAGATCTTTCATGGTAATTTTAGATGCTGTGGTTTAGTCTGTCCTCATTGATCCAAATGAGACAGATTATGTAACACAAAGCAACAGCCCTACATACTAATGTAACATCCTATGAAATTAATTCAATTGCTTTTGACAACATGCACCTAATTAACAGCGGCTGTGCCCAGATTTAGACCACGAGGTGAAAATAATGAACAGTGCAGAGTGTGTTCCTCTTTCTCAATAAGCCTCACTCCACTCGTCTTTTTGTTCACCTGAGCTAGCACGAGCTAACAAGATGAGAGGGGATAAGGATTGTGAGTCTCACTGAAAAACATCTTACGGCCCTGGTTGGTAAGATTAGTCCTCTTCCCAGCAGCAGATGATCGCAGCACTGAAGCCGGCCACATGGCAACAGGATGTGGTCTGACAAACAGGGAGTAAGTGCTTGAATGCTAGTTTTGAAATACGCCGCCTGCGTAGTTAGTGAATATTATACAGATGTGTTAAAATGTGCTAAAAATTGCCACTTGCATTTTGAGGAGCAGCGCGGTACAGTGCAGAGAGACACGACCCTCCTCCTCCTCCGCTGAGCGTCTCTGCCAACGTTTTCTATTAACTCCAGTATCTGCCTGGTTAAATGAAAACACGATGCTGCCCTAAGACTTGGAGCCCTCTCTAAATAACACAAGTCGGCCAGTCAAAGAAACACATTCCAGACTGCTGCAGAATAAACAAAATATTTCCAAGATGATGGAACGCTCGGCAGAATGCGGCTCATCACTTTGGCTCGGTGCCCTCCAACAGCACGACACTTCCCACATTCAGCAGCCCCTGAATTATAAATGTGTCCAACACGATATTACATGAATGCTTGGAAACCTGAATAATCCAAAGCATGTTATCCTTTGACCTGACATCCAGTATAAATGACTATATATTATCTGGAATTCTTATTTCAGCATGTCTTTTAAATTCTCATGTTTGATATAGTTTTATCTGTTGTGGTTTTATCCTGCTTTCTATGCAACAGGTCTCCTTTGCAGAAGGTTGAAATGGGTTAAATAATGCTTACAATACTCACAGATACAAATCAGAAAGGATTTCCATGAAGGGGCACATCCAGGAATTTGTTTCAACTTTCTTCAACATAACGAGAGTGTGAGGTCATTTTTTTGACAAGGAATAATGAATGAATCTTGATTAAATAAATCAGGCATATTAAGAGGACTGAAATCTACGAGTATAGAGAGAATGAGAATTTAAAGGGACCGTTGGGCCTTGGCAGAGGTTTTTCTCTGATTTGTTTTCTGTGTTGTTCTTTGGGATCAGGTGAAGAGAACGAGCAAGTAGAGCAGCACATGGATTCATTCACAGAAGAGGAAGAGAATCTGGAGTGTTTTCGTTGTGACCTGGGCTTCTGGGACGTCTGCTTCACCACCAAAACCAACTGCAGCCTCGGCGAGCGCTGCTTCACAGGCCGAGGGAAGGCAGGTGTGGTGGGCAAGAATTTGTATCAATTAATATCTGAGCATTAGAAAGTGTGTCAGGGTAATCAGGATGAATGCATAGATTTTGACAAACACTTCTTATCTCCATAGGGGATGCTCTGGACGTTAAGACTCTGGGTTGTGTGAAGGCAGAGGAGTGCGATGTGGAGACCACGGTGGAGCTCTTCCCTAACCAAACCGTCTTCGTCATGACCAAACACTGCTGCGACACACCGCTCTGTAACTCGGCTCACAACCTTCCTCTCTGTGCTCTTCTGTACGTCACTGTGGCTTTTTTAACGACCTGGGACATCACTGGAGCCTCAACGTGATCACAATAAGCAATCTACATTTACACAAATATAGATACAAAAAAGAAGACTGGACTAAATTGGACTGAAAATTCACCAGCTTTTAGAGATTCTTTTGGACCGTCTGGTAGAGCACTGAATTATCAAACATGACTTATTATGGCATAAAATGTATTAAAATAGAGTAAATCTGTTTTGTGTCACATTTATTATTCTTAAACAGTATTTACATGGAACAAAACACAAAAGGAAATCTTGCTGGGTTTTTGTAACGCACGCCAGCTATAAACTGTTGGTGCCACAGTTAATGTACAGTGTAAGTAGATAAATGTATCCAGGTAGAACATCACTTAAAGCCTGCTCCCAACACCGACTGACCGCACTGAGACCTGAAGAGAGTTCAGCTGTGGTTCAGCAGCTCTCCAGCAGAGGGCAGGAGCTCTTCCTTCATGAAGCTCTGCAGATCCAACTCTTTGTCCTCCAGGTTCAGGTTCAGAAACCTCTCCACCACAGACCTGCACCTGTCAGTAGCACACACATGGAACCTGTCTGTAACACACACATGCTTCAGACAAGCGCACACACTGCTTTCTAGTGTGGGTTTGGATTTGTCTTTTTGTGCAGTTAAAGTTTAACAAACCTGTTTGCCTGCTCATCTGATGAAACTTTGTCAATGCGTTTGATGGGTCGTCCTGTTCTGTAAAGCTCAGACACCTGAAGAAAAACAAACCCACCAACAGTCAGCCTATCAGAGCATAATTCTGTGTACCACTGTATGTGGTTGTGTATCTTGTGTTTGTGTGTGCATGTGTGTTTACCTCCACTCCTCTTTGAACAAGGTTAACTGGCAGGCCTGCCAGAGTGGCGATGTTGGCAGCATAGCTGGAGTGACAGATCCCTTCTTTCAACTGGTACAGAAACACCAACTCATCCCCGTCCACTGCTGTCTCTAGAGTCTAACACACACACGCATACACACAAACACAAGATACACAACCACATACACACCAAAATGAGACACTTGTAAATATTATACCTCTACTGATGCAAATGATCTGAAATGAAGACATGTTTATATCAGTAGATGATGGTTGTTTGGAGGTTTTGCTGAATATCTCATAGAAACACTGCTGCTTATTGTGTGAGCTCGGCTGATGTGTCCGTCAGTACCAGGAGAGACAGCAGGGCAGAGGAGGGTAGAAGGCCCAGCTGCAGCAAACTGTGGAAGTTAGTAGCCAACAGGACGTGAGGAACATCCACTGGAGCTTTTCTCAGCCAGTGAGACATTGATGCAGCCAGCAGCGACAGTCCGTCCACCTGGAGGGAAACATGACACCTTTTCTGAACAAGGAGGAAGCTGCTGTGGGTCCAAGTCTTCAGTCTTAATTCAGGTTAAGCTCTTTACTCAAGCCCTTTATAGAATGACATTGAGTTGTTGCCACAGATAAACAAATGAACAGGACTGTCCTGTGTGTTGGTCTGTGGATGAAGAGAAACACACACCAGATGTTCCCCTTTCTCTTGGACTCAGTTTGCTTTGTGGAGTTGTCTTATTTGAGCCCTTTGTTCAGCGTGTTGTTGGAAACATTGTTGTTCATTTCGACTCATGAGTGTAACATCTCCTGAGGCAAATATCTGGCTGTTTAGCACTTTAATGTTCCACTGGTCACCTGGTGGTTTCTAACTGTGTCTGTCTGTGTCATTATCACACTGTTTCTCATCTCCTACATCGATATAAAGTAAAAATAACAATCACACTGTTGTGACTTCTTGTCATTTTCATCCATGAACCTCGACCCAAGACAGAAATTATTAAACCTAAACTGGCAATTTTATTGTATTGTTTTTGTTTGGCCTCTGCCTCCCAGTCCAAACCAAATACAATTGGTTTGGACTTTGGCTGTCCCTCTCCAGAGTGAACTGTCAGACAGTGATGGAGGACAAAGAACATAATGACACTCAGAGTGTACACTGACTAGTATTTAGCAGCAAATATGTTTGAATTACCAAAATTAAGTATTATTAATCATAAAACCAACACACAAACAGCAGCCATTTAAAATAGCTTTTACATGGTGCTTTCACAACATCCAAAATGTAATCCTTACTTTCCTGCTAAAACCGAACAGTAATTATTATTCAACATATATAAGTATACTTTAAGTATATTCAAGTACACACATATGGTAAATTACCTATAACATCTCAGAATTGATTTATAAGCAGCTGTGTTAATTAATTTATTTGTCGACAGCTGTTCACGGAATATGTTTTACTTCTTGACAAATACTTTACATCCATGAACAATATAAATTTAGACACTGCTAACAAATACTAAACAGAGGCAATGGAAGTAAAGTGTTACTCCCCTTGCCTGTAGATGGCGCACATCAACACTTCTATGATCGCAGGTCTGAACAGCTGCAGCAGTTTTGTGGCTGCTAAGTGGCACATGGTGAACTGACCAGAGGGTCTGTTCATGATGTAGCTCTAAATAGGATAATATTGTCTGGGATTGTTTTCAGGTGCCTCACATTAATGACACTGTGTGTCCTTGTTATGTGAATACATGTGTTTCTAATTCACAGTGCTGGAACAAGTTTGTTCTTACTGTGTTAGTTCCTTTTCCAAATTCATCGATGAGAACTAATGAGTTGCCAGTACTGCAGTTAAGAGCCTGGGCCATCTGGAAAATAAAGACACAAAGAGTTATAGTAGACTACACTGTGTGTGTGTGTGTGTGTGTGTTGTTATAGACACTGGTTGCTTCATTAAAAATTTCTCGACAGGTGGACAGTGGGAGTAGGGGACTGTATTGCTGGAAGGTCACACACACACATTGTAGACAGAATTTTGTGTACATAGAAGTGTGCTTAACAATGTGTGAGTGTTTGTGAGTGTGTGTCTTCGATACCTGGTTGAGGTCAATCATGAAGGTGCTGAGGCCTACAGACACAGACTCTCTGCTCTGCATGCGGGTGAAGATTCCATCCACCAGACCGATCTCTGCCTCCTTCGCCGGCACATCTGAACCAATCAGAGCCATGAACACAATCAGACCCACCTGCCACAGTCAAATCAGAGAAAAACAAGTTACTAGGCTCCAAACAACATGTATTTTAACTGAGGTTCTAGACCTGAAGACAAACTGGTCTTTGCTAAGCTAAAGTTAAACCGCCTGGAAGTGTGAAATACATATTTTGTACATTATGACAGTTGGTGTCATTATCTATCAGCATGCTAAGGTAACTGGTATCTTATGTGCAACTGGTGCTGCAGAAACAGATAATGAAAGTGATTTCTATGTAATTATGCATTTTTTTCTGTAAATTAATTTTTATAGTCACTGTTCTTTTGTTCATTACTTTTGCTCCAAAATCAATGACAAAGCAACAAGATGTAAACAGTTCCACTGATTCTGCAGTGAAGCAACACAAACACTAGAGCATGAGAAGCCATTTATTATCATCCTTGTTACTGAGATGATAAACTGTTTACAGACTCTTTCTGACTGTCCTACCTGTTTGAGGTAGATGCTCTTGCCAGATGAGTTGGGTCCCGTGATGATCTTGACTCTGCCCTGCAACTCTGAGCTCTGGAAGGAGTTGGCCACAAACACAGGAGAGCACAGCTCCAACAGTGGATGTCTGGAAAGTGATTGAAGAGAGCAATATATTTAATGTACATTGAGTTTGTATTTCTGTGTTGTAATAACTCTCATGTGTAAGTGCCTATACCTGCCCTGTACGATTGTTATGCTCCTGTGGCTGGTAAGCTTGGGTGAGGTATAGCCGTACTCCTGGGAGGCGCTGCTCATAGCCATCAGACAGTCGAGCTCTGCAGCGAGATCCAGGACCTACACACCACAACACATTAAGCACATTGAATGTTGTATAGAGATCTTCCGACCAGAGACAAACAGTGACAGGTGAGCATGAGTAATAAATATATATTCAATCACACTGTGGTGAGATTATACAAACATGCTGAGCAAATGCACAACAGAGAAGCAGATTGTGTTACTGCAGAGACTAACCAGTATGAGGGTGGTGAGTGTGAGTGCTTCATTCTCAATAGACAGATTCTGGGTAAAGAATCAGTTTAGCGTAATAAGTTCAAAACCCCATAAATCTGTATTGTAATAAAACTTTTAAATGAAAGTATAAACCACAATCTGCCCAATAGCGAGGACATTTTTACCACAGCTAAAATATCTAAAAACCCAATACTTTATCATCTGCCCTCAATGATAATAAAGGCTGCATCAAGAAATATCCACACATCAATCATGAGGCAAATATCATAACACTTAGAAAAGACCTTGTAATGGGTTTGAGGCCTTTTTCATTTTTCATCAAAATGGACAACCTATCCCAACTGAAGCAAACACAGTCAATCATAACAAAATCTGCTTACGCACATTAACAACATTACTTTCACGCCAACAGTCATTTTGTCAGAGTCCTGTTTGAAACACTTCAAGTGGACAGTGAATCACACCAACCTTGTAGAGGGAGCTGCTCCTCTCCAGGATTGTGTTTTGCAGTTGTGTCATAACTGCCGTCTCCATGTCTGAGAAAGAGGAAGTTGACCATCTAGAAGTCTTTTATATATCTACACCAACCACTGCAGTTTCAGTCTATGTACATGTGTGTCAACTTGAAAGAAGTTCCTAAAGAGGCCTAAAACATAATGCCTCCGGCCACTGGTTGTTGCTCGCATGGACGCTTAAACATACCGTGGGTAGTATGAAGTGATTGGTGTTAAACTGAAAGGGGATATTTTATTTTCTGTTAGTGAGAAAGTCAAAGACCTCTGATGTCACAGTGCAGGTCTCCCAGGAGGTGGTCTAACTCCTTGGTTCTCTGGCTGCGGTAGTGCAGACGGTCCTCTGAGAGAAACTAGGTCACACACACACACACGGTATAAACACTGATAATGCAGATGATAAAAACATGAGTAATCTTGTCAGTTTGAAAAACACAAATAAGACCAAATCAAAAGCACACCATGAAATCAAGCCCCTCTATCTCAAAATCCTCCCTCTCAACCATACCGGGCAGGCGAGGAACAGAGAGCAGGAATCCAATCTGTAAAAACAGATAACTTTGTTATATGAGCACTAATAAACAACACATAGAGCCCCAGGTAAACAGTTTTCCTCATATCTGACAGTATGAATCCATCCTGCAACTAACATGCAGACAAAAGGCAGAAAACAATTGTTGAGCAGATATATATCAGCCAGTAGCTGTGCAGATATGAGGATTAGACCAGAGGGATGTAGATGACGCAACAGGACGGGATGCAAGCGTCCAGATGCTCCAACTCTCTTCTGGCGACATCTGTCAGGAAATCAGACAATCCCATCATCCTCCTCTTCTCTGACAGAGGGAGATAGTGTAATTAGAAGTTCACGTTAAAGTCACACAGGCCCACAAACTAAACTAAACACTTCACTGTACTTACTCTCATCTATAGCCGGGTCCACATTTGGTTTGATGGTGAAGCGGTTCTCTGCAAGGCTGGCTTCGAAATCCACCTGCATGTCCCAATTCAGAGATGGACTCAAACTTATTAACACTTCACAGTGTTTTTATATTGTGATCAACATTTTATATGGAACAAAGAGGCGGTGTTGGTGGGTGTGTCTGTGTGTGTGGGACTATCATACAGAAGCTATGAAATCTGGTTTTAGTAATCAACCACTCATAGTGGTTAATTTGGTTTCCACTGTAATTGAGATGTAATTAATCCTAAACTCACAACTCGGCTGATGACGGAGGAGATGTGGTGGAGGTCATCGGAGAACCCTTCACTGATTTCATGAAAGAGCTGAATGGATTGAGGCAGGTGCCGCACAGTGTCCCTGATACACACTGCACTGTACACCGTCTGACAATCACACACAAACAACAGTAAGTCCACATTCAATAGAACCTGTCACATGGAAATAGTGTGCATGTTCACACTGCAGCTCCAACCTTGTAGAGACCTTGCCAGTCAGTCACTTTGGTGTGAGAGAGCGACATCCTGCGCAGAAGAGTCTGACTCACACACACGCACGCACGCACGCACGCACGCACGCACACACACACACAAACACACACACACACACACACACACAAAGACACGTGGTGTTAATGTACAGGTGGTGACGCATTAGGTTAAGTGCTAAATAGTCACACATGTAAAGAAATGGAGGTAATTTGCTCAGAGCTGTTACTGGTATGTTTCTGATGTTGCGCAGCGAAGACTGCAGGGTGCTCTGCACGTCTGAGTTCTGTGGTGAGGTGAAGAAACGTATCACTTCCTGTCTTCTGTGTAAAACAGCCAGGTCCCGTGTTGGCCTCAGAAACCACTGGCTGACAAAAGAAAGGACATTCACACTTACGGTAAAAAGAAAATAGTACAAACTCACAACCTTCAAATATTCCCATCTCTGACTTTGTTGTGTATACTCTAATATGATTGTGTAAAGAAAAACGGAAGATTTAGATGAATCTACATTCCTACAGTGATTGTAGCATGAAAATAAAATCTCCATAAAATAATCACAATAATGGTTCATATAACTAAAAATCTTGCTAGATTTATGATGTAAATTTAACTACTTCATAAAAGTCAATATATTATTGGGAGTCGTAGAAACAAACACAATTAATTGGAGTTTTTGTCATACAGTATATATCATTTCAGCCATGCAGACAGTTATTTATATTTGGTAATTTAGTTTGATGAGATAGAGCACATTGAATTTCCCGTTTATTCACTACATTTAACCTATGATGAAATATGAGTACCCTAGTTGACTTTGACTGGAATGAGGTGTTTCTCACCGGAGTAGTCTGGATCCAAACTTACACCTACAGCGGTTTAGTATACCTATAATAAACAATAATAAACAGTAGTTGTTAGCGGTCACATGGTAACAGTAGCAAGAGAATAAATTAAACATTGATATGCAAACGCATACCATAAAGACTGAGTCCTTCTTTTTCGCCTGAATGCAGCTTGTACACTGATGGGTGGAGTTCCGACTTGAAGATCTGCAGTACACTTAAACAATAGAAATTCAATGGTGATCTCTCATTCATCCACTTCTCTTAGTCCATGTGCTCGCCTGCTTCAGGTTATAACAAACCTGAAACAAGGTATTTCATACAATCTGATGCGATTTATATTTAGTGTACACAAGGTGCCAAACCACAACATTTAATAATACTCAAAATACTTCATAAAATACAATTCAAGGTAAAACAATATACAAAATAAAGACTGCAGAAGAAATATAAAATATAAGAAATGTAAAAAAGTCAAATGTAAAATCTACTCATGTTGGGTCTCACTGTATATTAATTACAAGCAACTAATTCAATAAAGACTTAAGAGATTCCTGTCAGATTTAAAAGGACACAGATTCAAGAGAGATACTTCTTCACAATTAAAATATTTATAATAAATTCTCGATTACAGATTTGTGACCTGTGCATGCTTACCTGTACGTGTCTCGATCAATATACACCACACCCTTCCTACATCGGGATGAAGAATAATGCATGTTTTTAAAGCAAAATGTTTAATCAATGCAAACGTCTGTGTAATAAAAATAGAGATTAGATTTCATTGAAAAAAAAAATCTTCAGTGTTCTCATTATGAAAAATGTGTAATCACAGTCCTCTGCGTGTGTGTGTGTGTGCATAGCTACATTTATGAGTGTCTTACAGTGAGTAGGCGTTGAACTGCAGGATAGGAACTCTAACACTGCTGTCTTCCAGTTCCACTCCCACTCTCCTCCTGTCCAGACATTTTAGCAAAGCGCCCACTGTCCTCAACTACACAAACACACACTAACAAAAATTAACTGTAGGGCACAAGAATTTGATGGACGGTTTGCAGCCAGCTCCTGCAGTTTGATAGATTGATGGAGAGCATGATATGTAAACAGCTGGCTTACCATCAGAGGAGAGTCAAAGGAGATACAGGAGGAGAGGTAGGACATTTTGTCTCTCTCTGAAATGGAAGGTGGAAGGAAAGGTAGATGGGCAGAGAGCAGCCTCTGCTTACTAACCTCCAGACCTGCAACGTCAAATTATGTCATACATTGTGGAAAATCATGCACATTTTGTGGGGAAAATGCCTAAAAATGATGAGAATATTGGTTATTATGGGTGAGAATCTCTTTACCAAAGTCAACATATGGATAAGTAACCACCTCTGGTTTGTAGTCTGGGTTTGAACCTTGATTATAAAAGAGAGGAAAATGGTTGAACTTTAAATAAAAGGTAATTGTCAAAGTTGTGGTTTCACATGATAAAATTGTTACTAAAGTGTGCTCAGAAAAATATTTCTCATATCAGCGTATAATAGTTATACAACCACTGGCTGGCTGCAGTGTCAAGTATCTCATTTAATTGCCTTGACCCAGAAACAACTTGTCTTACGTCATATCAAAACAAAAATCTCTGTGTCATTTTTCTGTCTCCCCTTCTCTATGCTAATCATGTCCCAGAGCTCACCGAGTTGTTGAAGGAAGCGGGTCATGCAGCGTTCCTGCTTTGCGCTGGTAATGATTACATGGGGACTAACCTCCTGGATAACTAAAAAAGAGAAATAAGTTGAGACACATAGCTTTGACGAACCCAAGTGTCAGTCTATAAGTCTTTGATATTAAGACAATGCAGTGCATAAAAAAAACATGAACCTATATGAGAAAGGAAGAATATTATTGTGTCAACGACAGGTGTGTTTACCTGAGGCCAGCAGTTGGAGCTCATGGTTGTCAGGCGTGTCTATCATATAGTGTAAAGAAGAGTTCTCACTGTTATAGAAGCAGAGGCCCACGTGTCCGTGCTGTGCCAAAACACTGAGTAAAACCTGGAGATGTGTAAAACATGTGAGAGTGTGCATCTGACTCCTGCTACTATCTACTACCCTGCTGGTACCCGCCTGAACTTACTGCGGCTGAGTCTTCCTCCTCTTCATCTCCATTTATGCCTGGCTGATCGAAAACTCGTTCTCCTCCTCCTCTCAAACCCTCAAGTGTTGCCATGAACAGTTTAGTCTGCAAAGGACCAGTAAAATTATAATAATTAATGGTCCAGTTATCGACTGTCCAAACCAGGAACAAGCTTAAAACAGCCCTGTACTCTGAAGGCCTTCCCTCACAGTGTTTTTAACAGACTCAGAACTACGCCTCAGTGTTCTACTGAACCACAGCGGTCACATTTCTTCATGATCACTTTTAGTTGTGGGCTGGATCCATGGCATGTCAGCTGATAATCACATCTCAAATGACTGTTCATGGTGTTTTTCGTTATTTTGATGTGTACTGTGAATGTAATGTTTATTGTAAGTAATCCAATCATTTATTTACAGACAGGTAAACGGTGAATCTCACCAAGCTCCATTATCTGAGGGGACCTGGAGATTCAGGTGTAGTATATAAACAATTTACACCAGTATAATCAGATGTAGCATACGGCCAATATACTCCATTGAAAGTAAAAGCCCTGTATTCAAGGTCTGAATTAAGTAAAAGTACCAATAATGCACAACAACTCTGGTTTGTGTTGTCAGTGGATCACTATTATTGCCATATGAATTTAAATGGAAACTGAGTGAGACTAATAATATTTCATACTTTGGAAACTTTAAACAGAAAAATTAACAGAAAATGAACTTTGAACTGAATCTATCAGATAAACATGAGCTAAAAGCTGAGAAAGTTATGAAATGTTATGTAGCAAAGGAACCTGTAACGAGTTAACAAAGAACTAGTACCTGTACTGAAGAAGAGAAGTACTTGTAAGTAAATGTACTCACTTTCACACAGTCAGTTGAAACTTATATACAGTCTATGGTTGAAACACTGTTATTATAAAGATAGCTCACATTATAGCCACTTTTAGCTAATGTTAGCTGAACCAAGTTAGCCCAGTTTAACCAGAAATTACAGCATTAATTGCTGCCTTCCCTTTAGTTCGCGGATATATACTCACATGTTGGGTTTGGAGTGGTTTCAGTAAAGCAAACACGAAGCATTTACAGTTGGTAAACACGACTGTACACAGAAAACAAGCGTTAGCGAGGTGTGAGAGAAGATGCTCATGTGTAGACTGGGACGAACAGACCATTAGAAAAGCAGAACGTGTCTTTACTGACCTCTAGTGGTTACAGTTCCTGCTCTGAGACAGTGCTGCAGAGTCTTCTACTGACATGATAAATATGAAGAAGGATTTTCTGACTGCAGCCAAGCCGAGATGATAAATATCAACCCTGTCACACTGTCTGAAACAAACAGAGACAAGAGACCGAGAACAACAAAGAGCAACTTGCAGCTTAAAGGCATCAGTGAATTATTGTGTAGGAAACTTGATGATGAAATATCATATTTATATTTGCATGACTTTTAAATTCTGGACGTTTTTGTGAGAGAATCAAGAGTCAATTAAGTATTACCATCTTTCACACACTCATTGTTATGATTAAAGGTCCAGTGTGTAAGATTTAGGTGAAAGGGAACTATTGGCAGATATTCAATGTAGAATAATCCTCATGATGTTTTAACTAGTTAGTTTCATCTAAATTGTATGAATTGCAGTTTTCTTTACCCCAGAAAAGGCCCTTTATATTTAAATACTTTATATTTAAATAGAGGGGACCCTCTCTACGGAGGCCGCCATGTTTTTTACATTAGTCCAGACTGAACAAACTAAACACCTTTTGAGTTTTTATGACAACTGAAACTACCAGTTTCTTTTTCACTTTTGGAAGGGGAGGGTGAGGTGAGGGGTGTTCAGCTGCAACATGCAATTTCAACACTAGATATCACTAAATTTTACACACTGTAGCTTTAAATGTCACACAATGTGAAAAACAAAGTAAAAGAAAATTCACTTTCAATTCTCAGTTTGGAAATGAGTCATATCTCGCTGATCTTAACACCTCTTTGGTTTCAGGGTGAGGAAACATTGACTTAAACATGATGAGTGACGAGGTCTCATTATGCTTGTATACTCTTCAGTGCAATGACATGTCATTTTTTAACAGAATAAAGTCAAAAAGGTTTTACTTTTTTTTAACTAGTTCTTGAAGGCATTTACTGGACACTGAATTTATATATTAAAACACATGGTTGATCGTACATGAGCTCTGCTTCTTTTAAAACTACCTACAGCACAGAGTCGAAACCTGAAACTGAAGAAACAAGGACAACACAGTTTTTTTGTTTGTGATTAAAAGAATCCCTCAGTGAATGATTGATCAGTTGATTGATTGGCTGACTGATTAATATGAAAGACTAAATATGAGATCCATTCATCAGCTGTGTTTAACCTGTATTGTTTCTGCTGTGTTTAATCTCATCTGATGAATTGTTCCTGTGAGGACCGACGAGGTCGGGCCTTCACTCTGTCCTGCAGCACTGTCTTTATAATGGAGGAGCCTGATACTTCTTCTCACTCGGTGCAGGAACTTCAGCAGAACAACCAGCAGCAGCGTGGAGGGACATCACAGAGGCCTGTGGGTAAAAATCTATTTGTGTGGAGTGTCCAGGTTAAAATAACTTTATTACCTCCATCAAGGTGGTTTGTTTTCGCCTTCACTCTCAAATATTGGAAGCTTTAGTTGACAAATACAAAAGGAATCACGAGCCTTCTGAAAGTAAATAGATAGCAAAACTAAGAAAGAAGTGACATCTAAATATGCTGCAGAGGATTGTGGGGTAAGAGTTTAGACAGAGAGAGAAATCCTGTTTATTCAAGTGGTTGCCTTTAAATAACTTTATGTTTTCTCACTCACATAAATTAGTAGGTTTTCAGTATGAAGTTGAATCTGTTGACAGGGAGAAAAAAAGATGAAACAATCAACTGTGTTCGGGGACTGATATGAGTTTGTGTATTTGGTGCAGATTCAAATAAAAATCTGGATCCAGTTAATTTAAATATGGTTTAATAAGAGGACTGATTGGCCTTGATTCTACTGCGTGCCATCATAGTGTGTCATTACAAACATATTCTACTTTTTTTCTAAACACAGATTTCCCGCTGGCATATCCCCAACTTCAAGATCAAGCGCATTTTCCTGTCATGGGTAACTCTGCGTCCACCAGCTTCATCATCCCTACTCCCAGGAAACTGTCCTGGGGTCGGCAGAAGGAAGACCGTGTCAAGCTGGATGACTTGTTGACACAGTGCGAGGAGGATCTCTGGAGAGCCAAACAGAAGAAGCGTTTGTCTATGAAGAAGGTCCACCTCACTCGCAGCATCGGCTACGTTGATCTGGCTGTTCAGGAGTGTAACAGCTTCACTCCAAAGAGGGCAGAAATGCTGAACCCTGCTTTTGTTGGAGATCAGGGTCTGTGAATGAACTGAAATCACCATGGCCAATCAGAACCCAACCAGAGGATCCTCTCGACTGTGATGTTTGAGGGAGGAACTGCAAACAGCTTATCTGTAGAAATGTGATCAAAAGCGAAACCTTGTGGGAGTCAACACATTTTATTATTTCCATTTTTTGTCGAGACGTAAGGCAAGATCAGCCCTCCACATTGTAACTTATGTTGGTGACAACAGAGACAAGGAAATCCTGTCTTCACAGCTCTCTGTTCATGGTGCACACAGCGACAGGTAGAGTGAAGTTTGTGTTCCTTTTTTAAAAATAGGTTTTAATTCTGAAAAAGTTATTTAATTCTCTGCAGCTGAACTTCCAGCGACTTTTCAATGACTTAACATGTCATTTCAATCAGCACTTGCTGTAAAGGTTTCATCTTTGCATAATCTGGATCTCAGCATTGTATTATACCTTTGTGTATATCATTTTTGTTCAGTTCTCTGCAGAAAATTTGTAACAAAGATGTCAGCAAACTTGTTGGGAAAAAGACATTCAAACCTTTCCGTTGATACTGTTTTGACCTCTTGATTTCATTTTAGAGCAAAAGTGAGTCATTGTTCTCACATTTTAGACAAACATGTTTTTTTCTGAAGTTTGGTCATGTTGTCTGACAGAGCAAATAAAATCTCACATACACAATTTACTGCAAAATATTCTATTGTTGACTTTATTTAATGTACCAACTGTTAATCAGAGCAGGGCACAGTGAAATGATTTTATAGCCTCAGTGTTTCATTCATCATCTCTTTGAACTCAAGATACATACTGCATTTACTACCAAAGGCCCATTAGCAGTACTTATGATAAGTTAATCAGTGGGGTTGTAATATTTAAATTATCTAGGATCTAAAGAAGAAGCAGAATGAGCTACATTTCTTAGAAGATTTTGGTTTCATTTAATGGAAAAAGAATCTCACAAAAACAAAATAGGAGAAGTTGTGATAACTAAAATAAATCAAATTCCACTGCAAAAGAGGGAAGCGAGAGCAAGGATGGCCCTACTACCTACTTTTATAGGTTTTTTCTTTTTTGTGTGACAGAAAAAAAAAGTGTGATTGGAAGCACAGATACTAAAATTATGATTAATATGACTTCCCTAATGTACGTCTGATAGGACAAATTTTTGGTGTAAATCAGGTTTATGGTGTAACTTAGTGGGCATGTGGTCGAATAAAAATGGAATGGAAACTATTCATCTGTCGTCAGGGGAATGACAGTGGTGCCAAACGAACTAGGAAATATTTGTCACTTAATCTGCAGGTCTGACCTCCACAGGACAAGATGGATGCTTTGAAGTGGCGTCTGTTCTTTCTTTGGCTTTGCGTCGACGGTAAAGTACATACACAATAATCTTTAATAGCACACAAAAAGCATAATTGTTCTTTTTCTCTTTCTTGTTATGATCTCTTTTCTGAGAAAAATGATCATATTTTTCATTTTATCACAGTAGTTCAAACTGAAGCTTCGTCTTGGACCATTAACCTGCCATCCACAGTTAAAGGTCACCCTGGCTCCTGTGTGGTGATTCCCTGCTCTTTCAGCTACCCAGGCAACAAAAAGGATGTGACTAAATTCACAGGGATTTGGATGGAGGAAACAAATCATTTTGTCTATCACCCAGACAAGTCTCAAATTGTGCAGCAGTATCGGGATCGCACAGAGCTGCTGGGAGACATCACGCACAAGAACTGTTCACTGAAGATTGATCGGCTTCAGCAAAGTGACCAAGGCCCGTTTCATTTCCGGATTGAATTGGAAAACTTGAACAACTTTTCTTACAAGGAGCACAAAGTCTCCATTGCAATGATTGGTAAGGAATGCATAACAATTTATCAAAAAACAACTTAAACACTTAAAAAAATACTACACTACCACAGTGTTTACTTCTGCTGTGAATTTTTGTTATTTCAGCCAAGGAGGTTTTCATCTGTGTTTCATGACATTTTGAGGGGAGGGGGCAGATCAAGCTTTTTTTTCCACTTTCTTCAACATTGCAAGATAGGGTATTTTTCATCATTGTAATTGATTAATCTGAAATACTATGGGTTAGGGTTAGGGTTAGGGTTTGGTGCCGATCCAAATAAAATTCCAGATCTGGTGAATTTAAATTAGGTTTCACAAGGGAACTGTAAATTAGGTTTCACAAGGGAACTGTTTAAATCGAGGTATGTGCTCTACTAAGTTTCCCACTAGTTGTTAAAGTGTTGGTCATAACCATAACCCCAAAGACATAGTTCACGAACAGCACACACTGAGGTATTGTTAGCAATCATTTAAAATGTCTAATTTAAGCAGAGACTGGTTCCTCATTTGTCACTGGTTGGTTGCCCTCAGTTGGCTTATTTGATCATAACCGTAGAACCTCTTTCATTGGCAGATATGTAAAAATGAAGGGAAATGCAACCGATCTTAACAATTCCTTCAAGTCAAGTATTGTGTCCACAGGAGTTCTGACAACATTTGTACTTAATATCAGACTGAAAAGCTTGGAATATATTTGAGCATGATATGAATTAGTGGGACCTGGTTTGTAGAAAGATAAAGTGACTTAAAGTGACTTAAATCAACAGGAAACATTTTTCTATCTATACCTTAACCCCACAACCCTCTGCAGCATATTGAGTAATCGGTTCCTAGGTTGTGGTTTTTTTAGTTGTATAATGGTTCCTACTTTCTTTTGACAACTATATGCTTTCTATATTTTAGACTAGAGAAATACCTTATATAGTGCATATCTCCACCAGGGCCCAAATGTCCCCTTATAAAACCACATTTAAATTCACTAGATACAGATTTTTATTTGGCTCTGTACCAAATGCCCAAACTCATATCAGTCCCCTGAAAATGCTTGATTTATTACCAAGATCCATAAATTGTTCTCTGAGAAATCAACAGAAAGTTCCCTCTGATCTGGATCCACACCAGAAGTTAATAACAATAATAACTTTATTCGTATAGCACTTATCTAAACAAGGTTACAAAGTGTATCACAAAATATACGGCAGTAAAAAAATAAAAGATAAATGGATGTTAGGGACATATTCAATTAATTTCAATTCTAATCGCCAAATCAAACATATTAAGGTTAAAAACAAATGGTTCTTCAGTTCCTCCGGTTCTTCCTTGGGTAGTTCTTGGGTAGTTCTTGGGTAGTTCTTGCGTAATCCTGCTAACAATCAAATGAAAACATCACCTTTTGGTGGAAGTAATAAACGAGGACAGAATACAGAACTTCAAAAAACTGCATCTTTGCTTTGAACAGATTAAGTGCTTTCCCTTATTTTCATGACATTACCCCTACGATCACAACCTATCTTGTTGTTACAGGTAAACCTGATCTGGCTCTCTCTATCTCAGGGGACGTAGTTGAGGGTCAGACTGTGGTGGCGCACTGCTCCGTGTCTCCCTCCTGTCCCAGCCCCCCCCCTGTCTTCAGCTGGAGTCACTCTGGAGAGGAACATTTTCACTCTCTGCAGTTTGACGACGGCCAGTGGAAAGCAACAGCTGCTCTGACCTTTCAACCAACCAATGCTGACCACAACAAGCCTTTACTGTGCACCGTACAATACAGCGGAGGGCAGCAGCAGGAAACATCCAAGCTGCTCAAAGTCAAACGTAAGTGTAGACAGCAGTGGTGACGTGTTATCATAGACATTATATATTGACAGACAACGTTCCTCCCACTATCCAGAAAGGAAGTCAAATATCCCTGATACCAATGCTGCCATCTTGAGCTGATAGCTTCACTGGAGCCAGAGTCTGTGCAGTAGCGATCAGGGGATAGAACCTCAGTATCGAGGTTCTGCCGATACATGGGCGCTGTCAGTCTTAGCTGTCAATCAGAATGTTTCACCCCGTTTTTAAAGCATCAAACGTACTTTGACTTTTTAGTTTGGCCCATGACCCATTCGCTAACATGGAGGAGTAAGGGTTAATGACCTCTACTGCAGCCAGCCACTAGGGGGCGATTCAGACTTTTTGTCTTCAACACCCCTTAGGCTTTTACAGCTTTATAAAAAAGATTACAAAATGTAACCATAATGTAAACATTTCATGTGTTTTCTTGCAGATGCCCCAGTGAATGTGAAGGTTGAGTACAAGTCTGATGTGAAGGAGGGAGAAGCTGTGCAGCTGAAATGCTCCAGCGATGCTTACCCTCGTGCCAGCAGCTATGAGTGGTCCAGTGAAGCTGGTGTTCAGCAGCATCAGGGAAACATCTACACGATGCTTAACGTCTCCAGACACATGGGTGCATTGTACTGTACTGCCATGAATACAGTCGGACAAGGCAAATCTAGCCTTGTGCATCTCAGTGTGTTGTGTAAGTAAGCAATTCATGAAATGTAATGATAAAGTATGTACTGTCATACGGCTAACTCATTACTTACTTACTTCTCATTACAGATGCCCCTGAGATTAAAAGTGTCTCCTCCTGCTCCTTAGAGGGGGATATGGTAAAGTGTGTGTGCATTGTGGAGTCTAAACCTCCCTCTATGGTCCGTTTTGAGCTTTCGGAAAGAGTCCTACCAGGAACCATAATAGAGAGACACGGCTCTGTCACCATTGGAACTCTGCAGGGCGACTTTGAATCCTTTGAGTTTGTCCACTGTCTGGCAAACAACACGGAGGGCTACGCCAACCTCGTACTCTCTCTACCTGTGAACGGTGAGGAAGTGTTACAGATTTAGAACACATGGTATTTCTAATATGCATAAACAACTGATGGCATGAGCTGCAGAAAAAAAGGAAAGTGACCGCAGGTGGCTTCTGTTTGAACAGGTGCGAAAAAGCATCTCTATATCGCCATCGCCATCGGAGCATGTGTGGTTCTGGTGATACTTTTATTGGCTGTGGGACTTAAAAAATGGTAAGTGGGACGAGAATACATTTCCTCTCAATGAAAGTAAAGTCAGCGATGAGGTAAAGTATGTAGGTACTGCCCACTTGTGGTCAAACTAGAAAATAGCAAGCTTAAAGAAACTTGAAGTTGATTATAAAGATGCCATGATTATTTGTTATAATTGATATGATTATTGCTTAAGAGACTAAGATGGTTGAGTGTGAGTGAAATGTATGAATGTATTTATTATTTATCTTTTTGGTTTTCCACATAGATCAGGTGTTTTCAAAGTGTGGGAGAGTTAGTTAGTTTCAAACATCTGTGCTTTTTTTTTAACACATCACATTTTCTTTTTTAACACCTCACATCACCACAACCGCGACCCCCCTGAAGAACTCTGGGGCCCCCGAGGGGAGGCGTGCCCCACACTTTGAAAAGCCCTGACAGATAACACATCTATAGAGTAATTGGTACGGTTGTCTTTATATTAGACATTCATATTTATATATTATATATTTTCTCTTTTGGGTATATAGGCTATGTAGTTTTTATCTTTGCTGTGTTATATTTCATGTGGATTTTCTGCAGTCTGAAAAAGGCAAGTAGAAAAAAAGAATAACTTTTTCTTTTCAGTTATGATTTTTATCTATAGCATGGCAATCTGAATGCTCTCAATGAAAATGTGTTAAATGTAGAGAAACATGTATCTCATAATAGTCAAACCACTTCACTTTGACCTCTGTTGGAGAAGTGGGGTTGCTCAATGTCTCAGAGGACATGATAATCTCTGTCCAGGTTTGCAGTGTGCTGGGGTGGCACTGTGGTAAAGGGGTTAGCACTGTTGCCTCACAGCAAGACGGTAACCAGTTTGAATCCCAGCTGTCTTTGTGGAGTTCTCCTCATGTCTGGGTTTTCTGTGTGTACTTTTGTTTCCTCTCACAGTACAGAAACATACAGATTGGGGTCCAAAAGTATGAATGTGAGTGCAAATGATTGTTTGTCTTCAGCCAACAAGGATAAGCCATATAGATAATACATATGAATGGTGCAACAATAGTTACTTTTTTCTGGATCCTAAATTAAAAGATCTTACTCTCCCAGTAGGGGAACATCTGGGGATACACCAACACCTCACTTGGGCACTGTGAGGGATAACAAAGAAGAGCTCTCTGAATGCGCAGCAGTAAAAAGGTGACAGATACTAGCCTCAGTCTGAAACAAACAAAAGTCTCCTCATGATTTAACATGACAATTTTTCATAGTCCCATGTTAATAACCCGTCTGTGTTTGTATGCACTCTTCAGAAAAGACATGAACTATGTGATGCAGTACCCTGAACAAAATGTCAACGATCATGTGTATGGCAACACGGAGGCAAGTGAAGTTTTCTTTATTCATTCATTATTTCAACACATGCATGAAGACAGCTCTAACTGTTACTTCATTCCCCATACAGACTGACTGGGATGATGCAATATATGCCAACATGTAACATCGCTGAGTTCAGTGCAGCTGCGGTTCCTCTTTGAGGTGATGTTGGTCAAGACAGTTATGAAGAAAAATACATACTGATATGACATTTTCTGTATATGTTAAACAAGCATGTGATTATTTTTCTGTGTGCTGGAATTCACAGATGAATTTTTCAGAAAGAGTTTCCTGTCTTAAAACAAATTTCTGATTGACGCACACTTGTGTCTGCATTTCGCTGTTTGCTTTTCGGGTCAACATTAACATCCTTTATGTTGTGGCAAATCACCATTAAAGTATTGCAATTATACTTGTAAATGTGGTACTCTTGATTTTGTGGTTGGTTTCAAAGCAATATTACACAAAAACCATTGCACAGATGCACAGAGAACTTGGAGGAAGGATGTGGTATGGGTCAGAAAATAAAGGATAACATTTTCACTTTCTTAAACATTGTGAGATAAGGCTTTTTTTTCAATATTTTCAATGTGGATCTAGATTATTTAAAGAGGGTTTCATCAGGGGACTGTTTCACAAGTTAAACTAATAGGAGGTGTTTTCTCTTTGTTTTTTCTTAAAACACAGTGAGAAACCAACCACGTTTGAAATGTCAGTTCCCTGCTAAGTACAACTATTTCAGTCAAATTAATTGATAAGGATTCTGAAGTAAAGCTATCACACTTGTTAAAAAAACGTTCTTGAGAGTGATACTTTCAGTTCAGCTTCACACTTCATGATCAAGCATCTATTACATGACTGGACTTCACAGTTGCAGACAATTTTGTCTAGACCACAAGCAAGACACACTGTGGCCTGCACATTAACACAAGTGACAGAGTCCAATAATATTTTGCTTTAAGCCTTTTACTGATAATGCCATTAAACATCACACATTAACAGAAAATAACTTAATCTCTGGATATAACACTGACTCTATAAAGAAAACAGAAGTTTCAGCCACAGCAGAGATGAAATGGGAAGTTACTTTTCAAATAAATGGTGTAAGAAATAAACAAACCCAAAAGATCAAGTGAGGTTATTCAGTCATACGGCAAGCCCTCTCTCTGTAGACTAATTTAGATTACATGAATCATTTCCATAGACACAAGGTTGGTGCTTTAGTGCTCACGACAAACAATACAAATGAAACCATGAAAAATTCTATAAAAAACTCCATCATGTAAACAACAGTCTTTAATAAAAATTCAAACACGGACGATGATTGCGAGCTGCAGAATCCAGGATGTGTGTAACCGCAAGGGAGACTGGATCCAATAAGATCAACCAGTTTGATTGTTTCTATTCTATAATCTATCTTTCTACGCTACCCACATGTGTATGTGTAAAGTGGAAGCTCGGCAACAAAGCACTATCCACCAAAACCACCAAATTAGGGAATTTCAAACTAAAACTACTATTATTTTAAACAATTCTTGGCTATAACAGACTGTGCATTATTAATTGTTATACTGTCTTACATGAACGCCAAACAACTTTAAATATCACAATATGAAATAATATAATTAAATACCTGCTATTTGTAACTCCTGTTAGTCTACAGCCATGAAGAAAGTAAATGTAAAAAATAAACTTCTGGACACGGGTAACAGACACAGATGAAAATGACAAACAACCAATCTGAGTCATGAAATTACTACAAATCATATAGCCATGTTGTCTTTACAATATTGAGCCTTTTATGCTCTGATTTTGTCTCTTTTTAGTTTATTTGAGTCTCTTTGTGTTCGTTCAGAGTCCTTGGAGTAGAACTGGGTGTGTACGTGAGAGTCTGCTTTTTTGGAATGGAACATATTTGCGTATTACAAAACATTCAAGTTCACATTTTGAAACCTGTCCTGGGTGGCCATAAAATAATAAATAATAACCCTGCAGTTGTTTGTTCTGCAATAACATGTTGTTTTTACGGTTGATCTAAAATATCCTAGAGGATGTTTCACAGACATGAACAAAACAATGCAGAATTCAAAGGTTGTATTTGAGACAAAGGTTTAAAACTAAATAGATTATGAGATTCAGCTATTGTGCTATTATGAATAATCTACATTTCCGTAAATATTGTGTATGTGGTCCTCATCCATCTGATCTGTAAGGGCCTGCAAAGACACAAGGAGTATGGGTTACAGCAGGGTCAGCCATTACTGTTTTAGCTACTTTTTTCTAAGGATAGTAAAAACAATTGGTGTATTGTACCTCCGTGTTGACGTAGATGGGCTCATCAATAATCTTGAATTCAGAACGTTTATTGTTTTCTTGATTTTTGCAAGATGCTTCTCTGAAAAGACAAAATAAATTGGTTTCCATTTTGAGAAAGAGTAGATCAGAGGTGTTTCATGGACAATGTGTCACATCCACAAATATCTTCAGGTTTTATGTGTCTAGCTCTAAACTTTGATTCTCGTATCGCTCAAGTACAAAAAATTGATGATGCAAAATAACATTGCGTTTTGATTTAACCACTTTATCATAAAACAAACCTTTGGGCTGGGTCATTTGATGCTCTGCTAAAATTTGCATAGTATCCAGAACTCTCCCTGTCCAAAGATTGTGACCTGTAAAAAGGACGTAGGTGAACGAGGTTAAGAATTAAAAATGCAAAGCTTTACAAGGAAGGTACACACTAATTTGAAGACTCCATCCTGACATGTTTTATGGCATATGAAAATGAAACTACTTTGAATAAAAATTTGCGTGATTAACAGTTCAATTACATCATAAAACATTCTTCAGTTTACTTTTATTCCCCCTTTTTCCACATCACATTATTAGTCTCCGAAACTATTAGTGATGTCATAACATAAGTCATACATACATATATGTGTTAACTCAAATTTAAAGTGAGCAAACTGAGACTCAAGTGTTAAACTCTGCATGTATACTGCATCATCCCAGTGAACAATATCACGTTCAAGGTGGACGAGGACTTTAAAACAATTGCATATAGTTTACATGAGGATAACATCAGGATCAGGGGCAAATACTTTTACTTAGAATTTACAAACGATTTAAAAGTGAAGTTACCTTTTGCACTTCATGTGAAAGAAAACCGCAGCAAGGACAACAGCAACGAGGAGAAGAGTAGAAAGTGGTACAAAGATGGCTGCATACATGTATGAGGTCAACATCGCTGTGAGGGAAATTATTACAACTACTGTGAACTGTGATGTTTTCAATGAGAAAGAAAAACCAACTGAATTAAAGATTTTCATGTGATAAACATTTGTTTGATAAACGTAAAAACTCACGTGTGAATGGAATGGGGGGAAATGTGGAGTTACCATCTAAAAAAACAAAGTAATTAGTGATTAAGATTACATATCCTATAACCCTGGTAATCAGTTGTAATCTGAATATTATTGCCTGTTTATACTACCTTGGCTGAGATTGAGTGCAACCCCTGTAGAAGAAACATGTGAAGTGTTCATTTAATTTGACTTTTCTCAAGAATATAAGCATAATTTAGACCATGTATAAAATGCTTTGTTGAAATTCTTACCAGACACTGAAATGGACACAGGATTCTTAAAGAAACTGTAGTTTTCACCCTTTGCACTAAGTCTCACATAGAGTTTCTGTTCATTATCCATGACGTTCCTGATCCTGAGGGAGCAGTTTCCTTCATTTTTATTTCCAATGAGCTCGGTCTTTCCTCTGTATTTCTCCACCACATACGTGTCATTCGTATGAAAAACAAACTGGTTTTTGTCATTGTCATGTGGCTCGAAGCTGTTTCTCTTAGGTCTTTTCCAGTAAACCTGAACATCATTGGTGTGGTATTTCTCTGGATAAGTAAAGTTGCACAGTATGATCACGGTTGAGCCCAGTCCTGTATTAATGTTTTGAGGGACATTAATTTTCCAGCTTTGACCTGTGTTCAAAACCAAACCAATTGTTAACATATGGATGTACCCAGTATAAACTTCATAGGATTATATTGAAAACACAGTATGTCTCCCACCTTTTGAAAAAGAGTTCAGGATCAATATGAGACTCAGATCGATCAGGGCCAGCAACTTCATCTGATCCAGGAACAACATTTTTATGTTAATTCACATCATAGTCCTGAAACCTAATAAATAACAGCAGTGTCCAACAAGTATAGGAACCACATTCTACCAAGTCAAATCATTATACTCTGTCATTTATATCATAAGGCAAATACTCACGGTGAGAGGGACCAGATCTTACAGCTTTGTGAGAATGCTCTCGATTTTAATGCTGATGTGAAATCATTGGGTGTGTTTCCTGTTGTTTAGAGATGATGAATTGCAAAAAAACAAAAAAGGGAAGTTATTTCACGGAAAGTTAACACTGACTTTCTCGTAGTTTAGCTCGAAAGTAAATGCCTTTAAAATCAAGAATGTGTGTTTTTATATTGCATTGAGTGGGGGAAAGTATCCACTGCATTAAATATGAAATATGGAGATATATCGAGGAAGTATTTATAAGTTAAATTAACTGCATTTCTAAAGTACTATTGTCATAACAACCACTCAAAGGGGTTCACACTTTTTTCACACATTACAAGTCACATTCACACATACACTTGTAAACTGCAGCAGATTTCTATCACACATCCTTCACACAGCTCTACCTCCTAAGCCAAAGCCAACTGCAATGCACTTACACGTGAAATACATGAAGCCTAAACAGTGTCGGACATTTCACGCAGATGGGGACGTTGCTGCTCAACTGCACAGCACAGATGAAATGACACGTAGAATTATGTCCTGAAAAAGTATAATTAAAGCACAACTCAACACTCCAACTGTGTAATGTTTAAGGCACAAGCAAGAGGGTCTTTTTTTCTGTGGTGTTGATAAAGATCTCAGCCCAGTTATGTCAATTTTACACATCTCTTAAGTAAAATCGCAAAGGTTTTTAGAATATGTACAAAGAATGACAATAGATAGTTATGCTTTTATTTCTAATTTGAACAGATTGTTGTTATCTTCTTATTTATTTCTAAAACATTGCTTAACAAACCTTTGAAATAGCTTACATGTACTGTGTGAAAAAGTAAAACCAGTAATGTAAATCCTTCAAACTTATATACATGTAAAGAGTAATAAAGCAAATCCAGTTTAATTTTATGAAAAAACATGCACTATTCAATTCAATGTTATCAATGTGCCAAATCTGAATATACATTATCTCAAGGCACTTTACATAGAAGGTCAAGACCTTAGAAATTATAGAGATGTAGCCGGAACAAGTCCGCAGGTCCCGACCACACTGCGTGTTCTGGGGCACAATCAAATGCTGGACACAGGGATGTCTTGCTGAACTCAGGTTTATTCCCAAAGAAAGCAACATGCTGTTACATGAATTTCTCTCCACACATCAACACTCCTCTCGCAGTCAAATACAGTACAGACTGACTATACATTTGAAATTGAATCCAAAATAAATATAAATAAACAACAATTGTTACTTTTTGTTTTCAACCAAATAACACCAAGTGATATTACATAATGCACTCTATAGCTCAGCCTACATGACCATCATCAAAGATGCAACGAATAATTTAGACATGCATCTGTCACAGATTGATAACAAAACAAAATAGCTGCTACACAAAAGAAAAGTTTTCTCTCTCAACAGTTGCCCACAGCCCCCGGGCATCATGGAAACCACATCACATGACAAAATAAACACGCCAGTACAGTTGAACAATGTGCAATAAATATACAAATACCTCTGGCGTCACCAAAGAAAGCAAAATGCTGTTACATGGATTTTTCTCCTCACATCAACACCCCTAACATGAGAGAAGGACAACTTGAGAGAAGAGAGGGAGAGATAGGGGGAGAGTGGGGTGCCATCTGTACTTTTGTAACATCTTTTTTTTTACACATTTCAGACATCTGCCCTTTTTTTTAACACATCACATTTTCTTTTTTAACACCTCACATCACCACAATCGCGCCCCCCAGAAGAACTCTGGCGACCCCGAGGAGAGGCTCACTTTGAGAAGCCCTGCACTTGAGCACCTGCCCCCCAAACTGTCTGGGGACGGCCCTGGGTGTGATATTATTTCCCAGGTGGATTTGTGTTTGGGATGTACTCCACGCTGCTGTGACAAACTTGTGCTTGACGCGGTCGAACCACTGGGTGGAGTGAGATCTGCTCTCTCAAACCCAGAGTGAACTTTGGCACTGAAGTCTCCACCTGGAATGTGGGCCAATCTCTGGTCTCTGGGTGCGGTCATATGACTCCCAGCTGAATGAGACTCAACAACGGGCTGCAAATCCTCTGCTGGAAACATTTCCACAAGCTCCGGAGATCTGGATCCTGATTCTCACCTGTTGGAGGAAGTCGCTCCAGGTGACTGCGCTCGGCTGCGCGCAGGGAGAGATGTGTTAGGGGAGGGCGTCGTGTGCCAGAGGACGATGACAGGACCGTCTCCATGTCTCAGCTCCGTGGATGCAGCTGCTCGTCTCTACCTGTGTGAACTCTGTCAGACATGGACAGCCTGAGTGACGGGAGTCCGCGGCAGGAAGCGGTGGAGCAGGAGAGGAGCCCATCACCGGACAGTCTCCAGCCAGATGTCCGGTCCGGCAGGAGGGTAGCGACGGTCAGCTCTCCCGCTCTGTCCGCCGCACGACTCACCTTGCCAGGGATCATGGACGCCGAGGGCAGGGTGGACGAGTCAAGACTGAGGATGCATATATTCAAAAACGGTAGATCTGTCTGTCTATCTATCTATGACAACTAACTAACTAACTAACTAACTAACTCACATGTGAAAATGCACCGTGACCAATCACATGCTTTGCACCTGCATCCAGAATTATTGCTGGTAATCTCCTAAATAAACTATATATGCTTCCTATTTAACTTGACTTTACAGGACACACTTTATTTTCATTCATACGCAAAACTGTTACACACGAGGAGTTTGTCAGTGACTCAATTTTGACTCATTACAGTAGAAACTAATGACTCTGAGGCCACAACAGGCCAAGAAAGTACCTTAGATAATCCCATAATGCCTTTTTAGAAATAAAAGTCTTTTCTAATCCAGTGAAATTCATGTTTGAAAGATTATTTGTACTTTTGTAATACTGTATGGAGCACAGCCTATACAACAATAGGATCTTTAACTATATGTGTTTTTGAACATTGTTTTGCATGATAAAAAACTTGTTTTGCATTTGTTTCCTTTCCACATTTATGAGCTTTTCTTACAGATTCAAATATATAGTTTAAGTCTCTTCAAAACAGTGCCCATTTTAGCATTATTTTGTTGTGCAGCAAATTATTCAGCTTGGATTTCTATGATCACGTGTCAGGGTACATCAGTGGGTTGTGACCATTCCTGCGGCCTGAGAGAGAGTCAAGTGATGCTTTGCTTCAGGTCACTGGTTGAGCCACAGACTAAACCTTTCTCTGAAATCTAACATTCTTGTGTGCATCAGAGCCCCTCCAGCCATGAACCCCAGCGTGACTACTGAGATAAAACAACAGAACATTTCAGAAATTACGATCACATGAGATTCAAGTTGGTGTGTGAAACTAAGAAACAAGGATAACTCTGGATTTGTGGCTCCAGTGTTAAATCTCTCTCAGAGAGTAAGTATGTGTACAGGGATGATCTTACTGTGGTAAAACATCACTGGATCTCTCATCTTTGAGCAGGAATGTGGAAACAGCTCCCTCCTTCTCTGTGGCCCTCTGACCTTTATGCACATTCCAACCCGACAAACGTGGAAACCAAAGATTAAAGAACCTGCAGAAGAAAACATTACATAAGAAGAAGGAGCAGGGCAAAGTTGACTAAATTTTGGATCAGTGATGGCAAAGTTAAGTCTCGCCATGTGATCCATTCAGGAGTTGTTTTGATCTGGTCATGATTGATTTGCCTGAATGATAATTGTTAAGTCATTGTTGGAAAGCTGCTTAATTGCTCACTATGTATTGCTCACTATAAATGATCACTATAGAAGCTTTTTTAAATCCCTGCCTAGGTGGTGTGTCTCCCTCCGAGCGGGGCCTGGTGTGGCGTTTCCTGTTCGGGATGTACCCGTGCAGCTCCACGGCTTTAGAGCGCTCTCTGCTGCAGGAGCAGTTGGTCGTTCGATACCGGGTCATGAAAAGAAAGTGGCAGCAGTTCCTCCCTTCATCTGTGCGGATGCATCTCAACGGCACAGACGGTAAAGACCCAAACACATATAAACTCTTTCATAATAAAAAGTTACATGTCTCCTCTGTGTGCCTCCCTTTGTTTCTGCCCTTCTTTCTCTTTTTATTTAAACGTTGATGACCATATGAGCCTGTCTCCATTGTAGCTGAGCTGGTCGCAGCTGTCCGGTACTTTGACCAGAGGCAGTTGGAGGCCCAGCAACAGACCCAGGACCAGACAGAGGAGGTCAGGGACAGACTGGCTTTCTTAGAGCTTCAGGCACAGGTTAGTATGATTATAACCTGTTAGAATTTGATCTTTTCTATATCATTTGCTTTTCTACTCAGTTCATGCTAGGTTTCAGCTTTGGTTCTGTTATTTAGTTTGCGTAGTTCCTTCAAATATATTCCCATTGGCTGTGTTTGTTTGGAGAGAAAAACTCAGCTGTTAAAGAAGGGAGGAGTGTTTGTTTAAGTAAATTACACAACAGGATCTTTTTTTGACTGCTTGCCATGTATTTACATACAGTATCATTCGACTTCTTTATATCAGCTGATGTTTTCTGTGCAGTGAGGGGCAGCTGATAGATTTCAGAATACAACTTTAACAAAACACTTTCAAAGTGCTAACCGCATTAAAGACATTGATATTCCTTATTCTGGTGCTAAGAAAGGAGAAAATAATTAATATGAAATGTTTTTTTGAAAAGCTGTTAACACTGTGATAATGATCAACTATTGTGAAAATATATTTGTGTCGACATTTCCCTCCTGTTAACAGATATTATTCGAGCGGGTCACGTTTGACCAAGAGGAACTCAGGGAAGCCATACGAATCATTGACAAGGACGCACCGAGAACTAACAGAGACCTGAGCTACTACCAGTGAGTGACTGTCTACTGTTTCATTTATTATTTTTTCATTGTGCCACAAAACATTTTTAATAGATTTTAACTGCAAAAATCACGAATTAAAGATTTTGTCTCCTGCCCCTCAGAACCCCAGAACCGTCTGTTTCTCCTAAACACAAGCATGTTGGGACAATGCAGAAATTATAGGGAGCGAAAGTTGAAATTCTAGTTTAAATTTTTCAGTTAGAATATTTGTTTTACAAATAACCACTTGTCAAACTGGTGTATATCAAATGTCACATGACATCACAAATTGTTTTATGTGGGGGAGAGGACAGCACAGACTTTAGGCTTTTAACTTTGCAGCTAAAATACAGTTTATCTCAAATGCAGTTTATCTCTTTTAAAGAATAAGAGCCATATTAATTTAAGGTTCATTGTTTTAAACCTGTAAATAAAAATGGGCAACTAACCTTCTATTGTATATTTTTTACTAGTTTCATAATAATAAGAGTTTATTGTTAACAATTAAGTTGTCATATATTTCTATACAATGCTCTTCAAATACCTTTTTCTCCTGTGTCTCAACTGATTCTGCTCTGTTCTCTGTGTGCAGGGGTGAAGGTTCAGGTAATCTGTTAGTGCTGAGAGATATCCTCATCACTTACGCTGCGTTTCATCCAGGTAACCAACAGAAACAAACCCCCCTCATGGTTATTGACACTGAATAGATCAGACTGCATTAAAGGCAGTTTGTTGTGCTGTTAAACACATTGACTGTTTGTTTGTGCACCACTTGTCTTGACTGACGATCCAGAGGTCAGTTATGCCCAGGGAATGAATGACCTGTGCAGCCGGTTCCTAGAGGTTCTTGACTCGGAGGTTGACACGTTCTGGAGTTTCTCCTGCTACATGGAGAAATTCTCCAAGGACTTCAGAGCTGATGGTCTGCACAGAAAAATAGGTGAGGTTATACCAAAAAAAATGAATCTTCATGCATATAATAACTGTTGTTTCCCAGATATGTTTATAGCAAAAAGTATCCACGACCTCTAGTGGTAAAAGAAGGATATTGAAAAGTTATTATATTTCCAATTCACTTGAATTAGATATTAACAGGTTTTATTTTCCAACGATAAGACATTTGGTAGTAAAAATTATAAACTGCCATATATAAACTAAAATGACACTCAATAGACTGCAGACCTCGACCAAGACCCAACAGTCCCCTTATGAAACCACGTTTCATAAATATCCTTCCCCAAAACATGTCTGAATTTAACTTTTTAAGTCAGGATCCATAAATTATTCACAGAGAAATCAAAGAAAATTTAGAAAAACACCTCTCACAATGTTAAATTGAATATTACCCTGTTTCGGATCTTTAACAAAATTGAGTTCTTCCCTGACCCGTACAACATCTTTCCTCTAAATGTATTTGTAATAGCAAAAAGTATTTAGGACCTCTAGTGGTAAAACAATGATATTAAAATCATATCTTTAGAACATGCAGTACTGATAATATATATGCAATTCACTTGTATCAGATATGTACAGTATTTATGAATGTATTTATTTTTGCAATGATAAGAAGTTTGACTGTAGTGCAGACAAATATAACAAAATGCCATATATGAATAGAATTTATAGATATGTTAATTATATATATTTGAAAGAGTTGTGTTTAATGTCTTTTTAGAGTTGGAGGCAGACCTGCTGAAGGAACTGGACCCACAGCTTTACACTCACTTAGTCACAGACAGCATGGAGAGCTTCACCTTCTGCCACAGGTAGATCTTTGGTACCGTTGTCTATTCATTTTCTATGTAAGGTTGTTAGTGTTCTCCCATGTGCACATTTATATTTGTACATTTGTTGCCCCCTCTTCAAGGTGGCTGCTGCTGGGTTTTCAAAGGGAGTTTGAACACAGCGACGCACTACGCTTGTTCGAGATCCTGAGCTGTGACCACCTGGAGCTCATCTCCCAGCAAGTAGACCGAGCCAGGTATCAGGAGCGGCTGGCACTGAAACACAACACAGGTAAAATCCAGAACTCAAAACCGTCAAAGCACAGGAAGGTTGCCTCTGAAACGTCAGACATTAAAGTAGTGACATCTCTCTGCTGTGTGATGTTTGCAGAGGACAGTCCAGAGTCAGAGCTGCAGGCCGTCAATACTGACTTCACCTTTGAGCTCTTCATCTGTGCAGCCATCCTGCTAGAGAACCGCGAGTCTCTGCTGCAGTGTCGAGACGAAGTGCAGCTCATCCAGTTCACTACCAGGTTTGTCTGTATGCAACAACAATATTACAGGATTTCGTGCCATTTGTGAATCGGTTTCAACGTGTCTTGCTTTTTTTCCTGCAGCCTTCAGGGAACACTGGACCTGAATAGCACACTGAAGAAAGCAGAGCAGCATTTCTACAACTACTGCAAACGCTGTGCTTGGGATTACATGAACGGACACTGCAGAGAACACAAAAGCAAAGAAGAGGACTTTCTTTATCAAATCCGCAGTTTATTTGTGTTGAGGTGAAAGCTGCTATTTTAACACTTAATCTTAAGAACTCTTATGAAACATGGAAAGTATGGGACACACTATATAATCCCCATGTGGAGTTTTGATGGAACATAAACACAAAGGCTTTATTTTCTGAGGGAAATGCACTGATGTTCTGATGGCTGCTTACCTGTGTATTATATCAATGTACAGTATTTATTGTATTGAAGTTAATCAACACCAATTCTGAGTCACTCTCGTTGTTCTCCTATATCATGAATATGAAAGAGCTTTGTGTGTTAAAGCTTAATGTTCAGTGTGTAGAATTTAGTGACATCCAGTGGTAAAATTGCATGGTGTTTAAAAAGGTGTTTAGTTTGTCCATTTTGGGCTACTGTAAAAAACATGGCGGCCCCAATAGAGAGGACCCTCTACTGATGTAAATATAAAGTATTTAAATGTAAAGGGCCCATTCTACAGTGAAGAAAACAACAATTACTACAATTTAGATGAAACATTCCAATGAAAACATCACTAGGATTATTTTATATTCAATTTCTGCCAATAGATCTCTTTCACCTAAATCTTACACACTGGCCGTTAAAAGATTCGTTCTTCTGGGTTACGCAACCATCAACTGCTCGAAGGAAACCACTACTTGGCAGACATATTCGTATCCTGATATGTGGCGTGTCACAACAGGTGGTGTCTGTAACGGACTGCAGTTACTTACAGTGAATGTTATGCCAAATGGCACATGTGTCAGAGAATAACAAGAATAGACATCCAGCTTGTGAGCTGTGGAGGAATTGTGCAGAAAATGGCGGACAACCTACTGCACAACACTTACACAATTATCTGATACCTCATTAAAACAGCTGGATATTCTTTATCAAGGTGTGTTGGTATACCTTAGTCGTTCACTTAACTCTTAATAATACATATTCTCCTCACTACTACCTGCAGGTAATAGACCAACAGGAAAAAGCAAGACCACAAATCTGTACTGCAGGAACATAAAATAATTATTTCTTTAAATGAATTTGTGCACTCTTTTAGATCAGAGATGATCAAACACAAGTAGCAAATACTTTTATTTCTAAATGGGCATTATGGCATTATTCTTCTTGGCCTGGCTTCAGCATCATCAGTTTCTACTGTATTAATTCAAAACTGAGCCACTGACAAATGCCTCCTGTGTAACACTTTGCATATGAATGAAGATAAATCTAGAAAAACTAGAGGCAGATATTATATGGATTCTTCCCCCTTGGAAGCCCGTAGGCAGTGCTTGACCTGATAGCTAAAGAACAGACATGAATAAGACAATACCAAAGTAGAGGTGGTATTTCTCCTTATCTCAAATCTTTCCCATACACGTGATGTTGCCTTTTGCATTCATTTAGTCTTGTATTGCCCACTTGTGGCAGCAGTATGGCATTGTCTCTATAGAAGCTGCACTAATTGTAGGAGGTATCCTGTGCCGATTATTATGCTCCTGTATGATCGACCATCTGAAACTTTTACAGTTTACAGTTAAAATGTTACAGTTTAATTCACAAATTTATTCAATTCTGCTTCCTGTTCACCCCAAACCACAGAGGATACCTTGCACCACCAACCATGACATGAGATAACGCGAGATGCACGTGTCTCTAATACTGCTCACAGATGGTCTGATCTTCTCTTACCACTGCATGCCACTGATGTGCTATATATGTACTTAAGTCATACCTACAGTAGGTATACTTAACAGACCATCAGTGCACCACAAAACACTTTAACTGTAGAATATTGTACTTTTAAAGTGAACTAGACATGTGAGCAACCTAATTCTGTTTCTATCATCCATCATGCAAAACTGGAACATTGATTGTTCATGATTACAAAGGTTTAGATTCTTTCCAGAGATTTTCACATTGGCTAAAAGGCATAGGGAAATCATCGGCCACACAGCACTGTCCAGAGTGTGAGTAATACAGCCTGTGAACAACATTATCCATGTTCAGGAACTCGTTTTTCAGTGCTTCAATGCAGACACGTTTAGCTGAGATGTCAAATCAAAGCCCCTGTGGCAGAATAACAGCTACAGCACTAAAACAAATCCAGGCAATGAGGATGCATGGGCCTAGAACTTTCCTTGGTGGAGTCACCTGACACCCTGATGAGCCATCCCTGCGCAGTGCTCTATAAACACTGGGAAGCAGAAACGCTCGCCCTCTTAGTCCGACTGCCAGAGGAGGGAAAGGAGTGCTGGAGAGGAGCTCAGACGTGGGCCGAAAAAGAAAGCACCACTTTAACTCAGTTAACTCTCAAGTTGTGAGCATCTGAAGGAGCAAGGTAAACTGTCTGTAAGAAGCTTTGCATTGAGCCTGGCTTCCTCGTTTGTCTTGCTTGCTGCTTTAAAAGCTAAACTGCCACATGTGGGAGGATTTGCCATATAAGAGAGGCTTGCATGGCTTCTGTCAAAGAATGGCATGACGAGCTGCAGCAGAATCCCTTCCAAAAAATACACATTGACAGTTTAAATGATTCCTTTCACAGCTCAGACACAGTCCAATGCGATCTTGCCTCTTCAGGATTGCCTCAACTAGAACAAATTAGTGAATTGCATTAACTATACAGTATGGCTTTGACTGAATCTAATATAAACCCCTTCCATGTATCACGTTGCCACAGGCCTCAGTCCTGTTTCAGATGGGAGTGTAGGCAGGCAGGGAAGTCACTGTGTCAGCACTTTCTGCCCTGTGTTACACAACTGAACAACAAGTGATAATCCAATAATCTTCTCTAGTTGCAGCCGTTCTGGGGCAATGAAATTTCTACTTTCATTCTTTTGACAAACATAAAAGAGAGAAACCATCAAAAGTATTCAAACTTGTATTAAAGACAGTTTTTTGCTTTGTGTTTTTGTGGAATATATATACTGTGTGTTTGTCTCGCTTCCTAAATTTTTCTGTCCTGCCACAATTTGCTGCATTTGTCAAAGTAAAGTCCAGAGGAGTGCAGCAACAGGAGGCTTTTGTCAAGTTCTTCAAAAATCAAATCTGTTTGTTGCTGCACCTCAAAGCTGCAGGTTTCTGGGATATTTTTGGTCACAAGGTCCTTTGCTTGAAAAGGAACCAGGTGCGTTTTTGCCCACCAGTCACTAATAGATGATGTATGAATTTGTATCCACCTTCCATTCATTGCCACGCAGATACGCTGATACTTTTTATAGTAACTGTAAGCGATTTGGAAGCAGCTGTCGGAAAATAGACACACAGATTACTATATCAGGTTCAGTAAATCACATTTCACCGGCCTGCCTGAGACACTGTCGTGTTATGTTGCTGAGGGAATGAAGCAGTGTGGAGAAGGAATGAGAGGCCAGTGTGATATAGTCATTTGGTGTATAATGTCAGGAGATAGTTTATTCCACTATGCCATGGAGGCCACGTCCCCAATAGCTGAGCTTCACTTCGCTGTGCATTTGGATTTATGTTACTAACATGGAGAGGCACACTTTTCATATATGTTGGTGTACATGTAGGTGCATATCCATGCTTTAATTAATGCTAATACATTTTTAAATGCCAAGCACAAAACAATACCAACATAAACACATACAGAATAAAAAGGGCTGTTCAATTGTTGACTGGTTTCTTTCATTTATCAAAGATGTCTAAAGGACCAGCTGTAGGCATTGATCTGGGCACCACATACTCCTGTGTGGGCATCTTCCAGCATGGAAAAGTGGAGATCATAGCTAATGACCAAGGAAACAGGACCACGCCCAGCTATGTGGCCTTCACAGACACTGAGAGACTGATCGGAGATGCTGCCAAGAACCAGGTGGCCATGAATCCAGCCAACACTGTATTTGGTGAGGACCGTTAGACCAATGAGGCAACAAGCTGTGATCAAAATATTCCTACATTCCTCATTGTGTTGATGAATAATTCCTCTGAAGAAGAAAATGCAGCACTGGTTATTTATTGTGTATAAACTGTGAACTTAACATGCGACTTACAACGCCTTGTTTCTTCTACTTCAGATGCTAAGCGTCTGATTGGTCGTAAGTTTGACGACCCTGTGGTGCAGTCAGATATGAAGCACTGGCCCTTCAAGGTTGTGAATGACTCAACCAAACCCAAGGTGGAGGTTGAGTACAAAGGTGAGATCAAGACCTTCTACGCTGAGGAGGTTTCTTCGATGGTCCTCACCAAGATGAAGGAGATCTCGGAAGCTTATCTTGGGAAGGTAGATATTCAAAAGTCTAATACTATGTTTGCCCTATGGTTATTTGGTTTTGAGCAGATATTAGGTGGCAATTGTGTGATACCACTGTCACTACCTAATATTTGTTGCTATAACAATCAACCTTATCTAAGATATGATACAGCAAAATCCCAGCAAACGCTCAACTTCTCTGTCTTGTGGCCTCCATCTACAGTTTTTGAGGCTTGCAACATGATGAGTAATGATAAAAAAATTCAACTGTGTCAAAAGTCTTTCTATCTTTACAGACGATCACCAATGCAGTCATCACGGTTCCTGCTTACTTCAATGACTCCCAGCGTCAAGCCACTAAAGATGCTGGAGTCATTGCTGGGCTCAATGTGCTGCGCATCATCAATGAGCCCACTGCTGCAGCCATTGCTTATGGCCTGGATAAAAAGGTAACTAACAAATTAAATGCAAGCATGAACTTATTCTCACGTTCTTATGTTCTATTAAGAAGTAACCATTTGCTTTCAGGTTGGCAGTGAACGTAATGTCCTCATCTTTGACCTCGGGGGTGGTACTTTTGATGTGTCAATCCTGACTATTGAGGATGGCATCTTTGAGGTCAAGTCCACGGCCGGTGACACTCACTTGGGCGGTGAGGACTTTGACAACCGCATGGTCAACCACTTCATTGGTGAGTTCAAGCGCAAGTTCAAAAAGGAGATCAACAACAACAAGCGGGCTGTGCGACGTCTGCGCACCGCATGTGAGCGTGCTAAACGCACCCTCTCCAGCAGCACCCAGGCCAGCATTGAAATTGATTCGCTCTTCGAAGGAACGGATTTCTACACTTCAATCACCAGGGCTCGTTTTGAAGAGCTAAATGCAGACCTGTTCCGTGGAACCCTCGAGCCTGTGGAGAAGGCCCTGAGGGATGCCAAAATGGACAAGGCCCAGATCCATGACATTGTCCTGGTCGGTGGCTCCACACGAATCCCCAAGATTCAAAAGCTACTGCAGGACTTCTTCAATGACCGCGATCTCAATAAGAGCATCAACCCTGATGAGGCTGTGGCTTATGGTGCAGGTAGATACCTATAGCACATTTAGTTTTATACTTATTTTCCAGCCATTTAATTGCTTTAGTATCAAAACCGTAAAAACATGTGGTTTATATACAAATGTCCTTGTCATCGTGGCATTAGTTTCACTATTTAAAAATGTTTCACAGCTGTGCAGGCTGCCATCTTGGCTGGTGATAAATCTGAGAACATCCAGGACCTTCTCCTGCTGGATGTGACGCCCCTGTCCCTGGGAATTGAGACCGCTGGAGGAGTGATGACTGTCCTCATCAAGAGGAACACCACCATCCCCACCAAGCAAACCCAGACCTTTACCACCTATTCAGACAACCAGCCGGGTGTGCTCATTCAGGTACAGACACCTTGAAGAACAGTTCAAATAACAGTTTACTCTGCACTGACCTGGCACATTACAGTAAATGCATCAGATTTTGATTTGAGTCATTCGTGTTTTCAGGTCTTTGAAGGTGAGAGAGCCATGACCAAGGATAATAACATTCTGGGCAAGTTTGAGCTCACTGGTATTCCACCAGCTCCCCGAGGGGTCCCTCAGATCGAGGTGACCTTTGACATTGATGCCAATGGAATCCTCAATGTTTCTGCAGTGGACAAAAGCACTGGAAAGGAGAACAAGATCACCATCACCAATGACAAAGGTACAGTATATCTGGAGCACTTAAAAAGCTAATTTTGCACAAAAGCTGAAAGAGAATGGGTGGTGTAGTGCTTTTTATTTCATCCTCCCACAGGACGGCTGAGCAAGGAGGACATTGAACGCATGGTGCAGGAGGCAGAGCTTTTCAAGGCTGAGGACGAGGTCCAGAAAGACAAGGTTACAGCCAAGAACTCCCTCGAGTCTCTGGCCTTCAATATGAAGAGCACTGTGGAGGACGAGAAGCTGCAAGACAAGATCAGTCCAGAGGACAAAAAGACCATTGTAGACAAGTGCAACGAAATCATTGCCTGGCTGGACAAGAACCAGGTAAAAACCCAATGAGTGATGCATCATTCATACCAGAGGTTCCTCTTCGCTTCGCATTGTGAAAGCAGAGATTGATTGTAACACAATTTGCTACTCAACTTGTTTTTATACAGTAGACAACCAAGTCTTCAGTAACCATCAAGTCTTTGTTCCTTCTGTTACCCAGACAGCAGAGAAGGAGGAGTATGATCACCAGCAAAAGGAACTGGAGAAAGTGTGCAACCCTATCATCTCGAAGCTGTACCAGGGCGGGATGCCAGGAGGGATGCCGGGCGGGATGCCAGGCGGGATGCCAGGCGGGATGCCTGGTGGGATGCCTGGTGGTTTCCCCGGTGGAGCTGGAGGTGGCTCCTCCTCCGGCCCAACTATTGAGGAGGTCGACTAAACACTGCTGACAGTGTATTTACCTCAGATCCCAACACACACTTGCTGTCTTACACCTATTTTTTTCAGCCAGAGTACACAACCAATAAACACTAGATCTCGTGCTTATCTGAACTTTGAATTCTTGATATGATATACAAATCTAAGCAACTAAATCCAACACCTACACACATTTACAATATTCACCCACATAAGATAAAATGCAAGTCTGTTTGCTGTCATCATCCTCTACTTCTCCACTAAGGATTTTTGTATGATAGCTCTCAGTCCTTATCTGTGATATCTAAACATTAAACCAATAAAGATCATCAATGGGATACTGATTTAAAAAAAATCTGCTGTGTGGTCCTGAATTTGAAAATATCGTCACAATTCTGAATCTCTCATGATAACTCTCACAGTATATTCATCAATACAATAAAGAAATATTCCCTCCCTAAAGAATAAAAAAAACATGATCAAATAAAGGTGTAACTGCACAGTTTATTTGCAATATTTTCTGTCCTGTTTCTGCTCATGGGTGAAGTATGGAGCACATACAGCTCAATGTACTGAAAGTGGTTTCAAAATGTCCTATGAGTTCAGAGAACACGTGGATTCTTAAATTACAGAAAACAAACTTTGTCAGAGTTGTTGTGGCCTCTTACCAGTGGAATAATTATGCAACAATTTGTTGGCGAAAAGCCACAAAAGTTTACAAGAAAAAGACAAACATGAGCATAAGATATAAGACATAAGAGTAGATGGTGCTTATCACCAGATGTTCTCTTCCCTGACCTATCACACCTGTTGGGTGGTTGGGGAGGGTGGAGAGTACGTGAGGTAAGGAATGCTGCACGTGGAAGTCAGGGTTCGATATAAAAGTCAGTGTCCCACACACCCGAGACACAGGTGAATCACAGCCGCGACTGCCATGCTCTTGTTCATCAGTTGTTTTGCCCTCGTGGCTTCTGCTCTGGGTGAGTGACAAGCTGGTTAAGCATTTGTCTGTAGGTCTTCTTAATCTCTGACTGCTTGCACATCAATCAGATTGCAATTATAACTGATCCTGATACTTACTGGTATTCGTAGTATATGGCACATTCTGGGACAAGCTCATCATCTTTTTAAACTGTGTGACTGGGCCTCAGGGTGTGGAGTGCCTTCTATCAAACCCCAGGTGAGCGGATACAACAAGATTGTAAATGGGGAGACTGCTGTGTCCGGGTCCTGGCCCTGGCAGGTTTCACTTCAGGTAACCTCAGTAACACTATCCACACTCACTGACAGTGTTCATCATTGCTACTGGCTCAATGATTAAAAAGTGATTGGGAAAATATTATAAATGACTCTTAGGATGGCAGAGGATTCCACTTCTGTGGAGGATCCTTGATCAGCCCATACTGGGTCGTCACTGCTGCTCACTGCACTGTGTCGTAAGTAACTTTGTGTTCCACATCTTCACGGGAAAAAATCCCAACACTGCCACCTCTGCAGTAACTCCTCTGTCTGTTATTACACAGTCCTAGAAACCACCGTGTTATCCTGGGAGAACATGATCGTCAATACAACAATGAGCCAATCCAGGTCATGTCCATTGCCAGAGTAAGATACACAATAAAACTGCAACTTTGTCTTCTCTATGAATATATTGTACTGAATGATTCCAGGAGATATGTACCATTACATTGCAAAGGAATATAATACTTTATACTCACCTCTCTGCCCAGGCCATCACTCACCCCTACTACAACTCCCAGAACTTTAACAATGACATCACCCTTCTGAGGTTGTCCTCCCCAGTGCAGATGACGTCCCGTGTGTCCCCCGTGTGCCTGGCCTCCTCCAGCACCAGCATCCCTTCTGGAACCAAGTGTGTCACCACTGGATGGGGCAGGACTGGTCAAACATGTGAGTGAGCGAATACTTTCTAAGTTATAGAGGGTTCATTTACACAGACTGTGTAAATGAATTTGTGCAGCCAGCCTCATGTCTATTTCTTATCTGTTCTCAGCAAGCCCCCGCTACCTCCAGCAGACTTCCCTGCCTCTGCTCAGCCCCGCTCAGTGCAAACAGTACTGGGGATACAACAGAATCACTGATGCTATGATCTGTGCTGGTGCTTCTGGAGTGTCGTCCTGTCAGGTAACAATCTCCTCAAAGGCTTTAAACACACATTCACATTAATGATAAATAGTTAGAAGTGAATATTAAGAAATAAGTTATTAATGAATACAAATTATAAAATGTTGATAACGCATACATAATATCTATATATTTCTAGATATTTCAGTTTTCATGATACACATAAGAGTATTATTTTTTATATTTTGCACACATGTATGGTATTTAAGGTGCATGTAAAAAGCACATCGGTCTCGTGTTTCATTTTAGGGCGACTCTGGTGGCCCCCTGGTTTGCGAGAAGAGTGGTGCGTGGTTCCTTACGGGTATCGTGTCCTGGGGGACCTCCAACTGCAACGTGCGCACCCCTGCTGTGTACGCCCGTGTGTCCTACCTGCGCAGCTGGATCGACCAGACCATTGCTTCCAACTAATACCATCAGTCAACACTTCTGCTCCTCACTGTGATCAGTGATTCTTCACAGGATTCAGATGACTAACACAAGGAATTTACTGCTGTAGAATTTGAATGGCAGCAAAAAAATGTACTGCACTTGTGAGAAACCAGCCTGAAAATATAGCTTAAAAAATCTAAAATTGGTTTCAGGTGGTTTTTCATGTGCAAATTGTGTGTGTTATTCATGTTGTAGGGACTGAAAATCTGTATGTTTGCACAGTCACATTATAGGGACTTGTATTCCTTAAGGGGACAGGAAGCAAGTCCCCAAAGGGCAAATCATTTTGTTTTTTCATTTCAAGCGTTAGTGTTCAGCAAGCAGGGTCAGGGTTAAGGTTAGAGTAAGTTAAGGAAATCAATGTAAGTCAAAGTAATGTCCTCTGAAAGCTAGGAGAAACAACTGTGTGTGTGTTGACATGTCCATGTGAATAAATAAGACAAGCATGTAAAGATAAAGATCATGACGTTACAGTGTTATTTCTCCAGCTCGTTGATTGCACTGTAGATTTGAAGACATTACTACACACAATTTAATGATATTTATGAACTGCCACCAACTTTAGAATACAATAAGTAATCACAGATATATTTGCGGTTAGTCTGGCTTTAAGTCTGACTTGGAAAGCTGAAGCTATAATGCATATCAGAAGAATGAGTCATGGAGAATATCAAGCATTACCTACAGTATATACTGTCTTGAGGCCAAACTAAACTCTCCTAATGTGAACCACCTTTCATTACTCTGTGGTCATCTTCACCACCATGAATGTGTTGAAACAAGGAAGCAAATCTGAAAGTTGAAGAAACCAAAATGAACTTTAATTAATCTTGTTAATGATGAGAATTCACGTCAGTTTTTGTTGAAAAATACTACGAGTGAGCACATCAGACAAACAGTCCCACATCACACTCCAAACTTAACGATTCTTTTCAAAACATTCTGCAATACATGTTTCATTTAAGGCTCCAGGTTCAGTTGATGTGTTCGTATGAGTCTACTTGTTTGTAGGAGATGGCAGGTATATTCAGACACTGGGTCTTACTCCACAGTTCCTTTCCAACAGAAAAGAGTCTATTCTGAGTTGGCGAGCTAGTAGTTAGAATTAACGATCATAGAGCTCCTTCATCTCCTTCAGGATCTTGATGCTCTCGCTGTATCTTAATTGGTTCTTACTGGAACACTCCTTCCATCTGGAAAAAAAAAAGACGTCAGTTAAAGTTGTTATTTCAGTGGTTTTTCTAAAGTCAAGCTTGCACACAGTGAAATGGATTTTAACAACATGCATACTTTTGTCTTATCTTCTTCCAACGTTCCATGTGGTCACATATGAGAGACACTGGTACAGGAACTGAATCTTCTAACTGTGGAAACAGAAAACATTTAGATGTTGTTAGTTATTGAATAACTGAATTATAATTTATTCATTATTTCCTAATGAACTTCATGTAATGACAGATTTTGTGTACTCTCATATTACAGGTCAAGTAAAACAGTATAAATAGTGCACATCAATGCACATATTAGACAGAACCTTGGAAACATTGGGCTTTTCGGTTTGAGGGATCCTGAGATTGACGGGTTCACCAGAGGTGCTGATTGGACAGGAGGTCGGAGGGGGGAGTCTGTACACGATCTGACCATTGATCATGTCTGAGACCTGACAAAAGAAAGACATTTGAAAGTTAACTACTTGTGTGGGCTGCTAGCATACAATAACATACCTAGAGGAATGACATGTGAAGTATGAGACTGGCAGTCGTTTGAAACAATATTGAGAGAACGTCACTTTCAGTCATTAAGTAGCTTCCTTACTTTAAAAAGTTATCTAACATAACTGTCTTGTCTCACCTCCTCCTCTACTATGCTGTGTGGGGGGCTTGGGTAAGCGGCCGGCTCTCGAACAGACGGATTATTTCTCATCCAGGCACGGCAGATAGGATACAGTGGGGTGCTGGTGTTGAACTGAGCCAGATCCACACTGCGATCAAACAACTTAATAATGTAAGCATCTAGAAAATAGAGAAAGACAGAACAGCAAGAACTTAATAAAAGACAAATGTAATACATAATAGAAATTAAAGGGAAGGACAAATGCTACAGCAGAACTTATGTTTGATTATTTTCAGGATTTGCACTACGTTACTTTGTTTATGCTGATTCGTCTCTGGTAAGCCCTCCTCCATCTCTTTTCGCTTCTTCCGCCGGTGCTGTGGAAATCGAGCTGAGGGTCTGAAAAAAAAAGCCAAAACACTGATTGATATCTTATGGCATGTTCTGAAAGAGTCACTGCTTCTTGTACATTTTCATCTTGGTAATCTAATTAAAATATATTTAAACCATCAACAGACTTTCAGATACACAGTGAAATACTATTTCTCAGAAGGTTAAACAAAAATGATCTCAGCTCCATTTTAAATGTGTACACTTGCCTTTTTCCAGAAGACGATGGAGACAAATCCCTGGTGAGAGCAAGCAGAACTTCATTAGAAAACAGATCTTTATACGCTCATGTAGATTTGACACATATTAAATTATATTACATATTAGTATATCATTCCTTGTATGAAATTGTGCAGCGTAAATAGAAATGATCGATCCCTACTTGTTTAAAGAGTCCGCTGAAGTTTTCCCAGCGTCGCCCTCATTTTGATCCCTGTACAAGATACAATGATGTTGGTTTAAATGGAAATGCAATCATTATGAAACATTAAGGATCAAACAACATTCATTTTCTCTAACCTTTCATTTTCACTCTTCTCGACCAGTCTGTTTAACACAGCATCCAACCTGGTGCGTGCACCGGCCCCTTCAGCATCTGCAGAACAATGAAACAGAAATGACCAACTTCACATAACAAGTGTCTATTATTTCACGAAACTCACATTGCCTCCCTGAAGTAGAATAGTGAGGATAGTGAGAAATGCAAAGAGGTTTTAAAACACACTAACTTAGAGACACGTGAATCATTGCGGGATGTTTTGAAATGTTTCCTGAGGATGGGGGAGGACCTTACCTGGCCGTTCAGTCTTGATCTTGACGTGGTGCATTGTCTCCACCCGGTATTTCTCACGGTAATGACAGAAAAACAACCACGTTTACAACCACGTTAGTACCGACAGTCAGCGGGAAGCACACGGTGTCCGACGCTACTTCGTAAAACTAACGTAGGACAGTGAGAGCCGTTTGTTTGCTACTGTTAGCGCTAGCTAGCTAGCTAGCCGCTGTTATGCGCTAGCTGTATCTATTGTATAACGTCAACGCAAAATCACAAACTTAATCCACGTATTGTTGCGGTTAGCTGGATGGTAGTGAGCCCTTTCGGTTTCCATATATTTACTTAAAATACACTGTGGAGTCGTTGTTTTAATATTATATCGAACTGTGCCAGCTGTTAGCTCAAATCACCGATGCTAACTTAGCTTATTTTGACGAAAGCGTAGTCTTGACAGACTTTCCTCTTCCGCGCGCTGCCGCTCTCCTGATAGGTGATTGGCTCCTGTGCTTTGACAGCCTGCGACGTGATTGCGTGACTGGCACGTCCATCATCTTAAAGTCGGCGTCTATTGGCTGGATCTCTTGACTTGAGTAACGAGCGCCGTAAAGAGTGGAGCTTTGTTTTGGTTTCATCGATAATGTTTGAATTTCCACTGATAGCAAAGTATTTATGTTTTCAATGACAGAGTAAGAGGAGCAGGGAGGGTCTGTTTTGAAAATCACAGCGGTAAAAGCTCATTTACTGTCTCGTGAACGATCCGTGTGGCGCTGGCGTTTGGTTCCATGGTAACTTTGTTTAGTGGAGATACCACACCATGTAATGACGAACTCAGAATGCTGCTGGATGGTGTGGTGAGGATTTCCTCTTTTCTATTAAAGTGAGACGTAAGTAACTCAGTCTCTCAGACGTACGGGTGCAGCTATAATCTGGTGCCAGGGAGCTGAGGTACAACCAGACGTAAACACAGGAACATCCTCTGCTCTGCTCTGCATCCTCTCCTGTGTGTATGAGCCACAGAAATGAAATCCAGGTAAGATCTGAAGACCACATTTTTATAGCACTCTAAATCATAGTTACAGTTGGTCACATGTGCTGTTTTTGCAGTGGAGCTCTGTTCACAAGGCAGAATCCCTTCCCACCAGCATCCAGAGAGGGGAAGGTCCACTACCACCCATCCTGCAAACAGTCCCTGTCAAAAGAGAAGAAAAAGACAGTATGATCTTTACATAATGTTACGAGACACATTCAATTCCAGTGTTTCTTTCCTTAAATCCATCATTTTGTTCTGCAGACATTGAGTCCTGTACGTTTAACCCGGCTATCCAGTCTACAAATTCACGCCCCTAGCCAAGTGAACCAAAAAACATCTGACAAATACAATCACCGTTTGGGTGGCGAAGATAGGCAACCTGTCTTTTCAGAATCCTGGCCCTCAACCGACTGTGGGTCATCTCCTGCTAGCACTGCAGCCCCATCTGACATGGAGACACTCAAACACACTGCAAGAGCAGGGACATCCAAAGTTTCCTCTGAGCTCGGAGTTCAGCAGGAGTCAGTGCTGGCAAAGTATGCTTTAGTTTCACAGAGTTAAAATCATACCATCAAACATAGTGGTGCCTGTGTCTTTTGTTTACCTCCTAAAAAGAGCTGGAACTGAAATAATGCATGATGTAAGATATGACAAAATGTGACAGTAACTGTGATGTTAAGACTTTAAGATAAATGATTAGTAGTTCTTGTATTTGAATGTGTGAGTAATCGGTTCTGTCCTTTTTGCTCTTCCAGATATGTAGACCGTTTTCGCAATGGTCGGCCACAGAGCCGAGAGGAGCGCCAGCAGGAGCAGCTGCCTTTCTGGTGGATGTCGCCCTCATCTTCACCTCCCAGTTCAACACCAACCAAAAGAGCAGAAAAAGGTGTATTTTCCATATATTATTATATTTTATTGTATGGGTTATTGACTGATACCAGCTCCTGAATGCAGATGTTCGTAACAACCTTTCTTACAAAATGACTCTGGGAAATCTTGTCCTCTGAGCAGATCAGGTCAGCCAGCCTCTGAGAGATGACAATGTGTCTGACATTTTCAGTCCAGTTGGACAGCGCCATCATATCAGATCCTCTTCTCCATGCAAAGGTTCTCTTAGTGTGAGTATATTTTATATTATTAACTTGCTTAGTTGTGTAATTTTGATTTAAATATGTATTTATTTCTTTAAAAAGTTAAAAATGTACAATTCAATCGTACTTATTTCTCTCTGTCCTCGTTTAAACCAGGCTCATCTGCAAAAGAGAGACCTTATTCCAGCGTAGTGTGCATATAAATATTTGCATTTCAGCACCATGCCACATGGCCATTTGGAAATCTCTGTGTTTTCTAAACGCCTGTGAAGCCATCTGTTGTTCAACCTTGTTTGATGCATTTATGGTTCTTTCACTCTGCTCATATCAATTGTATCACCCTCTCAAAATTATAAAAGAACATTGGTATATTTGTTAGCAACATAAGGTTGTGTAATGTGCTCCATTTATTTATTTATTTTATTCAGTCTTTTAACACAAATACAGTTTTATTCATTAAGTAATGTGAATGCTCTTAATCTTAAAAAGTCAGTGACTTATTGAGTGTCTGTTTCCCAGGTTTTGTCAGACACTTCCCAGGGTGAATTTGATGATACAGAGATATTTCACCTTCAGGAGAGGGCCAGCAGACTCCTGCTGAGAAGGTATGAAGATCAGCGAGTAACATTAGTGATAAATTACTTAATTCCATGAAGTGTAAGTCACCTGTTGTCTGTCAAACAGGGAATGCACTCTGAGTGATGGATCTGTCCCTGTCAGCTCAGAGGGCCTCGGCTGCTCAAATTTCTCTTCTCCGGTCAGCGTAGATGAGCCAGTGCGAAGATCTTTGATTCCGGGTTTAATAACATCTACTACTGGTGAGGAAACTGTGGATATTTTTTATACAGTGCTGTTCTTTCTTATGCATTTTGGAGAATTGATATTTTAAACCGCTGCTGTGTCAGTGTTACTGTTTAATGTGTTGATTAATATTTACAGCAAAGATCAGCTCACACTCAAATCAAGCTGTGACCTCCCAGAAATCTATCATTCCCTCTTTGGGGCCCCCCACACGCCCTGAAGAGGACATCTTGTTCCAGTGGCGTTTAAGGAGAAAGATGGAGCAGGCCAGGGAGTGGCCTCAGTCCCTGCAGCCCTCCAGTCGTCATGGTACCTCAGTTAGCTGGCTGGCTTCCAGTTTACGCCATCCCTCAGCTGGTGAACAGGCGTACGAGGTTGGAATAATGATATTTAATGTTTAATATTTATTTCACATTTACAAAATAATTTCAACATGTTCCTTTCTGCATCTTCCACAGCACCAACAGCATTCTCAACATCCTAAATTTTCTCAGAAAGATTTGCATCCTCTCATTACTGCTCCCCTGCCAGAAGCCAAAGAAGCCGTCACATCGTTACCCACAGCTTCAGGTCCACATGCCTCCCCTGCGTTTGTTGTCTCTGGGTCTCAACACCAGGCTGTTGCCCATGTACCTGCCCACATGCATCTACTCTGCGATATCTTGCCCTGTCCCATTCGACCATCTCATGCTGGTGCACAACAAACCATTTCACAGAGGACAGATGAATTGCAGATCAAAGTTGTCAGTAAAAAGACCCAAGTCCCTGATAACCCAACAGATAACTTCACTGAGGAGCCTATTCATGAACATACATCATCCTTAAATGCTTTATCTGGAGATGTTGAAGAAGAGTTGCCTCTTCACAATAAAACTTCTGAGACTTACAAGAAAGCTCAGAAAAAAGAGTCAGAGAAGAGGACAGCAGCGACCATCAGAAAGCAAAAGAAATCAACAAGGTGAGGTGTTGAAAGATGCTCACAGTATTCAAAATCCAAGCCTGAATGCTTAATATAGATTGTTTGCAGATATGCTGTGGCCAAGGAACATGCTGATGTCCCGAGCTCTTTAAAGAGGAGTTCTTCACAACACAGACTTCCCAAAAAGGTAATGCCTTTGGTAGAGCTGCAGCAACAGGAGCGAAGCCAGAGGTTTTTTTCCACTGAGAGCTGCGCTGGCGAACATGCAACTCCACCTTCTCCAGTCCGCAGGGCCTTGGGAAAGGTCAGCACATGCAATGGTTCTTCCTTGCTTTTTTAGTGTTAATATAACTTTGGTCATTAATGAGTAGGGGGCTCTCATTTGGCCCTGACAGGTAGTTTCAGAGGTACTCTTTCCCACAATGGATTCATCAACTGCTCGAGGGTCCCCCGACTCTCCTGCTTCTCCTCCTTTCACCTCTTCTGCACCTCCAGGATCCACAGTTCCTCTGTGCAACACGCAGAACTCTGTGGAGGTCATTTCACAGCTGCTGCAAGAAGCTGAAGGTGAGCTTCAGGCAGCAGAGAGTACCAACCTTTACCCTGTAGTTAATTGTGGAGAATATACTCTGACCTATGAATAGATTCCATTCCCAGGATTCCGAAACCCCTTAGGTCAAACTTCCTATATTTTTGTTGTGTATGCTGCTTGTACGTTGAACTGGTAACACAGCTGAATTTTGTGTTTGTAATAACTACATACTGCTTTTGAGGTTTTCATTACCTAAACAATAACTTATTATAATCTAGATATTCTATAGGCACATGCTGATCATATTAACTCTGTTTTGCTGCTCATAGCCTTCAATAAAAATGTGTTTTCATTGTTTCAGATTCAGATGAAAAGGAGTTTGAAGATGACACTTTATTACAAGTCCTTCGGAAACAAAGAAAATGGGTGAAAGAGCAGATCAGGTAAAATATAATTGAAATCATTGAGCTGTTTGTCGTTTTTTTAATCTAAATTCTTAAAATCCTATGAAATGTGGCTCATTTAATTTCATTGGAATCTTTTAAACATGTCACCTCAAAAATTCGGAATTATTCTACTATATTTACTCTATACCATTTTTCCATTTTAGTGAAGTGGAATCTATGTTGACTGAATTCCCGGACGAGCATCAAGTTACATCAACATCATCCAGAGGCACATGACACAATCACTTTTTTTTATTTTTATAAAAGAAATAAAGTTTATTTGTAATTATTTCCACATTAAAGATTTTGAAGATACATCTATACGCATCATTAATTACAATACAGTGATTTTTTTTACAAAAGTTGCACAAAAAGACACATTAGTTTTATATAAGAACACAGAATATTTACAGAGACTGGTTCCTTCAAACATTATGTAAGATGAATGAGTAATAGCAGAGCGGTATATACAAACCTTTGAGAGCAGGGAATATTTAAAGCGTGCCAGGAACAGATCAAATGTGTCTTTTGGCGCATGTTTAGTTTTGCTATGACTGAAGGAGCCCGCAGTTATTTCTGTTTGTGCCTGTGTGCTCATAAAGGCTTCCGTTGCATTTATTATCATAAATGGTGATGATGGTGGAGGGATGTGACTGTGCGGTAATAATGGGATCAGGTCAGGGATCTGGAGTTCTCAGTTTGCATCATAGGTGCAGATATGATGAGGACGCCTTCTGGAGAGACCGCTGACTCCAGAGCCATGGTGTCCACTCCCTTTGGGATCCGGTAGCGGCGGTTAAACTGGCGTGTAGTAAACCCAGGGCCATCCTTCTAAGAAAAAGAGAAATACAAGTTTAGTCCATAACAAACTTCATAGCTGATGCAAACAAACAATCAGACAAAAAAAAACCAACCTTTCTTTCTTCATGCTTTCCTTGAACTTCTACAAAGTCCCCGATCACTTTAACCATTAGGTCCTCAGGGTTGAAGTGCTTTACATCAACTTGAACTGTAAATCCAGTGTCGTCACAGTTCACCTGAGAAAATCAGTTAAAAATAATGTGTATTACTGCAGAGACATAAAATAACTAAGTAGTAGCAAACAAAAAGCCCCATTTTTCCCATTTGCACTCAATAGAGATCCCTAATGTTTAAGTGTGGAAGTTCATTGTTAGCTTTGGAAACAGTTGTTGCTTTTTCATGGCATTCAATTGCATCATGGAATATTGGCTGAAGAAGACTCTTGGATGCAGTTGAAAGTATTGTCAAAATAAATGTTCAATTTTAAAATTATTGAAATTGTTTAGAATGGTTATTAGGTATCAGTTTTCATGCAGTTCTACTGATCCAACATAAATACAATCAGCTTTGTCTTTTTAAATATTCGCCATACTAACTTAAAACAACTTACCTCTGCAGAGCTGGTGTTATCAGTCTCTGGAATCAGTAATTTCTGGGACCAGCTTTGTTGTCCATAAGTCCCATTCAGCCGGGGAATGAGAGGTGGTAAAACCTTCTCCCATGGGATACCACCAGCTGGCAGACTGGGTGGCAGGATGAAGTCCATTTCTAATCAGTAGAAAATGAGAAAAAGAAGAGTTGACTTGACAGCAGCTGAAGCCTCAACTTTGTCAGACAACACGGACCACAACACTTACCTCTACTTGAATTCCCTGTCCAAAACAGTGCAGGAGAGGAAAAGGACAGCCCCCTGTTTAACACCCTTTTGGCCCCTGCTTATGTTTAGTCCTGAAAGAGATATGTGTTCCAGTGATGAGCTGCTGCGTCCGTCTGTCTGGCTGCTGGCTCCTCTCCCTCTGGGTGCTGCTCGTGTCTGACTGTTGTTGTGGCGTGTCTGTGTATTTTATACCAGAGTTGCATAATGAGCTTGGAATCCGTAGTGGGGCACCTTGCTTCTGTTATGTTCAGGACAAATGCGTATACCCTTGGGTGTTCAGGCAGGGCCTTATAGGAGTGTATTGTTTGGGATGTGGTGCAGCTGTTGCAGGCTTATTGGCATTTAACATGTTTATTCACTATTACCAATGATGTAGCCTGCGGTTTATGCCAGGGGTCGATGGGAATAGATTATTGTATCATGTTGTATCACTGTTGTGTTGTGTGTCAGACATGTTGGGAAACTAAATGCTTAAGGCTGGCTGTCAAGGAAGGTCTGGCCAAAAATAAGTTCAAAAGACGGTGTTGTTGACCCTCGTGAGCCGACACCAGACAGGCAGTGACAGCAGGGGCGTCAAACACATGGCAGAGCACATGTGGTACCAATAAACCACTTTCACCTCATCAGTCATTCTCACAGCAGGGGAGAAGTATTCATATCATTTTAAATAAAACTCAACATAGCTCCATGTAAAAATGTTCCACTAAGTAAAGTGCTGTCCTCAATATAAAAGCTTTACAAAATAAAAAGTACTTGGAAGTGTCAAAATGTAAAGCACTCATAATGCAGAAAAAGTGGTACTGTGGGTGTTGTGCTATTACATAATCCATTTGTGTTTTCTTTTTATTGATGTGTTGATGCACATATTTCGTCGAAGTTGAGCTAATTTTACCTACATTATGATGAGTAGTTAAATATTTAACAAACTGTCAGATATTGTAAGCTGGTTGAATGTTTACCTGTGAAATATGAAAAAGGAAGTGCAAAAATGTGGTTGCTACCACTTCCCTGAGAATACACAATACACAATGTCCATGAAAGGACTCCTGGGTCTACTCCCCATAAATTAGTTTTATTAGGTGACTCCTTGTATCATCAGAAGCACTCTACGTGCTGATACATCTTGTTCTTGGCACTCACCGGTGAAGTCAGCAGTTATGTACAGAGGGCACATGTTCTCTGTTAGTAATGTGGAACCTGTCACTTAAGCTTTGACTGGGGGTGACTAAAAATGGCACTGATTATGTTATGACTCACATACGATGACAGGGAAGTGGGGACATTTGGAGGGATCAAGTTATCGGGTTTCACAACAGGCGCCGGCGATTGTCAGAGACTGCTGTAACAATGCTAAATATTAGGAGTATATATATAGAAAGAGACATAGCTCACTGATAAGTCATTAAACAAAATATTCACAGTGATTCAATGAGTCTAGAGGGATAATGATATTCCAACACGTTTCAGTGAGTAAAGCACGGACTTGGAAGTTTTGATAGTTTTATTCACCATTCATAGACAAGTAAAAATTGTTTTGGGTGCACAATCACATACAAACATTAACAAAAAAACATTTTTAAGTCAAGGGGGAAAAAACTGTTCAATCAATTGTTCCTGAACAAACCTCAATGCACATCCAGTTTTGTCATTAGATACTGTACATGACAGTCAACACTGTCTGCTATACAAGATTAATTAGCCTACTGTAAAAATGTTCTTGGTTTCCTAGGTTAGCACAAAAAAGAAAAATTCCAAGTCCTACAGCATTTTTCTTTTGAAAACTGTTAATGTATTATTAAGCGTTTGAATTTTAGAGTTTAGAGAAGCTTGTTTTTGGTCCATTACAGTGGTTCATTTGTTTTTTTCAAAAGACCTATTGTCAAAAAGCATCTCAGGGAATGCCCAGTGGAATTGTAAAGGAGAGGTAATCCCCCACTGCCCCCCACTCTGCTCTGAAGTGCTGGAAGATGGTAATCCATGTGGTGAGTACTGCTACCCATAACAGCAACCCCAGCCCCGACCGCTTCACATCTAGATGAGAAATACACAAAAGATGATTACATGACTGAGAAGCATTAATCACTCGCACAATCATTTAATACTATGTGATTTTGCCTGAAGCTTTCTTTTAAAAATAAATAAATAAACTATTCGATGACATACAACAAGAGTGGCACAGGTTGACATGAAGAAGCAACCCCTTTTTCAAAAAGAAAATTCTAACCACTAATTTCTGCCTGAATTGCTGGTTTGAAAATTGACTCAGGAGTGTCTGTTAACGTTCACAAACCAAAAATGCAGGATGGATATTTTGTCTTACTCATAAGTAAAGTGGGCCAAATAAACTAACACTGAAGTTTGTTTGTTTGTTAGCAAATTAACAATGTAATATTAAGCTTTTAAAAAAAGAAAAATCTAAAATGACAAACTTAACTTATGGTACTGTGGCAAACTGACAAAACCCTATCGTTAAATAGAAAATCTAATGTCTCAGGTATTTTAGATTTCAAGTGTATTTAGATGTTGTGTATTTAGGTGATATTAAGAAAATAAATGCATGACTAATGCATTCCCCAGCCTTAGGAAGAAGCAATTTGTTACACTGAAAAAAAATCAAATGGAACCAATAACACTTAATTAACTGTTGTTGCAGATGTTTCTCTGCACATGTCTTATCAAAATTCGATAAGCGTAGCTGTGGTTTGTAAATGCAGGCCTGACACTTACATGTTTTGATCTGGAGTTGTTCAGTGTAGGTTGGCTTCATAAAAGCCTCACGAAAAAACCAAACAACGTTGACCAGCCAGAGAAATGGGAGGAACGCAAAGCCACCTGAAACAAATAGATCTTTTAGCTTTCAGCTCATCCTCCCTCTCACCATGAGGTGAGGTACAGTGGAAGAAAAGAATGAAATGATCCTGACATGATTCATTATCAACTACTCTCACCTAAGTAGTATTTTCTGCATAGGCTGAGCTTCTCCTCATTGGGCAGTCGCTCCAGGTTCATCGTGGATTTCTCTGGATCCTGCTGGAGAAAGAAAAAAGTTCATGTGGAAAAATATCAAAAGACAAACTTTAGTAAAAATGGAGATGGTGGTGATGGCTGCGATTAAACCCCGGTGGTCTACTGACCTGGACAAAGCTTCGTCAAAGTAATATTAAAACAGTTTCATCGATAAAGCAGCCCTATGCTGCCTGCTGACCCAGTTTACATCGTCAGGTGACTGGATTTTTAAACTCAGACAATGTTAGCATCTCGATAGCTTAGCAGGCGACTGCTACAACGAGCTGTGGGCAGTAAGTTACATCGGTCTCCAGATAATGGGCGGTGTCGTTTATACAATATTTCCATGGGGCGAGTATAATGTGCGTCAATGCGGTGATTTACCTGATGTTTAAAAGCCAAACAGTGTGACGATGGTCTCCAGTGAACCACATAAGAAAAATCAACACTTCCTCCTTCTTCACTTCAGGGACGGCATGATTCTTCTTCGTCTCTTCTCTTTGTTGTTTTTCGGGTAAGCGCGTGCTAACCTGCGCAACATACCGCCACCTAGTGTACTGGAGTGGGGGACAATGACTTAATGTGCTTTTATATAAATAAAAAAATGACGATGGGAAAAATCTAGTTTTATAAATTACTGTACATTAAAATTGAGATCAACTCACGTCTGATGTATTACTCTTTGCTTTTCAGTTCATACTAGACTTGATCGTAGTCAAAACCCTTGAGACTGAAATTACATTTAAATACCAACTAAATATATTTCTCACCCAGAACAATTCTTACATGCTGAGGTTGAGCTGTTATTATTATTCATCATCTCGAAAAGTGTGCATTACTATAACACAACATGTTTTTCTTTTTTCTCGGTCTGTAACTCCTAACAAATAAATCCGCACTATATAAATGACTTGCTTTTCACTGACAGGAAAACTAGATCTGCTTCAGCATCACATTCCATCTTGACGATGTCGATTGTGGCTGTTGATAAATGGAAAAGCCTTCCATAACAAAGACTATGTCACTTTTATTAAAGCGTTGTTGTGTTGTTTATTGTCCAAGCCTCCTCATTTTGTCAGTTTATTATCATGGGAGTGATTTCTAAATCCCTTTTCCATCATGCTGAACAGTGTGATTCTACACAATCATACCAACAAGTTTGATATTGAAAGATGATAAACTTTATTACATGTATTATTTAGTATTATTTTTTAATTTACCTATGGCATACATATATAAATTAATTTACTAATAACAAACACACACAATATATATATATATATATATATATATTGGTATATATATATGGTATTATATATGAGTACTTCTTATTATATTGGTAGTAGTAGAAGTTTATCATTTTATGGATGAATTTCTGAATGGGAGTTTGACGTACAGCCACCAGAGGTCGCCCCTCCTCTTCTTCCTCCCGGTGGAGCCTCACCGAGAAGACTCGCTTTCCCTTGCAGCATTGCGGCCCCCCTCCCATCTCGCGCCTTCCCTCTTGTCTCTGGTCGAGCTGCTAGCCGTCGGTGTGTGTTGTTGTTGAAGCAATGATGGCGGCAGCGGGATGCGGATCAGCAACCGCGGCTGCCGTAGGAGGCCAAGGTGGAACCGCCACGGCCAGAGGTCGTTTCCCCGGTCGGCCTTGGTCGTCACGCAGTCGTTTGCGCTCCGAGAAGCGGTGGCAACTCGGACGATCAGGCTTAGAAGCTGATGATGTGAGTAACGGAGGGCCAAGGCCCGCAAACATGGTCCTCTCGTTAAACGATGACCAGCCTCACTTGCGCTTGCTCGGGATAGAGGCGAGCCACCAGGTCCTTGGCCAGGCTGGGTACAGCTCTAGTGGGAGTGAAGAGGTGAGGTCCCAAACCGAGCCAGGAGTTAGTATCTTTATTTCATCTTCTCCCATTTTGTGTGATCGTTAAATGTGTGAGAGTGAGTGCTGTCCACAGCGGTGTGACTGATTGGTGCCATGGAGAAATGTCAACATCCCTCTGCTAGGCTAACGTTAACTTCAGCTCGGCGAGCTACCATTACATGCTAGCTGACGTTAGCCCAGTGCAGCTGACATTTAATGAACAGTCGCAGCTCTATCCCACTTCAACAAAGCAGCGGAGCGCAGGGAACTTCCACCAGCACTGCCCCTCCGTTGCTGCTATGGAGATTAAAAATATCAAGAAGGGGAACACAGGGGGATTTGGTATTGATTCTAAATCCAGGTAGTGAGTTTGCCCATTTGTAAACAAGCACCGCAGTTATTTCATGTGTGGCCCGCTCGTTATCGGGCCAGAGTAGCAGCTAGCTAGCAGTAGCGAACACAAAGAACGGGAAGGCTAGCTCCTCCTGCAAAGCGGCTAAATGCTAACTGCTCTGTGTTAATACGCTGCGAGCAGAGTTGTGTGCTTAGCTAGTTTTAATAACACGGAATAAACACTGCACGTCTACATTTAGTCACCGAGACACAGATACTCTGATGAGAACGTTTCGATTTTGGCTTGGTAGCTTTCCGGTTGACAGAAGTGAGTTTGAACGTATTCGAGAGCAGGGAATGGCTAACTGCTAGCTAATGTTGCCACAGGTTTAATGGTGGTGCAGGAGTGTGCCAGTGCCACTTGCAGCCTTGTTGGTAGAACTGAAAAGCTTCACGTTGATACACATGTAGTCGTTAATGTCCGATCCCCGTGTACACTAGTGGAGCTGCCCGTAGACTCTCAGGTCCCAGCTCCCTGCATGAAGTGAGTGTTCAGTACTTCGAGAGTCAGGTAACTGCAGACACCTCATGTGCAACCCGCGAGTGTGATTCATACGAGGGTTGCAGGGCTCAGATCTAGCTGGTATCGTACATTTGCATCCTGGAAAGTTTCCCCCATAGACAGCCAATGCATTTTAGTTACTTCTAATGCAGATTCTTTTTATAGCAAGTCAGGTTGGGTGAATGTGGATAAATGAAAACAATTGTCCATTTTGTGTCATTGATGTTATTTTATATTTTTCTTGTCATCATTATTATTATTATCAGACATAGTATTTCCTCAAATATGCCAAGATAATCTTCCATTGCTTGGTGTATTGATCAATTTTCCATTATGCTGTGGATGAATCCATTTCCAACAATGAACATTTATAGAATTGTTCCCACATTGAACTGTGTTAACTTGGTCTGTGTGGTGGATATAGTTTTTCTAATGTTTTTTTTGTGATACTTATGCAGCTACCAGCAGAATGGTGTCAAGTTACCTCAAGTGTTAATTGACTGTTTTTATTTTTCAAGGGAGATGACTTCAGAGGATTTGAAGCTGATAGAAAAGGTCCCAAAGGACCTGCATGGTCTCGACAAAACCCTTCCAAAGGTAAATAAACACATCACTGCACTACATGACATGTTTGGTATTATCCATTCACAACACAGCTTCTAATCATTCGATCTGATGTATAAGAAACTTGTTTTCGGCTGAACTGTAGTTTTGAATCCAATTTGGTTTTTGTAGTATTTAATGTGTCTTTGTTTTGTAGGTGATGCTGTCAACACAAAAACTAAACGACAAAGTGAAAAGCTGCCACTTAAAATGCCAGCAGAGGAGGCAGCTCTAACCCCACCTGATCCTGTAAAAGAAATAAAATCACTGGAGGAAGTTCCCGTCTTATCTCCTGAGGCAAAGCCTGCAAAGGATTGCAGGAAAGGTTCAAAAGGAAAAAACACCATGGATCGACAGTCCACTAAAAGCGGAGCGTCATCAGCAGCACCAAGGATTACTATAAAGTTGGTGGCCAAAAAGAAAATGAAAACTGTAAAGGAACCTGCTTCACAGAAAAAATCTGTGAAAAAACTGAAGATAAAAGGAATTCAGGATCAGTCTAAAACCAAGGACATTCAGGGCAACCAGATTTCAAGTGCTCATGTCAAATTAAAAACGGAACCACATGAGGAAAAACTTGTCACCGAGGATAAGGGAGAGGGGACTGTACCTGCAAGAAGGCGCGGGAGATCTGCCTCAAAGACAACTGAGCCTGTCAGCCAGACCAGCGCCAAAGTTGTGAGTGATGACCAAAAATCAAAAGAGGGAAACGTAGTTGGTCGACTTGTCACTGCAATGGAGAGTCGGACTAAAGAGCCAAAAACGAATGCAAAGAAATTAAAGCAGAAAGAATTTGCAACAGAACAGAGTTCTGAATTTAATCAAGTAGTGGTTCGTAGGAGCAACAGAGTCACTACCCCCCTCTCTACAAGTGTCTCAGACAGTGCAGCTGAACCAGAGAATCAGAGCAAAAGTGATGCCATTCTGGTGGAGTCAAAAAAAGAAGTTTCTAAAACTCTGGAGGCCAAACCATCTTCAAGAGGGGACAGACGAAGGCAAAGCAAGAGGCTAAATAAGGATGTAACAGTGCCAGAAAACCATGATCCATCATCCACAGAGACTGATAATTCAGCTGCACAGCTCGGTGACAGTTTGTCTTTGAAAAAAGAGGAAATGAGAGTCCCAAGTTTAAAGTTGATAAAGATCAGAAATCCAAAATATGATCGACAGGCCAGTGGGAAGAATTCAACTCGAAAGAAAAAACGCAGAAAATTTGTCTGGACATTAACATTAGTGAAGGGAGTAGGTCAGACACGGGGGACTGAAAACACTGACAAAGCACCGGAGAAGAATGTGAGGGAAGTGGACCAGTCCACTTTTTGTGACACGAGTGTCAACAAGACTTTGAATGGCATGGATAAAAAATCTAAACTGGACTATTCGGCACCACAAGAGAGCAAAAGCACGGAAAGCGAGTGTTTTCAAAAAAAAGCAGACGTATCTGAGGAAAAGACAACGCTGCAGGTGGAAGTTGAAGTGGAACAGGTAGCTGAAGCTCCACCTGCAGAAATAAATAAAACGGATTGCGGGAAAGTTGTCCCACCTCTACAGATCAAAAAGGTATCTTCTCCTGGTAAACATAAAAGCTCAAAGCCATCATTTTTAATTCAGCAAGTCAGTCCTGTGTCTGAAAGGAATGAAGATGTTTTCAAAGATCTAAATGAAGTCAGTGAGGATAAGTCATCGTGTCCGGATACAGTCGTCAACCCAACTAGGAGACTAAGAAGGAGGACGTCAAGCATTGATTCACCACAAACAAAGTCTGTCAGTCATAAACCAGTAACCACTCCAAAACGAAGACTTAGAACAAGTCCACAAAAGGACGCAGCTCCACTGCTGCACATTGAAGATTCTTCTCAGGTTTCAACTGATGATTCAGCTACTAATGTTCTTCCTGAAAACTCTAGTCCGGTTTTGGCTGAGAAGCCGACGCAGGTGACGAGTTTAAACTCCACAAAAGTTCCTGATAAGGATCCTTCAAAGATTGCTGGTGATCCCTCAGAGCCGCCAGTTGAAATCTCTCCACAGATGGTAAAGAATGAGGTCGAACCACAGATTACAGTGGAGAAACCATTGCCAGTGCCTTCCAAACCTAGAAAAAGTAGAAATAATAAATTACGAAAAAAGAAGTCTGCCCAAATGAAGAAGACTGTTGTGTCCCCTGAAATCCCTGTCAACACAGAGTTGGCTACAGTTGAAGCTACTATCACAGAGTCTGTAGAAAAGGAAGATACTTCTACGACACATTTAGAACCAGAGGCAAGTCAGCCAGAAGCAAAGGATTTCACCCAGTCAGAGGCAACACAGATCTCTGTGTCAGTGGAAGAAGAGCTTATACAGTCCCCGGTTAAAGAGGAAACAGATATTCAGTTGATAGATAGTCAACCTTCTTTGGTGTCCGAAAGCCAACAATCTTTGGTGTCCGAAAGCCAACAATCATTAGTGTCTGAAAGTCAAGCACGTGACCCAAGAACACTGCGCCTACAAAAGAAATCTCTCAAAAAAGCCAAAAAGAGGCGGAAGATTTTGATTGGGCAACGTCAGAAACACAGGCACAGGAGCAGAGACGGGAAGTTTGCTCCACTTAAAATATCTGACCGTCAGAAAACAGTTGAAGAGGATAGTGACATTTCCGCCCCATTGGCAGCTACCACACCAGCCCTGAGCTCCAAACTGATCGGAGTGCATAAAAAATACAAAAAGACACATTCAGGCCTAAAGTTTTTTGGGTCTAAAAGGCCAGAACCACAATCTAAAATAATTTCTAAGCTGCTAGAAATTGGGCTTGAAAAAGATGATTTGAAGCAAGAAGAAACAGACACGTTGGTTGATGGGGGGCAGGCAGATGTTGTCGATACCCAGCCTGGTAAATCAAAGTTTGTAAAAAACATCAAGCACTTCATTATGCCTGTTGTTAGTGCTAGATCCTCTCGAGTCATAAAGACCCCACAAAGGTTCATGGATGATGTTGGAATGTCTGTATTGCCTCGAAGAAACTCTCCAAAGAAGGGTCTACAATTGGGTTTGCAAATACGTCCGGGAAAGAGGAGAGACGATGGGATGGACAGAGCAATATCCCCTATCCTGCCAGTCGAAGGTGAGGACATACTGAGTGAAGCGCAACTGGATGTCGATCTGTTTTCAGCACAGGATCTAGATGACGACCTTGATTTAGCTGACAGCCTGTTCTCTGAGAGAAAAAGTAGCAAAAGTGAAAAGAAGAGGTCTTTTCTGAAGAACTCTAGTTTCAAGTGGCATATGTCGGAGGAGTCTAGCGAGGAAATGTATACACCGGACAAATCTCCAGAGAACAAATGTGAGGATCTGTTTTTATCTGCACCAGTGGATAAGCCCACAGAACTGTCTAGTGACCTCCTGGATGCTCAGAAAAAGAAAAGCTCTCCAAAGTTTAATAAACAAACAGCTCAACTCAAGATTTACCAAGGGCTGAAGAAGATAAACTCGGTTCTTCCCAAAAGCAAAAATACAACAGAGATGGACAGCGTGAGTAAACCCCTTCAGCCCCCTGTGGATTTAGCAGAAGGACTGGATGATGAGGCCATGAGCATCAGCCTCAGGCAGCGGAATACGAACGTTGAAAAGTCCAAGCTCAAGATTGAAGACCTTGATAGTCCGGGAGTAGTGAGGAAAGTTTCTGTGTGTGTTCGGAACACAAACTCTAAGACGCTTGGATTTCAGCACAGTAAAGAGAAGAGTTTAGTGGCAAAAGACATCATCCCACGTCCCTCAGGTAAGAAAAATAATTATAAGCGATGTATTATTTAATGCCAAGAAAACAGCATTCGTTTTACTACTGATGTAATCTTGAAGGCTGGACCTCGTAATGGAACCTGGCATTACTTTATATTCACAGGAGAGCTGCCGTCAGAGCAGAACTCAGGCACAGGTCAAAGCGATTACCCTGGGACTGTGGAGAGGGGAACGTCACAAAGAGCGCGCCTCACTGGTGCAAATAAAAGAATGTTCAATCTCCTCAGGAAAGCGAAGGTCCAGCTCATTAAAATTGACCAGCAGAAACAGCTGAAGTCATCTGGGGTAAGGTTGTGATGAACACAAGTCCACTTTCAGCTGTTGTAGACTTGTAATTATTCACTTTTACAAAAAAGATCCAAGTTTTGTAGGTTTCTTAGGCTTGTTGTGATACCTTGTGTTTGTCCATCAACTCTGCAGCTGTTATCTGGCCCGAGTGGCGCCAGGTCTCGAGATGTCAACTCTAAGAGACACAAGAGGAAGCAGAGGGTGCAGCCTCATGCTGTTCCAGTCAAGACAGAGTCGCCCCAAGGACAAGTAAGTTTTCAAATCAGGGGGAAATCGATCCAACAACAAATTCTGTCTCTGGTTTCACCACTATTTGGTGTTGTTAATCTAATCTTCTGTTACTGTCAAAATGCAGCAGAATAAAATTCTCAGTTCTAAACTATACTAAACAAAAATTTACAACCAATGATTCATTTGCTTGTTTCATCCCCCTCCTCAGCTCATCTCCCCACTGTGTCAGGAGTTTCGTAGAGCAGGAGGCCCACGGATCAAGCACGTGTGTCGTGCAGCATCTGTGGTGCTGGGACAGCCTCGAGCCTTGGTCCCAGATGACATTCCCAGACTGAGCGCTCTGCCTCTGCATGAAAGAAGTGGCATTTCCCCATCTGCCATCACTAAAGGTAGAAGGGACCTGATTGACAGAGTCACCTGGAGTTTTAGTCTTGAAATATGATAATTTAAATTTAAAATAATAAAGTGGGACATACTTCAAAAATCTCTACATCGATAATTTTCTAATTTACAGTTGAGTGGTTGGTGGTCGATCTCCAACTTAATGCCACTTAATTATTTGTCACTGAGAATACATTTTAATCATCGAATTATGTAAAACCAAATGCAGCAACTGGTATGAGGTTCTTGTTCTTATTGTCTGTCTTTTATTGCAGATGTTGGGTCTCCCTCAGAGTCAGACAGTCCAGGACTCTCAGATCCAAAGGTCACCAAAGTCAAGAAACCATCGAGTTTTGCGAAACGGAAAGGACTCGGGCCGTTTGGGTACCGTTCTCGGAGGTGTGGCGTATGCAAAGGCTGCAACCACGAGGACGACTGTGGCGACTGCATAAACTGCCTTGACAAACCTAAGTTTGGTGGTCCCAATACAAAACGACAGTGTTGTGTGTAAGTTGACATATACTTATTTGTTAGTTGCATTGGAACACAACAAAGTTTTCAAAAATAATAAAGAATTCTGTTTGTTTTCCTTAAAGGTATAAAAGATGTGATCAAATTGAAGAGAGGAAAGCACGCAGACTGAGTGGAAGAACGGCACCCAAAGGTAAATTCTTCTCCTGAGCATGGAAGCTTCATGTTGTTATACATCTGTAATATTAAGCGATTGAACGACATGCCTCCTCTCTCTTTTAAGGTGCCGCCAAGCGACAGCGATCTTCACTTAGTGGGGGTCATTCAAGTAATGACGAAGGAAACGAGGGTGCCGCAGACTCACCATCTGGTCTCCAGGGTGACGACCACAGTCCGTCAGTGAGGAAACAGCCGAAGCGTGTTGTGAAACCCCGTGTCTACTTCGACCTGGTGGACTACGAGTCAGATCTAGACGACAAAGCTCTCTCAAGCTCTGCGTCACCAGCCAGGAGAAGAGGAACTGGATACCGTTTCAATCAAGGTGAATTAACACTAAGAATCCAGTCAGGACAGTTTTTTTCCCTCAAGACCTCATATAAATATCAGCTTAAATATTATGTAAAGCTTTAGGCTTCCAAACACATTTCTTAAAACTATTAGAATAATTTTTGCTTCTAAGTGATATGCCTCTCATTAATGAAACCTGTTTTTATCTGTGTTTCAAAGACTTTGTGTCACTGGATGGATTCCTGGGAGACATTTCAGATGAAGAAGTCAGGCATCGGAAGTCCAGCTCACACCGTGTCCAACCTGGGAAGCGTAAACCCGAGAAGGTGTGTGATTCTGAGTACATTTGTGCAAGGTTTGAGTTACACTGACACATGTCCTGCTGAAGGGTGGAAAACCAGACTGTGCTAAAATGTTGAAAAAGGTCAGCTGGCACACTGTGTTTTTTTAGTTCCCAATTAGTGACACTTTGTCACAGTTCCATGTCCAAAACCTGCCAATTTTGCCTCTTGATACCACGCCAAATGTAAATGCGTTTGTTTTAATCGCAGCTTGGTGTTAGGGTGTAGCTGAGAATTCCTCCTTTTTCCCAAACCCAGGCCATGCTGCTTTCTGCAGCTCCATCGCTGTAGATTTATTTTTCCAAAAGAAATTCCAGTTCTTGTTTAGCCACTCCTCAGCTAAGTAAGGGTATGATACTGTGGTGCCATCTCAGTGTGTTTCAAAGGTCAAATGTGTCCAGTTGTTTTCACCTCTGCGGCATCATTCTGGCCATTTCATATTCATTACCACTTGGAGCACTAGCCAGAAAAGCTTGTTTGCGGTTGCGTCTCTAGGAGTTTACGCATAATTGTGGAGACACCCAACCTATGCTGTAGACTCCACCATAGCTGCTGTGTGCTTCCTTAAAAATCTATGTCACTGCTACAGCAAGGACCACAGGAACTAATTGGTCAGCATCACCTCCATTTAAAATCCCTTGCCTATTCCAAAATAACTTTTTTTAATTTTGCACAGTGTTAACATAACAGTGCAACATTTTAGGTTAATGTTGTTAATGGGATCATGGCAAAGAAAGCATCAGCTGCCAAATGCCCACCTTACATCAGGTCTCCACAATTTCCATTGCTATTCACATTCCACATTGTGCCATGCGTCATTTCCTCCATTAAGCCTGTGAAAACACATAGTTAAAAGAAAGTATATATGCATTTTAAGGTCCATCACTGCCCATATTTAATAAATTATGGTTGTCTTTCAGGGTCAGACATCGCAGGTTCCTTTTGAGCAAACTCCCCCCAGTGTGCTGGCAGCTTTGGCTCATGGGTTTGAACAGAGAGACGTTGAGTCATCTAAACCTACTCACAAAATCAGGGTTGATTTCAAGGTAGGTCACTTTTCTTGCAGTGTTCTACAAATGTTGTAATATAAACAGATTTCTTAAGTTCATGTTCAGTGGGTACAACAAGTACAGCAATCCAGCCATGTGGTTTAAGATATTTGAGTTTTTTTTTATCTCAAAGACAACTCATTCATCTCAGATTCCTAAAACACCAAGTTCCATATAGTTAAGTAAAGCTATGTAACATTGATATTGTCCACTAGAGATCAGTATTCATTCCAAAATGAAAAATATCTGACTTGTTCAGTTGTCTTTACCACTTCCCTCAAAACTCACCTTATAACCTACCTACCGTAGTCATCGCTTATATAGGTGTTTATGTGAATTGTTACACTGGCAACTACTGTGAGCAGCCTTCTCTCAGCTGGTTTTCTGCTGTTGGTGTTATGATGTGCCCCATTTTCAGGAGGACTGTACTTTGGAGAACGTGTGGAAAATGGGTGGTTTGAGTATACTGACATCTGCGCCGCTCATGCCGCCCTATGTCTGCCTCCTTTGTGCCAGTAAAGGGCAACATGAGGTAACTGCGCAACACATTCTGCTCTACTTTAATTGAAATGTTGCTTCACCATAACCACCAGAAAATTCTTAACTATTAACTGACACAATTGCTCATGTGACACAATATTATACAGGTTAAAAAACATGTATTTCCTATTTGAAGTGAATTTAATTTGAGTGTCATTTTGAAATGAAGGCTTTTTTGTTTATTCGAAAATCTTTTTTTTTGCAGATGCTGTATTGCCGAGTATGTTGTGAACCCTTCCATCAGTTTTGCCTTGAACCATCAGAGCGCCCCTCAGAGGACAACAAAGAAAACTGGTGCTGTCGTCGCTGCAAGTTCTGCCACGTGTGCGGCAGGAAAACCAAGCACTCAAAGGTAGAATCTGCTAATTTGACTTGTTTTTTTATCATATTTTATTTGGCAAAATTAACAGAGTTCAGATAGTAAATTTATTTTTCATGTCTGCCTCAGCCTTTGTTGGAGTGTGAACGATGCCAGAACTGTTATCATGCCTCATGTCTTGGACCCAACTATCCAAAACAAAACAAGAAAAGGAAAGCTTGGGTATGTTGACATTCTTTAAAATAGAATTTAACACTGAAGTACGTTTGAGGTAGGAACACATTGATTCCTGGTCTTATCTGATGGTTTTTGTGCAGGTTTGTATGACATGCATCAGGTGTAAAAGTTGTGGCGTCACACCGGGTAAGAGTTGGGACGCTGACTGGAACCATGACAAAGGCCTCTGTCCAGACTGTTCAAAACTGTATGACCAGGGTGAGAATTCAACCTTGAAAGTTAGTCAGCCCTGTTTTATCTCAACATCACCAATCTGTGCTGATAGTAAGCATCTCTCTGTTCCTCTCATAAGGTAACTACTGTCCAATCTGCTTCAAATGCTATGAGGACAATGACTATGACAGTCAGATGATGCAGTGTGGCACCTGTAACCACTGGGTACATGCCAAGTGTGAGGATCTAACAGGTAATATTTTTATCCTTTGAGGAGAAAAGAACCCAAACTGATAGAATGAAAAGTGTATGCTTGTTAAAGCTTTGTTCTCAGGTGCTTCAGAGTTATACAATGCCTTTCTCTTCATCCACAGCTTAACTCCTCTCTTGTTTAAAATTATTTCAGATGAGCTGTATGAGATTCTGTCGAGCCTTCCAGAGAGTGTAGTGTATTCATGTCGGCCGTGTAGTGTAACCCAGCCCAGTGCCTGGAGAGAGCTGCTTTACATTGAGCTCAGGGCTGGGGTGGAGAAGGTGCTAGCTTGCCTGCTGTCCTCCACCCTCACCCAGCACCTTGTTACCTGCTCACAGGTAAGAGACTCAGCTTTCAAATCCACCATGTGCCACCCAGGCTTTTACGTTATTATACAAATATGTACTTGTGCATGAAATACAGTGTGTCCCACAAACATTTGTTTCTGCTGCAGTGTGTAAAGTTGGTCGATACTGACAGCAGACTAGAAGGGCAGCCAGCCTGTGACCTCCGAGCTGTAGGCAAGAAATTTGACAAGGGCCTTTATACTACGTTGGTGAGTACAGAGCCTCTTATTCATTTTCTGAATGCATGTTAATTTGAATGAGGTTTTATGGACATTAACACCTGAGTGAGAATCAAGGGGTAGTGTAAAGAACTCCCACCCACCTTCCCTTACTTAAACTAAATGATGTAGGGGCATATACCAATCCTTTGTATAGACTTTGTAAACTTTTAGCAGGGCTGCGAGGAGCACCCACTCTAAGCTGCCATCTTGGTCCGCGGCTGCACAGCGCCCCCAGGAATGTCTATATTAGTGTTTTTGCTTTCTAAATTTGTTTTGTTTCCATAGAAAATGTTCCATGAAGATGTTGTTCAGGTGGTTCGAAAGAGGCTTGAGCAAGAAGAGGATCTTCCAGAGGAGCAGAGACCCACTGCCCTTGCACGCTCTTACTATCTAAAGGTGATGTATGGCCATAAGCACTTCAGCTCTGCCATCTGTTAATATTTTAGATATAATGCAAAGGCCTCAAACCTTTTTTCATTTGCTAATGGTAAATTTAAAAAGCACCAAAGTGACATTATGTTTTTAGAAATGCAGGTGCGTTCGCATTTATCATTGATGGATGTGATTTTTATTTTTAGCTCCTCGAGGAGGTGTTTAATTGGTTCAACAGCCAAGATCCAAAGGTGTGGAGCTCTTGTACCAAAGACATGCCTATGTGAGTAATGGTTTTCATTTACTGGTTTGTATGCACCTGTACATTTATTTGAAAATGACTCTTCACATAAATGGCCCCTGCCAATAACAGTAAACCATCATCATTATGCATTTGGTTTATTGCACACTTTCTTGTGAGTGCTACATGCAATTTTCTGTTTTACTTTGCATTAAAAGTAATATTTACAAGCTTTTAAACTCTTAAATGAATTCTTGGGTTGATAGGGGGATGCTGTCCCAGGCTGTTCATCCTCCAACAACAGAGCACGTTTATGCTCAGTGGCAGGAGAGGGAGGAGCTCACGTCGAGGGCCCCACTGCGGCTCCTGCAGGAAGACAACGAAGAGAGCTTAGATGTAAAGGAGGAAGAAGCAGTTTCTCCGATGTCTGGGGAGCTAACAAGCCGGAACCACTTCAAAACCAGCAGGGCTGTCAGACTCAAATTCAAAGGTAACGCTGTCAGTTCAGGAGAGATGATCATGAAAGTTGATACCTTTTTATATTGCTACACAGTGTTTGGGCTTGTAATATATATACATTTGCATATCCATTAGGGAAAAGAGGCCGGCTTTCTAAAGCAGATCTAGACACTGGATGGTCCAAGGATGATGAGAGACAGTGCTCATTGTGCCAAAAATTTGGAGACCTCAAACCTAATGTAAGTAATGTTTTAAACACGAACAGAAGTCGATAGTATATTGTAAATTGAGTAACTGCTCAGAAATACTGTACACTTTGATTTGTAAAGCGGTGGGATTCACATCTTCTTTTGTGTTGTTCCACAGGAAGCGGGCAGGTTGCTGTACTTGGGCCAAAATGAGTGGGCACATGTCAACTGCTGTCTGTGGTCAGCTGAGGTGTTTGAAGAGGACAACGGCTCTCTGTTACACGTACACAGTGCTGTCACAAGAGGGCGCTTGATGGTTGGTTGTTAATCTATCTTGAAAACTGATCTGTTAGTGTAACAATGTGTTTTAATCCACAATATCAATAAATCTGTGAAATGCGCCAAAATGTATTTTCTAAACAAAAGTCTTATAACAATCCCTCACTCAGACTACTTGATTACTTTGTTACATTCACTCAAACTTAACATTTCACTCTTGTGTCCCATCAAACCCAACCCCCTCTTAGCGATGTGAACGCTGCAACCAGACGGGTGCCACAGTGGGCTGCTGCCTGACATCTTGTCAAAGCAACTATCACTTCATGTGCGCCCGTTCCCGTCACTGTGTGTTCCAGGACGATAAAAAGGTCTACTGCTACAAACACCGACATCTCATCAGTGGCAGGGTAAATGCTGCTCTCCCAACTTTTCTTCCACTGAAGGTATTTACGGGTCTTGAATTTGATTCTGACTTGTTTCATCACTCCTTTTTTTGTTGAACAGATGAGAACTGGTCAAGAGTTTGAAGTAAACCGCAGGGTGTATGTGGATTTCGAGGGGATCAGCCCTCGCAGAAAGTTTTTGACAGGACTGGAACCAGAACTGATCAACCTCATGATTGGTAAGGTTCTTTTCATTAGTTGCCTCTTTCACTCCTGTTTGCATTTACCAGCATATACCAGCTTAAATACGGAACTTATAATTGGTATCCACATTGTTATTACACAGGTTCCTTACAGATAGAAAAACTGGGTGTTCTGACAGAACTTTCAGCTAGCAAAGGAAAACTGTGTCCGGTGGGGTTTCAGTAAGTTGCATTTTTAAATTTCACACTTCATTAAATTAATAAAAGATATCATTGACGCATTAAACGAAAACCACTTTGCTCTTTTTTCCTAAGGTGTTCTCGGTGGTACTGGAGTACAGTTAATCCATTGCGCCGGTGCAAATATACATGTACAGTCCGCGAGGTTCGGCCTGTTGTCCCAGAGAAGCCTGTTGAGGAGATGCCTGACCGAGGAGACAATCACACCATAGCTCATAGCCCCTGTCCGCTACCAGGTGTGTGTTCCCTAATGAATATTGCATCAGGAAGTGTTTTACTGTAATTTGATAGAGATGCTTATAATTTGTAAATGAATGTTTTTATAAATCTTCAGAATCTGAAGTGCAGGAGGCTAACATAACAGACTCCCAACCCCCAACGGAGGACAGCTTTGTCCAGGCACCTCCTCCTAAGTCAGATCACAGTGCAAGGCCAAAGATTCCCAGCTATCCCCAAACGAGGAGACCTGCTGGAGGAATGTCTCGACCTCTGCCATCTCCAGGTGAAATATAAATAAATAAAAAATAATTAGCACGAATATTTTAGCAGTCCATCCAATCAAAAGTATGTGTCAAACTTCTGATGAATTCTGTTTTCTTCTCAGGTTTAGGCCAGTTGAAACCTCACCACATATTAACCATTAGTGATCTGGAGGAGACTCGACGGGTTCGTCACCATCCCCCACATTCACACACAACAGGCCCCCGCGGTCGCATGTCCCCCCCGCCCCTGGGCCCTCTGACTGGACCGATCACACTCCGTGCTGGAAAATCTTCCCATCCCACTTCCCCACTGTTCCCACTTGCTACAGACAACCCGATAAGTTCTCCATCATCCCGCCCAGTCGTAGGTAGAAGTGCGTCCTCAGTCCGATGCCCTGGAAATACAATGACCCACTGTACCTCATCTTTCTTCCCTCAGTCTCCCTGGCAGGACAGTACGGGAAACTTTCCTTCTCCTAGTCTGTCCTTCTCTCGAACTCGATTATCATTTGATCTGAATCAGTCAGACTCAGTCGAGGTGCCGCACAACTTCTTAGCTTCACCAGAGCCTGAAGATGTCTCTCCAGCCAATGGTACTTCACCCCAGGGAGACTTGGACCAACAGAAGGATGAAGAAGAATTTCCCTACAGTTCATTCCACAAGGATCCCAGCATGAGTCTTGGCCAAGAGATGAGGACAGAGCTGGAGATTGAAGAGACGCTCCTGAATGAAGGTGTAGCAATGAACTGTGGGGGGCAGATAGTAGTGGAAGGTGATGATCAGGAAGAGTTTTGGGACAGAGTCCAGGATGTACACAAAAGGAAGACGCTTGTTGCCAACCTACCACGGTCTGCAGCTTCAGCCAGGGACGACTTAGCAAGCACCTCCTCTGATGAGGATGATATGGAGCATTATTTTGACTTCTCTCGGACAATAGTCAGTCGTCCCGGATCAAAAGATCTCTCCAAGTCTCCCTCCTCCCCTTCCTCCCGGCCTATGGCTCAGCTTGACGGTGTTGATGACGGCACAGAGAGCGACGCGAGCATTGTGACCAGCAATGATGTTCAGAAAGTTGATGGTCCTACTCGAACTCGGATTCAAGCCAAAAACCTGAATAATAAAAACGTCCCTGAATTGGAAACTGCAAACGGCACAGAGGCTGTTCGGAATCTGTCCCCCGTAGCATCGTCCAATGATAAGCATACAGATTCTTCATCAGTTACCATCTCAGTAGTCGGCAAAAGTCCTGTAGATGGTTCAAATCAAGATGCACCTAAATCATATGATGCTACGCTGTCAAATGACAACAACAAGGGACTTGTTTCTCCACAAAGCTCTCCACTTAAAGAGCAAAACACTGACTCTGAGACTGTGCTTCCTACTCCAGTTCATGATGCAAACTCACTCACAAAGGTGCCTGAGACCTCATATTCAGTGGGGGAATTCCAGGGTCCCAGTCTAGGGTTTGCTCCTGAAATGCCTCTTGTTCTTGACAGCTGTAAGCCTGACAGCTTTGTGTCATCAGCTGAGGCATCTGCTGTGTTAATGAACCACTTGACAGCGAATAAAATGGAACCTTCTTTCGCTGATGCTTCTGATACTAGTCAGCGCATCTTGTTGGAACTTCTTCAGCCACCTTCAATGTCTACAGATACACAAAACCCCACTCAAGGCATTATAGACCCCTTGCAGATGTATACCTGCTTACCAGGTTTACCAAGTATTACACTTCAGCCTGTGACATCCTCACAAGAGTCTGCAGCCTCCATAGAACCTCTGTCTACTAAACTAACCACGCTTACTACCGTTGGAGACGTGACACAAACACTGCTTAGTGTCGCTCCACAAAATGATCCCGTGCTGTCTGTGACATCTGGCGCTCGACCCCCAGCAGTGACGTGTGGAACTGTCTCTGTACCCATCTACTCCACAAAAACACAGGCATTGGGTTCTACGGCTGTCACCATTGTTTCTTCCACTGCGTCAATACCTTCTCTTTCTGTGCTGACGACACAGTGTTCAGCTGCTCCAACCACAATCCAAACCACCTCAGCCCCTGTGATCCTAAATGGTTACAGCTCATCATCTGTGCAGAAAGACCCTGCATCTGCCCACACTATCTCCATCAACTTTTCCACCCCCAGGATGGCTTTAGAACCTCAACAGCCAGTGGTGTCTCAGGCATTACCTGGTCATGCCATTCTTACTGTGAAAGAGGTGGGGGGTCCTAACGTGGATCCCACACCTCACGTCCTGCTGGTGAACCGACTCGGGCAGATCTTTGTGAAGAATCCAGAAAGCAACACTTTTCAGCTGCCCACTCCCAACTCCCCCTCCTATAACTGTGTCACTCAGATTGCAAGTCTTTTGCAAAGCAACGCGCTTTCAGCCACACTAGCAGCAGCTGGCAACATGACAGCACCACCCCCCAGGGTCAGCGTGGCAGCAGCAGTGCCTCCGTCAGTCACACCTGCAGTTCAGAATCCAACCACAATTACACAGCTGCTCACTCACAACAGCAACGGTTCGGTGGCATCAGTTAATGTGAAGAAGCCAAGGAAGAATACAAAAACATCAAAAGATGAGACTGTAACACAATTTAAAAAACCAAAGAAAAAGAAGGAGTCCAGTGCATCCAGAAAGTTATCGAAGGCGACAGGTCAGCCCGCTCAGTCGGCTGAGAGTCCTCCCACGACCCCTGCTGAAAGTGCCCAAGCAATTATCAACCAAGCAATGGCGAGTAACTACACCCCCAAGTGGAGTGGGCTTCGAACACTCAGCCCCTCCTCACTGGTTTTGCCACCTGGCCTATTGATTGAACCAGAGCTTCCTGTGTCACCTCGCTCTTCATCACCAACGCCAGCTCCTGCACCACGACCTCGCACCCATGTCCGCATGAAAAGAGTGTCCTCGCTTTCAGACCGCATTGTCACAAAGAAATCAAAAGTTGACTTCCTGCCACCAGAGCCCATCAGCGAGGACAAGGAGCGGCCCAGAGCCACCTTTCCCATCATCTCCAGCAGGGCCTCGGGAGTCCGCATCAAGACACCAACGGTGAAAGGAGTGCTAAACCTGGACGAGCTAAAGCAGGAGCGAATCAGTGATTCTGAAAGCACAGGGTATGATTTACTTGTTTGAAGTAGGGATTCAACTTCTGATTATTTTCAATGCAGCTTAATTTGCTCTTTGTTTTCTTGATTAATTAAGTTGTTAAAACTTTTGACCAACAATCCAGATCCCAAAGACATTTCATCCTTTGATTCATATAAGTCATTATATTTAAGGATCCCTAAACTGAAAATATTCGCTATTTTGAACAGATACTAACTGAATATGATTCATCTTCATGCAGTTATTTTTCAGTGATTTCAGTTACTTACTCTCACCTCCTGCATGATAAGCATCTTTTCTGAAAGTTCAAGGCAAACTTTACACTTTTTTGTTTCATAGAGCAAAGTGTCAGATAAGATGATAAAGTGATTAAGTGCTAATATCTTTCTTAGGTCTGAGCCTTGGGATTACATGTCTTGGGGGGAACAAGGCAAGCCGCATGCTTGGGAACCAGTTGGACACAGCAACTTGACTGACTGGAAGAAATACTCTGGTAAGCTTGAGTTGTAAATGTGTAACAAACGATTCCAACTATGTCTGCTGTGTTTGACATGACATTTGATAAAGGATCGGACTGAATCTGCCCTTTCAGTATGAACAAATGATTTGTATAAATTGTGTTTGTATGTGATAGGTGCTGCTTCTACCTCAGACGATGAACCCCCGCCGTCTGATAAGGATGAAGAATGTTCAACTAACAGAGACCAGCCGTTCTTACAATTTGAGATCACCAGCGATGATGGGTTCAGCGTAGAGGCAGACAGTATCGAGGGTAAGGCTAATATTTCCCTCATCTTCAGAGTAATAACATTAGTATATCGGTGTTTTATTCTGTATCCACTTGTGTTCATTCTATTCACTTAAAACTGAACTTTTCCTTCAGTGGCTTGGAAAGCGGTGATAGATGGGGTGCAGGAGGCACGAGCGCTTGCGAGGCTGAGACCTCTCACCTTTCAGAGGATCACAGGTGCTCGTATGCTGGGTTTGGTCCACGATGCTGTGGTGTTCTTGCTGGAGCAACTTCAAGGAGCTCACCGATGTCAACCCCACGCCTTCCGTTTCTTCAAACTGTTCAGCCAAGAGGATGATCTGCCGGTCAATCCCAGTGGCTGTGCTCGCTCTGAGCTCTATCTTAGGTACGTTTCCTCTTATGGTTGCTGTGTTATGTGAGTCAGAATGTTGACAAACCTTTTTTGAATCATTGATTTATACGTGGTTTGTAAATGATTTTTAACTAATATACCATTTGTATTTCACTTGAGTACACTAGTTGATTGTTTAACTGATACTGATACTCACCTAAACCTGACATTACTGTCTCTCTTCTCTTAACAGGAAGTCCACGTTTGATATTTTTAACTTCCTGGCTTCTCAGCATAGGCAGCTTCCTGACAATGGGCCTTATGATGATGAGGAAGATGAGGTTCTGTTGAAGTCCACAAGGTCAGACTTCACTTGTTTTGTTTTATTCTATCTATTGCTGGAGTTATGTTTTCACTATTTTGGTTAAGTAAAAAAGTAAAACTCTGTACACCTCAACTTATTTAGACCTTTCACACCATTTGTTCTGGAAGAATAAATACATATATTTTTTTATAATAATATTATTATTATTATAAATATTTTCTGACGTTTTTTGATGAATTGTGGTCTGCTCCTTCTTTAGACGAGCTACTAGTTTGGAGTTGCCCATGGCCATGCGCTTCAGACACTTAGAACGAACATCCAAGGAGGCTGTTGGCGTCTACAGGTCAGTACTACATTTGCATAATAATTGATGTTCTGCTTTGAAATTGTTGTTCAACAATTTTGACTTCTGGCATTTTAAAATAAAAGAAATTGAAGAGCAGATTTTGAAACAGCAGTGTGTGGGTTAGATCTCTCTCAATAACTGTTACAATCCTTTTTCCTGAATAGAAATATACACAAAGCATTTGTCAAATTAAAATTTTGACCTTATCAGAGATTTCCAAATAGCCTTTTTTACTGCATCTCTTGACATTTTTAAGGGTAACGGTGAATTAGATCGATGGAAAGCTGGAAGTACTTCTGTAAGATGGGTGTAATACTGCATTGACTACATTTCTTGTCCACAAGTTGACTGCAGAATTTATAACACCGTTGCTTTACATCACTGCTGCCGTCATGAACTAAATCAGCCTGTCTGTGCGTGTTGTAGGTCTGCCATCCATGGCCGAGGTCTTTTCTGCAAGAGGAACATCGAAGCGGGGGAGATGGTTATTGAATACGCAGGCATCGTCATCCGCTCAGTGCTCACTGACAAAAGGGAGAAGTACTACGATGGCAAGGTTGGTCTGCTGTTTTTCTCACAGTATTTATCAGTTTCATCTTAATGTAGGTCAGTTATCCACAGTGACTGAGGCTTGGTGTTGACTGAGGTTAGAGGATGCATCTGTAAGCTTTTTTTTTGCCATTGCAGGGTATTGGCTGTTACATGTTCCGCATTGATGACTTTGATGTGGTGGATGCGACCATGCACGGCAATGCAGCGAGGTTCATCAACCACTCCTGCGAACCTAACTGCTACTCCAGAGTGATAAACGTGGAAGGCCGGAAGCACATTGTCATCTTCGCTCTGAGGAAGATCTACAGGGGGGAGGAGCTCACCTATGACTACAAGTTCCCCATTGAAGATGCCAGCAACAAACTCAACTGCAACTGTGGAGCACGGCGATGTCGGCGTTTCCTCAATTGAGCGATCCCTCGAAGGAGATGGGGGAAGATCTTGTTCGCTAGTAAGCCTTAATGTCTGATGGCACTGGATTGGATTTTGGGAGGAGGTGGGCAGTCAACATAGCAGGTGAATTAGCCACTTTGAGACCAGAGAGTAACACTGGGCTGTTAGATGTGACATGTGGACATTTTATCGATTGGACAATAAGAAGAAGTAAGCAAGAATTCATACGTTCTTGAAAAGTTTGTGTTCGCAAGGTTCTTCTGTGTTCCTATCTCACCACAGCAGTAAATTTAGCGGAGGAAGGACAACAAGTCAGGCTCCTGGATCTGTCGGGACAACACCAACAGAAATTTTTTTGATACACACGTCAAGCCTTATCTGTTTGAATCATTGTTGAAAACCTGTAGTTAAGATTTGAGGGATTCCTTATATGTTTTATTCATTTCTGGGTGGGGGGTGTCTGTCTGTATGACACTTGTGATCATGATTGCTCCATCGTCCAGTGATGGGATCATTTTAAAGCCCCATTCGTGCAGTGGTGAAGTCAGTTCCCGAGCCATACATTCACTCGTACCTTTATTTGTGCATTTTATCAAACATTTAACACTTCTCACGTTGTTGATAGATTTTTTGTTTCCTTTTAGACTCACTTTTTCATAAATAACAAACATGGTGCTAAGCTTTGACAGGTCGTCAGTTGAACTAAGCTGTCCTGTGAATCAGGAATTGTTTAGCTGTTTATTCACCCTGCTGAGGTCATGTATCTTAAATTTATGCACTCGAGCAGTACTCTTATCGTCATTGGAGTATAGTGTCTGCTAGGTTTGACACTTGTGGTCTGCTGTTTTTTCCTCTTTCTCTTTCTTCCTGTGCAGACTTGCAATGTAGATTATTGCAGTTTCAGTCAGTAGTGTCATATTTATAAGAATGGAAGCAGGAAACTTTTTTTCTGTTGATGTACAGTGTATGTAGCAAACACTACCCAAGCCAAAAGTGAAGAGTTGTGGTGAATATCAGTTTTTAGATATATATATATATATTTTATTACTCTTATGGCAGATGCTCATTACATGTTGCAATAAGACTTTGCTGCCCTGTAGTTGCGCATAAAAAACCATAAAAACACACATTATTTTCTTCTTTGTGAAACTTGCGAGAGTTTATCTCTTGATCAGGGAGGGCACTGGCGTAAAGCATCGCTTCTGAGTGTGTGCACTCAGCTCCTGCACCAGGCTTGTTAAAAACAGGGTGCACAGACTTAAAAAGTTGTCGCAGTTGCAAATGAAAACAAGAAAAGGTCTGAAGTAGAGCTGATAGAACACACTCAGCACCTTTATGATAATTGTTTAACATTGTTCTTAGTCCATGTTCAGTGCCGTCATTGACGAGGCTAATTGAAATCACACACTGTTCAAATTGTATATTTATTCATGTTTTTGATTTTGATTTTTAATGGTAAAAGGTTGTGCTTTGTATAAACGGTGGTGGTCTTGTGTATTAGGAGATCTCCCCTATCTGTATATTTTTTTTTTATTGTTTACAAATGATGTCCTTGGTTTCACTAATTTACTTGAATTTTTTCATTTGGGGCAGTTATGTCATTCATTTAAGCCTTTATGACAAATTGTTCTAAAGCAGGTATTTTTAAAGAATCATTTTTATTTTATTTTTTTTGTTATGGTAGATTACTGTCGGTCTTAGAATCAGACACAGGAGTAAATTGAGCACTGTTTGCCTTTCCAAGCCCATAATCATTGTTTTTGTGTCACGTCGTTCTCTCCAGACAAACTGGAGCAAATTTCCATAATCTTTTGGTCGTAATCTTTATCCCATTTCCTTCTTGCATGTCCAATCACTGGGATGGAGCCCAGATTAACATGTGTCAATCACCCACCTGACAACGAGAGCAGTCACTCCCAACTCCTTGCAAGGATTCTACCTCAGCTGTTTAAACAGATGTCTGGGAATACTGATGCAAAAAAGAGAGGATGATAATTTAAGAGTTGCTTGGTTTTAATTTCCTGCAGAGTGTGTGTTTGTGTGTGCACGCGTCTGTCTGTGTATTATGTGCGTGCATGTGTGTGGGTATGTGCGTGCACCTGAAATGAAGGATGCAAAGCACTAGTCAAAACCTTAAGTTATCATGACCATCTCTCCCAGAATCTGTTAAGAAAGCTGTATGTTATATATACACACATATATAAATAAATATATATATATAAATATATATATATATATATAGTAGGGTTATTTTAAAGTAAGTGTAAAAGACATAAAAATGAGAAGATATGTGATCTTTAAATTTACGTCTTTGTTACCATGTACAAATAAACCCTGAGTTTGTAAATATTTGTATACATATTTCTAAACCGGTTTAATTTTTCTATGCACTTTTTTTTATTTATAATGTCATTTGCCTAATAAAGATGTTAAGATGTTTGAACAAACATTTTTTTTTTATTATAGACGAGAGTCTAGACACTAGTAATGTGAAGCAGTGAGCGTTTACTAGACTATTCCAGAAATCTGTTGAATAATATTGATCATTGTATTTCATTGTTTATTTACAAAAAAGTGGGTAAAGATGATTTTTTTTTTAAATATAAAAACATTAAAATCTGTCTTCGATTTGTAAAAGTCACTGTAACTTCAACTTGCACAGATAAGGTCAGGCTACATCTCTGAGGTCACACGCAGGAATACTACACGTCTGTATGGTTCAGTTTGAGTTGGGCGAGAATGGTAATTGCATCATTGCGCTCCATTTTACTGAGCAGCTTGGCCAGGTGTGCCACTGTCCAGTCAGGGTGCTTGCTGGTGACCCCCTCCAGCACGGCCTTCAGGGGGCTCTTAATGTCCTTCATGGAGTAGGTGTATGTGACCCAGGTGGAGGGGAAGGAGCAGTGCGATGCCAGGTGCTTTGTGTTTTTTCCTGCTTGGCTTTCTGGATCCAACAAAATCACCAACTCCTCCAAAACATCCAGGTTGTCCAGCACTGTCTGTAAAGGTGCTGACTGGATGTCAAGACCTACAGAAAAAATACGTACGGTGTTACAAAAGATCACTTGTAATACTGGTGATAAACACAATGGTTTGTGATGCAGGGGTCTTTAAAACCTGAAACTTTAAAACCTCTGGAACTTAAAGGGGAATTCTGGTATTTTTCAACTTGGACCCTATGTTATTAAATGTGGATCAGATGAATGGTACTTGCAGCAGTGGCAAATGTCAACTAATGTTGCTGTTTTTTCCCCCAATAAAAGGCCCAAATTGTTATTTGACAACATAACACATGTCTTGCTCAACCAGTGAGTCTCGGCCCAGTCACTCATGTGAATGCAGGCAAATGTCATGGATCAGTGTTCACAAAGTTCAAGTTGAACTCCACACGAAGTGACCAAGGTTTGCCACTGTTACATTTCAGTCCGACAAATCACGTCCAACTGTTTATTGCAGCGGTAGAACAACAGTTTGTGTTTGACACAAACAGTGCAAGCAAAGGGGTTGATGGGAAATTTCTGCCTGCTAAAATAGGCTGCCTAATAAGGTGGGTGTTTAATAGATGATTTTGGAGAATGAGGTATGTCACATGATGTTTGTCACATGATTAGAACAGCACAGCTTGAGTTGGCTGCCTGAACTAGCTTGCAGGGTTTGCTCCATTTGTGACCGTGTCATGACCTGGGTTGGTGCAGGCAGACAGAGGTGGAAACACATCAGTGATAGAATTCCCCTTTAACATCATCACAGAAGATCATATCAAGAAAAAGTAGAATGGGAGTTGCACAGTTTTGCAGTACAGTTGTAGTTTCACATTTTTTCCAGTAACTTCCACTCACTGAGAATGTCGTCGATGCAGGTGGGAACAGAGAGAGGAGCGATTCCTTCTTCAGCCAATAAAGACCTGAAATGCAGTTCTGGGTGTCGACCTGGGTTCATCCCTAGCATGAAACACACATGTTTGTACAACATCAGTAAAATGACATCCCAAAGTAATAAGTTGGAAGTTTCCCCATGTATCAGTTCTCCAAAGAAAACTTGTCCCACCTCCCTGCTCTTATCTGGAGCTAAAGCTTCCCTTTCAATATTCAAACCTTTGTTCCGCTTCATGTAGACTATGTAGGCACATAACAACAACAGCATGATGCAAATTACGATGGATAATGGTACCGTCCCTGCAAAAACAAAGAAGAATTTAGATGTTGAAGAAATGTGTTCCTGTCGTGTAATCAAGAAAAAGTTGAACTAACATATTACAGCCAAACCAGGAGCTGTTGGAAATGTGGTGAAGGTAGATGGTGGAACTATCCCTGTTGGAATTGGTGTAGAGTTGGTTCCTTGGTTTGTCTGTATATGAAAATGAAAACAAAGTGAACTCTACAACACTTTAGGCAGTGGTTCTCAAATGGGAAAAGTTTCCAGATTCATCCATTCAAATGATCATTGTATATGAGCATTCTGTGTGGATGCAGTGAAAATCTTTCTTAAATATTTCTTTTCTCTGCGGTGTTCTTGAGAGGAACTAAACATTTTTTAAACGATTTTGAAACATAAATCATTTGTTTTCTGCTAATATAAGTTCTTATATTCTCCTAATATAAGAACTTATGACTCATCCCATGATATAAGGGGATTTCTTGGTAATTGTATCATTTCCTCTTTTGAAATAAGACAATTTCCTGCCTATGTGCAGACTGAGGAGCACATGAGGAAGCCAAGAGTCAAATTAAAACACCATTAAAATAATACAATAGAGGGACACATGCTCGGAGTCAACTGTACTCACTGCGACTTTAACCTCTGTGATCCAGCTTCTGCAGAAATCAGAAAGAAAACAAACACTGGGCTTTTACTTTAACTTCCTTATTTGACATTGTGTTTCTGCATGTGTTGTGTTGTTTATTTGCCATTGAATCTTTTGATTTGATGTTGTGTTTTGGGATTTGTCATTTGTGGTGGTGCCTTTTTTGTTTTGTTGGTGTGCTGTGTAATTTGATGATGTGTTTTGTTTTGTGTGTGATTTTCCATTGGGTTTTTGTTATTTATTGAGTTTTGTGATTGATGTCATGACTCTGGACTTTATCTCTGTAATGAGGAGTGTTTTGTCTGGATCTGTGTTCTCTGAGTTTTCAGTTTTATGTTGTACTTTTGCTCCTGGTGTCCCACTCTATCTGTGTCCCACTCTATCTGTCTCATTCTGTTTAGAGTTGTGTTCCACTCTGTTTCCTGTTTTATTTTGTAGTTTCTGCTCTTTATGTGTTGTCCACCTTGACTTCCTGTCTTGAATAGATCACCTGCTTGTCCTGTGCCACCTGTCTCTAGTTTGTCATCAGCTCAGTGAGGACATAAGTCTCTGTGCTTGTCTTTGTCGGTGTGTGGTTGTCTCATCAGCCTGTCGTCGGTCCTGGTCTTCTTCCTGCCCCCTCACATCATCACCCTCTCTGCTTCTCCGTGAGTCATGTCTCTCTCTATGTTTTTCAGTTCTTCAGTTCTTTTTCTAGTTTTCTCAGTGCTTTTCTGTTGGAGGATATTTTTGCTCCTATATATTTTGTGTCAGCCCTGCTTCTTGGTTTCCTGTACTCTTCCTGTTTTATGGACTTTATCTTATTAAAGGATTCTTTTTGTGAAGTTTTTGCATCTGCATTTTTTGGGTCCACCCGCTCCTTAAAAGGTGACAGTTGAGTTTTGTGCTCTGTTGTTGTGTTCTGTGGTTTTGTGTTTGCTGGTTTTTCCTTTGCAGCACTCTAACTCATCCCTTTTTAAATGTGTGCAGTTGTGCGTGTCTGCTGTGGGAGTGATGAGTGCGTCTTATTCACCTCAGCTCACACTCGGTGTCAGTAGTTGAGTTACAGGTCCTAATAACTTTGGATCCATGCGGACATGAAGCGCACTCTTGACAGTAAGCTCTGCTGCCGTCATTGAAAGAGTTGGCTGCACACTCTCTGAAAGGAGGCTCGTGTCGTCCTCCGAAATCATCACGGCCACAGTTAGGAGTAACTTTATACCCTATCATTGACATTAAATATGATATATCATACAATAGAATATGGAATATGATGTGATTTAACATAATATCCACTTACCTGGTTTGAAATCACACCGCACACATTCAGTCCCAACAGAGTAAGTTGTTGGGTCCTTGCATAGTCTTGAGTGTGTCATCTCCAGAGCTCTGGTCTGAGTGTATAGTGCTCACGTTGGATATAGACTCACTGTGGAAACTTTTTAAAGAAATGAAACCTGCTGAAATGTCACTGAGTCATGTAAACCACGTAACTTCCGTTTATCATGATGAATCATTATACTTTGGCAATAAATCCTCCCTAAATGTGATAAATGTTATTTGTTAAGTTAAAGATCTTTTTCTGTCTTCTTGGTGAAGATTAGAGGAAGTTAAAAACCTTCATTGAACCTTGGGGTAGATTAATTGTTTTATTTCTCTCTGTGCACAATGTATCAGAATATATGGATGTATATTGAGTCTTTGTTATATTGCTATAGATGTGATGTCTGCAGACCCCCAGGAGTCCATTGCACACAACCAGTGGGGTCTGTGAAAACATCCCCGAGTCATCCGTTAAATATTTTGATGTTTCTAATACGGGCCACTTCAGGTTCACTTCCTCTCCTGCCAAGAGCACTGCCTTGCCAACAAAAGCCCACATTTGTTTGGGGATATTTGTTTCACGTTTGTTATTTTACAAGTTGGCCATTTAGGCTCACATCCATTTAGTTCTGGCCAAAAGTGCTTCACCACAGTTCAAATTGGACCAACCAAACCTAATCACTTAGCATTTTCACTTACATAGATTTAGGCTCTGCAGCAGAAGGATCATTAGGTTGATGTTATCATTTGTTGAAGAGAATTGAGGTCTGTTATTGATTGTTTTATTAACTTCTACATGCTCATATGTTTAGCTGAAACACACGTTTTTATACATGTGAAAGTTTGACAGCGTCTGCATCTTTCATGTTATTTTAGTATTTCAGTTGGTGGTTTCCTGTTTGGCCTCCTGAAGGTGCTGTGTGTCTCTTCTTTCATCAGTTTTTTTTTTTTTTATCTGGATGAGAGGTGAAACGTTTTCAACACACCCTCAACATGCAAAATCCTGGTGGTGCAGTTGTGTCAATATTACAATGAACAAATGCAGACACCAGTTGACTGCAGTGCGGTCAGCATCTTTGATATTAGTCATTTATTAAAAACAGTAAATGCTGATGGATGATGTTTAAACGGTGAATCACATCCTTAGGCGAACTTGCAAAAAAAACGGACACTGTCAAGAAGCTACTTAATTTATACATCATCTGTGTGTAGATCAAGATCCAACTCCAGCTAGTATATCAGTCTAAGTATGAGTACACTGAAACGCCAGGGAGCAACAATCGAAACAAAGAGAACTGCAACCAATGCCCTGACCTCCAGAACATATTTCCATGTGGACAGATTCGCAGCTTCAGTGTCAGGCATTTGAAGCTGAAGCAGCTTGCCCGAGGAGCTGAGGGCTCCACAATAGACCTGCTTTATTTTATTTTATTCCTCATTTCATTGCTATATTTTTATTCATTCTGTTCTTGTTTTTTAACTGTATTGTTAAGCACCTTGTATTCCAATCTAGCTCGAAAGGAGCTTTATAACAACATTTGATTTAATTTGTTTTCAAGCCTTTAAAGCTGAAATCTTGAATGTTTGCAGTGTGAAAAGTTGCATGATAGCGACATCATGTGGTCAATGATGTGTACCTCAGTTTAAAGACGTGTTTTATTCAACACAAACATTCACGTCTATCTGATTATTTGATGCACTGGTATGATGTGTGAAGCTGAAACATCTTATATTGATTCAATTGTTTATATATTGTTCATATTGTTTATCTTCATTTTAATTCATTTGAACCTATTAATTCAAGATGATGACACATTAACTTGTTTAGCTTCTATTTCATAAACATGAAACCAACAAATAATCTTCAGTGGAAACAGGCCCCAGAACGCCACTGAAAGCTACTTTAATGGAAGGAAACAATGTGCATGGTTACATTCTGAAGATACACTGTACATATATTCATATAACTGAGTGTGGTACAACTACAGAGGTCTGACAGGTGGAAAATAGAGTAACACTTTTTACTTTTGAGACACACACTTGTGTCTATGTGTTTGATGAAAAATGCAGGCAGAAAATGATCATGCAGAGAAAAATAAAATAAAGAAATCTATTCAAACTCCCTCAACATTCCTTATTTCTTGTGTTATATGTAAATACAGCAAATTAATGTGTGGAATTTGACTGACTTTGGTACCGCAAACAGTGTCAAGGCTCACGGCTGTTCCCTAATGCTTATGAAGACTCTCACTCATCACTCAATGGGTTAGAATCAATTCATGTTTTTGAATGAGATCATATTTATATCACATTAGGTGTGAAAACAGACGAATGTTGACAGAAATGTCCGGCAATTAATAAGAAATCTTCTCTTTTTTTCCTGCTGCAAATATGAGAGACAGTGACTGGTCCCATTTTAATATGCTGCTGTAGAGAAATGTTACAGAAAATAGAGATTGTTATAGTTGTTCCCCTCATGAGGGCGCTATGAACCTGGATCTAACTTGAGTTTACACAACTGGTCCAGTGATTGGGAAAGTGAGGCAAGTGACCTGTGTCATTGGATGAAGATGAGCTGTTTGTGTGGCTTTAATGCACTAACATGAAAGTGAAATAGTAAACTCTATCAATACATTTGACATGTTTGGAAATAAGTGCTGCACTTTTCTGTTCTGCTGTTGGGAACGTGCATGGATAAGTTATTGCTACAGTAAAGTCCTGGTTCCCTCATGCTGACTGAGGTCAGTGGTGTTAAAGGACCCTCTCAAACATCAACATGAGTTTATCCAGTAAACACAGATTCTAATCTCTGTGACTCAAACGTAATGACGCTACATGAGGGCCACAAAGTAAAGCTACACCTTATGAGAACTTTGTGCAGATGGAGGTGTCAGTGGGGCGTGGCTCAGATGTGGGAGGTGTACAGGTAAGTGCTGTTGATGTTCCAGTCCGGGGGGAAGTCTTGCACTGCATGGCTCTTGACATGTCTGTGCATGGCGACCAGACTGCTGCAGAACTCCAGGCACACCGTGCACTGGTAGGGCGCTGCCCCGCCGTGAGTTCTCAGGTGCTTGATCATAGCTGAGTAGTCTCGTGAGCGCTGACCACAAAGGCGACATTCGAAGGGTTTCTCCCCTTGAAGCAGAGCGAAGAGAGAACAGAGGCCCACAGAAAAGAAAGATCAATATTCAGTCATATTAAATATAGATAGAATTTGTCTAGGGAAATGTTTCCTAGTGAGAGCTCAACTGGTGAGTATAGTGGACTAAATTGGTTCAAAGTTATGTTTATTAAACAGTGACACTTATAAAAACTAAACTAAACACATTCTGAACAAACCTTTAATTATAAAGTACATGTTTATATATCAGATCAATGTAACACTAATCTTAACGTAGGACATAGTTGTGTATTAACTTACAATTAAGTTTATTATATAAATTATTATTTCATAATACATATATGTTATAATAATATATATATACATATAAATTCTATGTATTATATACAAATATAATACATATATATGTAGAATATATATATTTATATTTATAATATATATATTTTATATAATATATATATAACATCCATATTTTTGTTTGAGATTACAGGAAACATCTCAGTTAGTCATAAAAAATATTGTTTGTAGATATTTAATACTGGGTCATTTTCTATTTCCTCACTTCCTATCTTGACGGATGTTTAGCGCCACTTCTGTGTTTTAGGTGTTATAACCAATTGACAACAAATGATCTTGAATCTACTGGTTTCCATTACATACACTCAGTTGTGCAGAGGAGACTGCTTGAAAAAGGTAACCTATCAGAGTTGAATAATTTGATTTTACTGCTGTTTGGTAAAAAACTCGATAAAACACACAGGTTTCTCCGTCATGCCCCTTTCAAGTCTGCAAGTTTCAACTTAAAGTAAAATGAATATTAAAAGAGTCTGCATTCATTTGTGCGTCCATGTTAACAACTAACCTGTCTCTGACCTGTCTGGCTTTATAGACTCATCGACTTAATCGGCCACAGACCTAATCTACTATACTTACTTTTCAGCCTTTTAACATGAGTGGCTGTCTAAAGACAAAGTGCACTAATGCTTTTGGCCCATTTGACTTCACTGTAACTGGATTTTTGACCAAACTATATAAATATATTACATTTTGAAATTCCCCTATGGATTGTTCGTGAGGTTTAACCCTAGTGTTGCACAAATAGAACAACGATTATTAGCTATTATTGTATGAAGTCATTGTGTTTTATTCTAGAGACTTGAATCCAAAGCGAAGTTTAAAAAAGAAGTGTTTACCTGTGTGAACTCGGTGATGTGTGTCCAGCTGATGTTTCAGACTGAACCTTTTGGGGCAGTGTTTGCACTGGTAGGGTTTGTCTCCACTTGTGGATTGTCTCACTTGATGATTGGTCGGCTGCTCACGTTGCACCTCATCTTTTCCACGGAAATGACACCCTGCACAGGCCTCACCTGTGTAAACGACAAGATGGGGTGAAACAAGTCAAGGTGTGAATGTTGTGGTTGACAGTGACCTGACTAAAAAACACCATCACAGTTGTTCTGTTTATTGCCGTAGTTAGGTGTTTTTTGATATCCGCAACAACAGGGCAGAATAAGCATTTCCTTTAAAAACATTTATTTGAAGTAAAACGTACTTGCTGAATGTAGCCTGTTCCCTATCGCAACGTTCAGGTTTTTCTTCAGTGACTCTGCTGCAGGAGGCGGGGTCTAATGTTACTTGCCGGCTCTGATTGGACCAATGGACCAGTTCCCCTCTCGTTAATGATCAATTAAAAAATTAAATTAAAAACAATGTGAACATGGAACTGTAAAAGTGGTGGAGTAGAAAGTGGACTGATATAGTAGTAAGTAACGATGCTGAGACTGGTTATTGAGTCAATTGACAAAAATGTAATCAGGACATGAGTTGATGATTAATCAATAGTCAAAGTCCTGATCTCCATTTTTTAAATGTAATACTTTTCAGCCTGCAGTTTATAAACTGTATACCACAGGGTTTTGGACCATTGGTTAAATAAAACCAGACATTTAATCACTTCACCTCAAACCAGTGGAAACAATCAATCACTTGAGAAAATAATCAGCAGATTTGTCAAAATTGTTAGTCATGATTTGCTGCAGTTATAAAGCATTTGTAGTTTTCAGACATGCTTAAGTTGACAGCAACATTTGTCTTAACCACTCTTCAGATGCAAAACTTTATTCAGGTCTTCTTCCTGTTGCAAGACAATAAATTAAATCTGCATGAAGTTACTTTCCTGTAAGTCAGCATGCATGTTGTCTGCAGCCACATAGGTTAGCGATTGTAAAAAAAACAAAGGTGTGACTTTGAGGTTGAGGTAGTGAATCCAAAGTTTTTCGGTACTGTTATTTTAGGGTTTTAGGGTTTTTAGGGTTTCAAGTTAAAACCTGGGCCCCTTCGCACAGACAGGATGTAGAAATATGGAAGCTGGTGTACTGTAGTAGAGGAAACTGACAGAATAAACCACATAATTGAACACTCATCACTGACTAATATTTCTCACTGTATACGACCAAACATTGCTTTAACTTCCAGTGCCCTTATTAACATGCACTAATATAATTTCAGTGAAGGAGAAGAAAATACTCTTTATACTTTATATACCTTATACTCTTTTTGTTTATGTTTCTTATTTTATACACTTATGTTTCAGATTGTATACTAGAGGCTAATTGACCACATTGCTTGTAAAGCACCATTTTAACTTAATCTTTTGACATATGAACATAATGTTCCATTGAACAGAGACAGATAAAACAGATTCTACATTAACAAATGATCAGACACACATCCACAACAGACTTATGATTCAGACTATTTAAATGATCTTATCGGACTTCCTGAAAATCTTTATAAGAACTTATCATATGATGATTATATATATATATTTTTTTTTTCTGGTAGACAAACCGCTGATGCGATGCAGTTTGTACTGTACTGCATGTATGTCGCTGTATCTAGTAACCACACTACTGCTCCTGCTGCACCATGCTCTCAAAACCACAACTCTCTTTATTACTTTCCATTGCGTAGCTAAGTGTCTCAAGGGTCAGGGGTCAGGACAAGAAGCGTCTCTACATTTCTATATAGAATAACCCTCATTACAGCCTTGATCTTACTGAATATGTTATCATATTAGTATCTGTTTGTCTATATAATCATATCACTACCTGATGCTGAGGAGGCTGATTCCTGTGGCGCTGGATCACCAAGGTGACTTGTAGTGCACTCTCTGCAGTCTTTAACTCTCTCAGCTCTGGCTTTGGGCACTTGATGGAAACTGTGGGAAAGAAATGGTTTTCTGATGCAACCGTCATACAAATCGGCTTAAATCTCACCTTTCAAAATATTAAAGAATCTCTCTTATCTGAGTGACAAATAGGTACTTTAAATATACAGCAAGTACAAGTATTACAGAGTAAATATCTCAGTCTGCATGAATTTTACATCATGTGATATCCCCCAACCAGCACTATTAGAAGTAAAAAAACTAAGTCAAACTAGGGAGTGGGTTAATGAAGTGACGTTGATGAAAAGCTGTTTTTTATTTCCACAAAGAACCAAAGATGTGTTGAATTTCTTGTGGCACAGCAGTGGCCAAACACTGAAACTTTATTTCAGTGGGTGGAAAAACTTGAATTCTACAAGGGAGGGGAGAAATTTAGGGGGCTCCCCTTATCACACTGTTCCCATTATCACACTGTTTAGTTACACTGTGTGGAACATTGCACAATATTCATAGACTTTGAAAAGTTAAATCAACCAAAAACAAAGTCAAATTGGTTTTTAACACTATTTAGCATCATGAAAATAGAGTAGAGTGTGATGTGTAAAAGATCAATAATAATAAATAAATGAGATGAATGGAAATTATCATTTTATTCTATTTTAACTATTGAACTGAAGAGTTTGACTGACTGGGGCTGAAAGCGAAGAGTTAACAGATGAAACTGCTGCAGCTGGAAAGTGCAGGATGCTCGATCACACACATCTATACCCAGACACCAGTGAGTCAGGTGCTGCAGCTGTCGCAAGGGAACAACTGAGCAAACTGGGGGATTCTAAATGAGTGTGTGAGGGGAAAAATAGGGAGACACTGACTGAGAATAAAGAAACAGAAATTTCCCAAATCATGTCCAAGCGCTGACCCACCTCTGCTCGAAGCTCTGCACACCCCCGTTAAACGCTCTCTGGCTGGATTTCTTTGTTTTTAGCAGGCCTTGCTTGATTATGCTGCCCATCCCTGTGGACCCAGTGTAAAGGTTTTGTGCACAGTGTGGATAAAGGCCTGAGTGGTGGACTCTGTTTTGAAAATGGGGCCTCAGCAGTGGGAACATGTGGGGAGCAGAGAGGGAGAATGGGTATGCTACTGCCGACGGATTAGGGGACTGTGCACCAAAGAAGTTTGAGTAGTTCTCTGCTATTCTCCTCAGGGTGCTCACAGAGTTCCACACGTTTGTAGAGAAGGTCCAGGGAGAGGAGGGGGAGGAGGAGGAGCTGGTGGCCGGCCTGCTGATAACACTGTTGTGGGGTGCTGATGACAGAGGGGACAATCTGGGCTTCTTTCTTGAGGATGGTGATCTGCTGTGGTTCTCAGCAGACTCAGGGGGTGAATGATTCTCTGTGACATTGCTGTTGCTTGTTTTCTCCCCTGTTGAGGACGTCTGTTGGAGTTTCTCCTCTTGAACCGGACTTCCTTCTCTCTTTTTATCCATGTCCTTTGCACTTTCTTTTTCTTCTTTGACATCTTTGGTCTCTCCTCTCTCCTCCTCTCTCCTGGCTCTGTGGTTGAGGGTGTCCAGCTGTTTCCGGCACTGATCCTCCAATGACCACATCTCCAGCAGCTGAGCGGCTCTCAGCAGTAGGTACAGGTCTTCCACGGACACCTCAACAGCCTGGGTGTAGGTGAAGTCCAGGACCTGCTGGAAGGTGCGTGGTGAGAAATACTCCAGGGTACAGTGGGCCGGGCTGTCTGTGTCAGCCTGGGCCAGCTGCTGCGCCAGTCTTCTGCTCGCACAGGCCAGCACCAGTCGATGAGCCCTGAATGTATGACTCTTGACTGAAATGATAACATCGCACAGTGACCCTGAGCGACGTAAAGCATCTGCCTGCTGCAGGAAGTGGAAATATTGGGTGTTGTTGATTCGGATCATTTCTGAGGTTTATGGAAATACTGAAAGAGAGACAAAAGGGAAAAAAAATCCCAAGACAAGATAACATTAGTTTAGGCCCACACTGTGGTTATAATAGTTATATTAGCAGTATTTGCCCACCTGTTACCAGGAATGTGACATCTATAGATTTGCTAGATTGCAAGAGTGAAAACAAGCAGCAGGAATTGGCCTCAGATGAACTGATAAAATGTTTCTCAGTTTTTTTTGTTGAGGGAGGCAGAGTGTACTTCAGCTACTTTGCAAAACACAAGATATTTTTATTTTAATGCAAATAAACACTGAAAATAAAGGTAAATCTTCACAAACAGTAGAATGTAAACAATTTCTTTTTTTATTAGATCATCAATCCCACATAAAAAAAATCCCTCAGTCTCAGAACTGATGTTGTGTCTGGTCAACGGGTGAAAAATTTACTTCGCTCACATACACACTTTAAAAGCCACAAAGCACTAACAGCACACAAGTAAACATGAGTAAAGTATGAACTTTAACAGTGCTGCTGTATTTGGGCACAACTAACATCACAAAGACAAGCATGTGCAGAGGTGGGATATGTACATTTTGTAAGTCTGTTACAGGAACGTTAAGTTTTACATCTAAAAGTGAGATTAAATGTGAATGAAAACACTGTAGTTGTTTGTTAAAGGTACCGGACGCCTGAGAAGTTGGAAGTCTAAAATTAACCTTTGGTGTTTAACAAATTAATGAATTTAAGTTATAAAAAAGACCATTCATTAATTTCTTAACTAATGTAATTATAAAAGAAAAAGAGAAATGTTTCATTTAATTGTAGCTTGTTGTAATATGTTTGTCTCAGATGTCAATTTGATGTATTTGGTTGCGTATAGATGTGGGCCGCTCCGGAATGAAGTAGAAAATGACTTATATTTATTGTACCCACGCTAAATGGAATTCATACTGTTTTTACATTAAATGGAAATTATACTCTATTATGCTAAATTAAATTCATACTATATTTACGCTAAATGGAATTCATACGCTATGTACACTAAATGGAATGAGTTGGTGCAATGAAAGCTATCATTTGCGTACACGGACATATAGCAGAACTCTACACCTGTTTTTTTCAACGGCATTCAGAACGGGCTGATCAAAATTGTTATGTTATGTGCAACAAATAAACAATGTAACTCACAAAATTAACATTTTTATTTCCAATTAAAGTGGTCATTTTAATACTTGATCATATATAATATATAATAATAATTATTATTATTATAGGTAGTAGTAGTAGTAATAATAATAATTATTATCATTATTATAACAACATTAATATTTATTATTAGAATTATTATTATTATTAGTGTATTAGTGCTCATAGCAGCAGCACTGTGACAATTCTAATTTAGCGGGTGCATTCATGTGACGTTTTACAATGCATTTTGTGATGAATAACTTTAAATTGACTTTGTTTAACAACATAAATCAATGCTCAATGGGATTTCACCAACACACTTAAAATAGTGTGATGTGTTGTCAGGATGTGTAAGGTACAAACCTATAGAAGTTCCACAGAGATGTTCACTTTCCATTTGCAGACAGTTGACAAATGCTGCTGTACTTCAGTGCATCAAGTCAGAAACTTTAGTTGTAGCTGTTTAATAAACTCTACTTGTCTTTTCATTCATATTGATTTGATGCACCTGACACATGCATGGTCCAATTTTAAACTCAATAAGAATCTAGCTGCGCTCTCCTGAGCCTGTTGGCCTTTAAATCAATTCTTCTGTTGTCTGTTTGTGTGCAGTTTTGTCCTTGTCTAAATCTTTTCATCTTCAGAATACATTTGGTTTATAAAGTAACTTGTGCAGCAATCGATTCCCCCCGATGCAGCTCAAATCGACTCTGCACTCTAGCAGAGTTGTGACATAGTTTAGCAGATCTCTGAGCTCCTTGCAGGCTCAGTACTATCACACGGGGAAAAACCGTGCATGCACATGACAGACTTACACATCCTTTGACAGGACATGAACTTATCTTTGCCACAGCTCACATGTGATAGACTGGAGTAACAATTGAGATCTAAAAAGTCTCCACGGGCAACAGAAGATCATTAGCAGCACACAAGTTTGTGTTGAGAGCCAATCAACAGAAAACACAACCAAAGGGACCGAAGATGAGCAAAGGTAAAGTGCATCTGCTCGAGGTTTTCGGTCTCAAAAAATTAAGAAGCAGCATAGTTTGTGATTGAGACACTTACCCTCTGTTGAGCGACTGTTTCTCCCTGGAGAATGACAAACTACCTCACATCATGACTGTGGAATGACTGCTAAAAGAAACATGAGTGTCAGAGTACAGGCTTTGCTGTGGGACAAGGTGGTTTCCTCTTTAGTCTGTACAGTCCCTCCTCTTCAACTCATCTCTCCCTCATTGGCTCATTGATAACTGTGCTTAATAGTTTGCTGCCTTAACCTTTCCCTAAATATACAAGCTCTCTGTTTGGTTTTGTTTTGTTTTGCTAAAATCATGGAGGCCGTTTTTGTGTTTAGTATTCTCTATGTTCTGTCTTAAGTAGTGAATAGAAAGTGTGTGAAGTCAACAGGAAAATAATTTAAAGTAGTGCTTTTTCTGAAGCTGACAAAAGGACGGTGTGTGTGTGTGTGTGTGTGTGTGTGTGTGTGTGTGTGTGTGTGTGTGTGTGTGTGTGTGTGAGAAAGAGGAGGACAAACTGGGACAGTGGTTGGAGGTATATTTGTGTGCCCGCCCTGTAGATGCTGTACATGATTTCCTGCCCTCAAGCATCACTAGCTGGTCACTACATTAATAAGCTGTTCTGTGCTCAAACAAAAACCACTTCAGTGACACTGATCTGTGACAGGAAACAGACGAACAAAAGCCCAGTCGTACCTGAACGCAGTGCAAGGCTTCACTGAAACCTGCATCCTCAAAATAGAAATATCTTCTTAGGCCTTCAACTTTGTCAGTTTGAGGTGTGAAAACCTGCATAAAAGGGCTGATTAAACAACAGATCCTTTGTTTGCCTTTAAAACTTTGTTTGGCTATTTAACTGTTGATTGCAAAATTATCGTTGCTTCCTGTAACATTATTATGATTGGTACACCATGTCACAGTTGATCATGAATCAGGTGGTTTACATTATGCTTTCGTGCGAATTCAAAAAAATGTAACCCGTGAAATTACCATTATAACAAAGTTTTTCCAATTGTAATATAAGTTACAAAATAATATAATAATATGCATGTGAAAATACTTTTTGATGTGTATATTTGGAAACATGCAAATGTATCTGGTTATCAAATTGTTATTGTGATTTCCTGACTTCATTTGTATAATCAAGTCCCGACAGGTTGATGTTTTCAGTGCACAGACAAACAACAAATAGCTGGTGTTTGAATTTAGATATTTAGCAGCTAAAACCCCTGTTATTTTCTCAGGAGTTGGTGGAGAACAAAAACTGAGCAAAAAGGAGAATGGATTCATCACGAAAGCTTATTGTTGCTCCATGTCTGCGGGATGTGTAAATGATAAATGGTTTGTGTTTATATTGCACTTTTCTAGTCTTGATGACCCCTAAAAGCTCTTTACAGTACAGGTTACTACCATTCACCCATTTACACACACATTCATACAGTGAATCTTTGTGCTCTGTAGTTTCCTGCTTAACAGACTGGAGTGTAGTTTGATCATTGCAATTGGAAAGCAGATGGTAAATGTCTGATGCAATGAAGTCTGATAAAGTGGAGAGAATGTAAATTCATGTTAATATCACTTGGCAAAAGTCCTTCAAGTCACATCTGGTGCGAACTGAGAAGCAACAGAAGGAAGAGAGAAGAAGAGCCCAGATTGTGAAAAGCACCTTTTTGTATGAATTCTATAGTTTGGACAGTTTAAAAAAGTTTGCTGTAAATACGTTTTTGTTGTGATACCCAAGGTTTTAGTAGCTCTGAGGAACACAACATAGTTTGGTTTTGGTTTTTACAAATGTTCCTAAAAGAACTTAAATATAATTTAATACAAGAGTGTTACGTGCTGTGTTTTCTCTATGCTCTCTACTCTCTCTCTCTCTCTCTCTCTCTCTCTCTATCATTCGGGTGCCTCCATTTTCCCTGTAGCTCCAGTGTGAGTGTTCAAGGCTGTGCACAATCACCAATCAAAGCCACGGTGGTTAAAAGGCAGAGAGAAGCAGACTCCCAGCCCCAGTGGACCAAGTGACAGCATTTGAGTTCTTTGTGTTAACTTTGGTGATCTGTTTCGTGTGTGCTATTGATAGCATGACCATTTATTTTCTGTTAGGTAGTGGTGTTGAGTTAATTGTTACTGCTGTTCGTCGATGTCACTTTCCTTTTTAGAAAGTTGTTTTCAGTTTGTTATTAATAAATAAATGTTATTAATTGCCATGATTCTCTTTCCCTGGGTTATTTATATTGTTATTCCCCTCATCCCCTGGACTTAAATCGGAAAATATTACAACGAGGAAAAGTTTTTTTATCTCTTAATTTTTGTAGATTGGTTAAAAAGGATTGACATTTTAAATCACAGAACAAGGAGAGAAGGATTGTGAAGTGAATTTCCTCTGTAGTCGCATCATTAATGTTTTATCTTATCTTATAAATGTTACTGAAGAGAATTTTACAGGTTTTTCCAAAGAAACTGTCTGTATTTTTTAAAATAAAAGTACTATGTAGATGATGTTAGAAATTCATTATCAGCAACAGAACTGATAAGTTTGAGGTTTTATCTACGATACTCGACACTATGCTCTTTAATCAGATCGGTAATTGGTGTTGCATCAGTGGAAAGTTATTTGATGTTGATGTTGTCTGAATCATGAGAAAGGTCTATAACATTATGTGGAGTCCTCATTACAGTGAGGTTCATATGATTATTTTCAATGTCTTATCCTTCTGTTGATCAATTTGAGGTCATCTAATCCCACTTTTGTTCCTCCAAATATTTGCACAGAAGGTTCTTACATCACCTCTCGCAAGAAGCTGTAA